CCCCCCTTTCCGTTGGTTCCCCGCAGCACGTCTCCGAAGACCAGAGGGCCGACTGCGCCGCCCGCCGAAGTAATGAAGCACCGAAGCTGTGCAGATGATCGTCGGCACTGACGTAAGCTCCCCCCGGACCGCGGCGGGCGCCGGGGTCCCCATATCAAAGTCCAAGAAACGTCCAAGACATCCGAGCGGCATCGCTCCCGGTGTCGGTCGTTCGTCCCTCCATGGGTATCCTTTGTCAGCCTGGTCAGTATGATTAGCAGTGAAGCAGCGGGGGGCAAGAAAGAATCAGTGCATTCCGACGATTCCGTGTACAACCCATTTCGGAGCGAAAGTTATTAAGAAGGCGAGGCGAAGAAGGACAAGAGGACGAGAGAGGAATTCTATGTTGAAGCGAGCACTAGCGAGCGCTGCCGAGCGCTAACGGGCGGCCGCGACGTGCTTAGAACAGACACGCGCCGAGGTTGAAACAGAGGAGGGCACCACAGAAGGCAGCTGAATGTTAGCTATACATCAAACACACCCCAGCTGAAGAAGAGGGCAAGACGACGTCGCTCGTAGGTCGACTTGTGCTGACCAGGAGGCGATGAACCCCTACACTCGCTCCTGCTCGCCCTTCGCTCATTACTCACCAAGGCATCCCGCACCACCCGCTCCGGCACCGCCGCCACCGCTGTGGCCCTGCTGGACGTAGATGGGCTGCTGCTGCTGTCCGTACTGCATGCCGCCCTGCTGGCCGTAGCCGCCGCCGCCGTAACCACCGCCGTAGCTCTGCTGGTGGCCTTGCGGCATCGACGAGACGGGATACCACTTCCCATCACTGGCCTGGTACATCTGCTGCGGCGCGGACATGGTTCTTGCTCGTGTTCGGCGTTCGTTGATGAAGAAAGAGGTGGTAGAGTTGTGAGAAGAAGTTGAGTTGTTGCGATTGGGGACGAAAGATGGGCAGGCCGCAGGCGGTGCGTGGGTGGCAATTTAATGTTGAGCCGGGCGCCAAGACATTGAGCCACGTGGTGGCTTGGGGTTCATTTGGTCCCGCACATTTCGTATCACGTGATGGTCTGGCCATCCATCGATCGTTCGTGGCAGTCGAGGAAAGGCTGGGCGGGAGAGCGTGGGATAAAAATAGAAGGGTCGGAATGCGTATGCGGTGAGGTCATGTCGGATCCATGTATCTGGGAATCGGTCAGTTCGACGACGATATCTATCAACTGGGGGTAAAACCCTGCTCAGAAAGCAGGCGCGAGAGGTTCGGGGAGGATTGCACTCACTTGTAAATGCGAAAAGCCATGCAAGAAAACGAACCAGAGGGAGAGAAATCCGCGGTGGAGCGCTTAGAAGAGACAGGCCCCAAGGTCGAAACAGAGGAGAGCACCACAGAGCGCCGCTGCTCGTTAGCTGGCGAACAGGAGCTCGAGACTTACCAAGACATCCCGCGCCGCCCGCTGCAGCACCAGCGCCGCCGCCGCCGGGACGGCCCTGCTGGACGTAGATGGGTTGCTGCTGGCCATACTGCATCTGGGGCTGGCCGTAGCCGCCACCACCGCCGTAACCGCCGCCTCCGTAATCCTGCGGCATCGACGAGACGGGATACCACTTCCCGTCAGATGCTTGGTACATTTGTTGACTCATTGTGCGTGTAGAGTTGCTGGAAGGTCAAGAAGAAGAGTAAGAGAGTAAGAAAGAGTGAGTGAAGAGAGTCGTAAAGTGGGAAACGAAGTGGTGGTTAAAAGAGCTGCCATGGCCGGTCCGATGACCGAGGGGCGTTGGATCGGCGTTGGCGCTAGTGTCAGCTTGAGCCTCGGTTGAAGTGCGGTGACGTAGCGGCGTGAGCCTCACATGGCTCTCACGCTATGCCTGCATCGGCCATCTCCGGTAGCTGCGCTCGCTGTGCTGGACGTCGAGTGCATCGCTCTCGAGGACGCGCAGGCGACGATGCTAAAGATATCAATGGGATCTCGGACACGAGTGCTGGTAATTGATAAGCAGAGTGAGTTCTAAGTCAATGCGTCAGAGGCTTGTCGGGGCGTTTAAGCGCTGGTGGAGGTGCACAGCTGCGGAGAAAGAGCGTTCAGTGCGGGCGATCTCGCGAATCTGGTTTCACGTCTACTCATATGCGCAGCGACATCTTCAAACACAGTTGTAGTCAACGGGCCGTACGGCGCGTACGGGCCGTCTGTCATGAGCGATTGAGTAAAACGTGCAAGTGACCAAGTGGCGAACACGAGGCTCGGAATTCGGATGCCCGTGGTGGCTCCCGTGTCCGCGCCGGATCCCGCACAAATGTCTCACATGCCTCGAAGAATTGCAGGATTGCAGAAGCTCGCGCCCGCCCCGGAAAGAGTTAGTCACCCGCAGATCCCTCGTGATGGGGTCGGATCTGGGGCTTCTTCGCGCCTTCTCACTGGAGTCCTTATCGGACTATGCGCTCGTGACCGTAACTCCGTACTACCGTACCTCTGCACACACTGTATAGAGTGTATAGAGCCGAGGGCGCGTGCCCGGCCGAGCGACTGAGACAGCGTGTGCGCTGTACCTGCTTAGCCTGGCACATGTTTTGTGTGATGAGCGGGGCGCAACGCCCCATGTCTGTTAGTATTCGCGGTTTGTCCGGCGTGATCGCCCAGCTACACTTCCGTTTTCTCGGGCTACCCGACAGACATGTGGGCTGCACTCTGTCCCGCTCTCCCCACCCTGCAACATGAGCTCGGCATCTCGGAGTCGTGTCGCTCTTGTACACAACATAGTCCGAAGATAGTCGGCGAGTGATGCAGTCAGCACGAAGGATTCACGTGATGCGGCCCGTGAACAGAGAGCGGTGCCTGAGCTGTCCGATTTTGACGAGATTTAACCGCGCCTATGAACTCGTTTGGCTGGGCTTGTCAGCCAGCGCGGCGCCCGATTTGTCGGGAAATCAAATGATTCGATGCAATCCGCCGAAGAGCCAGCGAAGCAGCTGAACCCACCGAAGCGCAGCAGCGAACCAGCTCTCGCTGAGCTCTCAACGGGGGCGTCGAGTGGTGCGAACGGATCAGCAACGCCAGCGGAGCCCGTCACGCCCGCGGGGTTCGCGGGGGAGACGCTTCTCGCGACCAGTCGCGAGCGATGGCGTTCGGGGAGACGGCAGGTGGATCGGGGGGCCGATGCATGCGTTCCAGACCGCGTCGCCGGGGCTGTATGCGACTGCATGGTGAGATCTTGGTGGAGGGGAGACACTCCGAGATTGTTTTGCTGGGATGCATAGACACTCCGATGTCGACGGACTGTCAGACGTAAATCGTTTGTGTGCTCGCCGTCTGCGAGTGGTGCGGAGTAATGCATGTCGCAGAGCTCCGCGGGGAGATGAGCAGCCCCGATGGGTAGTCGGGGTGGCCAGCTCGCGCTCGCACCCGTTGAGCGTCATTGATCCATGGCCAAGATCCGGACAGAGGGCAGGCTCAGAGAGTCATGTTCGGTATTTTGGCGAATGGCCAATGCCGTCGCGAGATCGAGTAGGAATGGGCTCGTGGCCAGGCCGCAGCCGCAAACATGCCTGATATGCCTGGAGACCCCGGCAGTTTCCTGCCGTTGCCGCAGGGACGAGCGGAAAAATTGGAAATTATCGTCCCATCGACTTCGGCATCCCGCGCAGATAAGAATTGTCATTGTCGGAGACCCGCGCGATAAGTCTTCCGCTCTGGCTTGCTTTGTTGTCCTGAGACGAGGATCGAGCTCGTCATCTCTCCAGCTGCGGCACCAACCGCACCGCTCGCTGCAAAGCCATTCCCTGCTTACCCCTCAGGAACGCGAAATGCATCCAGTCCTGGCAGTCCTGGATCGCAGGGCACCCGCGTCAGTTGCATAGCTCCGTAGGCTGCGGAGGCAGGAGAGAGCTTGGTCGGTCCTGAATCCCCGCGCGCCAGCGCCTGCCAAGCGATCAGGCAGACTGCGAGGCAGCGTTCCTTCCGAGCTTCTTCGGTGCCCGTAGATCGACCGCTTGTGACAGGACACGCAGCCTGCCACGGCGACATGGCTGCATCAATGGCTGCTTTGCGAGATCCTGGCAGCCTCGCTACGGATCAATGCTGTGGGGAAATGGGCAATCAAGTCACCGTCCGTGATCCGTGGTCGCATTAACAATTCTGTCGCGCTGAACCTTGTTCCTGCTGCTCTCGTGTGCAAGGGGGGTGCCGACGCCGGCGGCACAGGCGCACGAGCTGAGACCGCTCCGACAGGCTTGCAGCGGGACTGCACAAGGCTCGCTTGACCTGCACGAGCGCAAGATGGCAGGAGAGGCACGGAAGGCACACAAACGCGGCACGATCACCGCACCGGCAATGACAACAGATCATCGGCGCTCCGCAGATTACTCTTTGGCTTCGTATCTTACCGAGGCCGGCCTGCACTAGGGTTCCGAAGCATGAGCGCCCGAGAAGCGCGGCGTAGTGATCGATCGGTCGTCCTGTGGGCGCTCGTCGCCGGCGGCCCAGTGCCGCTGCGGCACTGGCGAGGTCACGTTTCCGTGCGGACCGGTAAAGGCTCGCAATCAACACCCGGCCCGGTTATATCTCGCGTCGTTCGCATCGTTTTGGGTGGTAAAATAATCGATCGTAGCACGAGACCAGAAGCTTTAAGGATGCAAAATCCATGTAAGCACTCGGGAATACTCGGGGCACCACTGCTTTACGGCTGCCTCATGGTTGTGCTTGCAGGATGCACGACCAGAGCCCATGGCGGCTAGCACGGTTAGCGGGCTCGGCGAGTGCTGACTAGGTACATCTGGGTGTGTGCTGGAACGTAGGTCAGTGACCAGGGGAAGTGAGGGGGGTGTCATGGATGCCATCAGTTCAGGATCGGCAGTGGCAGCGCCAGCACGGCAGCGCACAAGCACGAGCACTTGTCGACTTGTCAGCACTAGTAGCACTAGTAATCAAGCACCGTTCGGCCCATTAACGCTCTCCCGCTGCGTGGATCTGTGGATTTAAACACATCTCATCGATTAGCCAGTTAGCGGTTGCACTACATCTGGACTAAATGGGATTTTAGGCACAATCTGTATCGGTGGGGGGGACCGTGAGTGGACGGTGAGGGCCGTGAGTCGGGAGGACTTGCGGGCGATTGCTCGGGAGAGGGGGGAGAGAGTCATCAGAGGCCGTGACAAGAGCGAGGGCGCTGATTGGGGCAAAGCGTCCTTGCGGCCAGACGGCAGACGGCGTCGCGGGCGTGGAAGAGGGGGGAGAGGGCAGACGACGCGGGCGAGCGGGCGAGTCGTGTCTGTGGACCAAGGACAGAGATTCCGGCAGCGGCAAGTCTTGTCGACCGAAAGACGATGAGATCAGGGGCGGGCTGAGTCCAGGGGCACAGGCAGAGCGGTTCAGGCGATACAGGGCCCGCCCCGGTGCCCGGTATCTGACTGACGCCACACACCCACCCACCCACTCACTCTCTCTCTCACATCGCTGCCCCGCCATACCGTAGCCGCAACCGTAGCCGCAACCGTCCTCCGCCGCTGCCGCACACACAAGACACTCACCCCCCCCGGCACTAACTCACTTTTTCTTTAACACGCTCACATCTCTCCCCCTCTTCTTCCTTCTTCCTTCTTTCTCCCAGACTTCTCCTTCTCCACCTTCTCGCTGAAACCCCCGCCGCGACCAGGTCCACGCACAACAAGCACTTCTGCCCGAGTGCCCAAAACAACCACCTCACCTTATCGCACCTAGCATCCCACACAAGCTAGCTGCACCCCCGGGGCCTCTCCGCTCGATACCCTTCTGATCCTTCCCGACGGACCCCACCCGTTCTTCTGTGTTCCTTTCGTTCCAGCCGTACCTACCTGTCTATCCAAAAGTCACTACAATGGCCGAGGCTCCCTCCTCTTCGGTGAGTTCGAGTTCCCCAGTCGTCCTTCCCCCTCCCCCATCGCGATCCCTCGCAGGAACCGCGTCTCTGCGTCTTCCCCCCCGCGTACCTATGAACCTATGAGTTGGGCTGTATGGCGTGCTGGCGCGTGTGTACATGAACCCGTAGTCTTTCGCGACCTATGCGTCGTGCCGAGGTTTCAGGTGGAAACACCCAGCCAGGACGGAGGGTCGGCGGCACGGAGCGCTGGCGAGCGGACTGGGCGCCGCTACCGCCCTGTATGTGCTCAGCTCGCATCCAGTCGCCCGGGCCATCACTGGGGCTGGTTCAGCCAGGTGTCTCTCAGGTCTTGCCAGGTCCGCAACCCCGAGCAGCGCACGCGCCTTCCTTCGTCAACGTGTTTATAACGCGCGACGTGTTGCTCTGGCAGGAGATGCTTTCCCCACAGCCTTAGAAGTCGAGCAAGCCACCACCGCCCCTCAGAAGTGTTGTCTCTCGGAGCTCCTCATCCGTTGCTCCAGACTCGCCTCTTATAGCTCTCGCTCGCATCCCGCTGCTCTTCTTAGGACGCTTGCTGCCCCTCTCACCACTCTGTCTTCTGTGACCCCCAACTCTCTCAAAACCCCCACCTCCCCACCCAGTTTCCCACTGTATCCCGGACAATCTTGCTGATGCGTTCTTCTCAACTCTTGGCACTCAAACGCGTCGTCACTCGTGTCCCCACCACTCGTGCAATGTCTACTTCGCAATGGCGGCAATTTAATTCCTCTCCTCAGGCTTGGGCCCAGCACCTTGGCCTCGACAAGTCCGCCCCTGCCACCCCTGGCACTCCCGGCTCCCCCGGCACCCCTATCCAGACGTGAGTTCCTGCAGGCAGCTTGCGAACTCTTCCCAGAGCTGACTGGCAGCGTCGACCGCGTCCGTAAGCAGCAGGCTGGCCACAATGGCCCCCTCAAGAAGGTCCTCGTCGCCAACCGTGGTGAGATCGCCATCCGTGTCTTCCGTACTGCTCACGAGCTCGCCATGAGCACGGTCGCCATCTACTCGCACGAGGACCGCATGTCCGCCCACCGTTACAAGTCGGACGAGTCCTACCTCGTCGGCAAGGGCCTCGCCCCCGTCGCCGCCTACCTCTCGCAGGACGACATCATCCGCATTGCCCTCGAGCACGGTGTGGACATGATTCACCCCGGCTACGGCTTCCTTTCTGAGAACGCCGAGTTCGCCAAGAAGGTTGAGGCCGCCGGCATTGCCTTCATCGGTCCCCGCCCCGAGACCATTGACGCTCTTGGAGACAAGACCAAGGCCCGTGACGTCGCTATCAAGACCAAGGTCCCCGTCGTCCCCGGTACCCCCGGCCCCGTCGAGTCCTACAAGGAGGCTGAGTCCTTCATCAAGGAGTACGGTTTCCCCGTCATCATCAAGGCTGCCATGGGTGGTGGTGGCCGTGGTATGCGTGTCGTCCGCGACGAGGCTTCGTTCAAGGACAACTTCGAGCGTGCCGTCTCCGAGGCCAAGTCCGCCTTCGGTGACGGAACTGTCTTCATTGAGCGTTTCCTCGACAAGCCCCGCCACATTGAGGTCCAGCTTCTTGCCGACTCGCAGGGCAACTGTGTCCACCTCTTCGAGCGTGACTGCTCCGTTCAGCGTCGTCACCAGAAGGTCGTTGAGGTCGCCCCCGCCCCTCACCTTGACGAGAACACCCGCCAGGCTATCCTCAGCGACGCTCTGAAGCTCGCCCACGCCGTCGGCTACCGCAACGCCGGTACCGCCGAGTTCCTCGTCGACCAGCAGAACCGCCACTACTTCATCGAGATCAACCCTCGTATCCAGGTCGAGCACACCATCACTGAGGAGATCACCGGCATTGACATTGTCGCTGCCCAGATCCAGATCGCCGCCGGCGTCACCCTTGAGCAGCTCGGCCTTACCCAGGACCACATCCACCGCCGTGGCTTCGCTATCCAGTCCCGTATCACCACTGAGGACCCCGCTGCCGGCTTCCAGCCCGACACCGGAAAGATCGAGGTCTACCGCTCGGCCGGTGGTAACGGTGTCCGTCTCGATGCCGCCTCTGGTTACGCTGGTGCCCAGATCACCCCCCACTACGACTCTCTCCTCGTCAAGTGCTCCGTCTCTGGTGCCACCTACGAGGTCGCTCGCCGCAAGATGCTCCGTGCGCTCATTGAGTTCCGTATCCGTGGTGTCAAGACCAACATCCCCTTCCTCATCCGTCTCCTCACCCACCCCGTCTTCGAGTCTGGCCGCACCTGGACCACCTTCATCGACGACACTCCCGAGCTCTTCAAGCTCGTCCAGTCGCAGAACCGTGCCCAGAAGCTTCTTGCTTACCTCGGTGACCTCACCGTCAACGGCTCGTCCATCATGGGCCAGTCTGGTGAGCCCGGCCTCAAGACCGAGGCCCTCATCCCCTCGATCGTCGACAAGGACGGCAAGAAGGTCGACACCTCTGTCTCGCAGCAGAAGGGCTGGCGTAACATTATTGTCAACGAGGGCCCCGAGGCCTTCGCCAAGGCTATCCGCGCTTACCCCGGATGCCTGATCATGGACACCACCTGGCGTGACGCCCACCAGTCGCTCCTCGCGACCCGTATGCGTACCGTCGACATGGCCAACATTGCCAAGGAGACCTCGCACGCTCTCGCCAACGCCTACTCGCTTGAGTGCTGGGGTGGCGCCACCTTCGACGTCGCTATGCGCTTCCTCTACGAGGACCCCTGGGAGCGTCTCCGCACTCTCCGCAAGCTTGTTCCCAACATTCCCCTCCAGGCTCTTGTTCGTGGTGCCAACGCTGTCGGTTACACCTCGTACCCCGACAACGCCATCTACGAGTTCTCCAAGAAGGCTGTTGAGAACGGTCTTGACATCTTCCGTGTCTTCGACTCGCTCAACTACTTCGAGAACCTCAAGGTCGGTATTGACGCCGCCAAGAAGGCCGGTGGTGTCGTTGAGGGTACCATCTGTTACTCTGGCGACGTTGCCAACCCCAAGAAGACCAAGTACACCCTTGACTACTACCTCGACCTGACCAACAAGCTCGTTGGCGAGGGTATCCACGTCCTCGGTATCAAGGACATGGCTGGTCTCCTCAAGCCCGAGGCTGCCACCATGCTCGTTGGCGCCATCCGCAAGGCTCACCCCAACCTCCCCATCCACGTCCACTCGCACGACACTGCCGGTATCGCCGTCGCTTCCATGCTCGCCGCTGCCAAGGCCGGTGCCGACGTTGTCGACGTTGCCATTGACGACCTCTCTGGTCTCACCTCGCAGCCCGCCATGGGTGCCGTCTGCGCTGCCCTCGAGCAGTCCAACCTCGGCCCCGGCATCTCGCACGAGAACATTACTGCCCTCAACACCTACTGGTCGCAGATCCGTCAGCTCTACCAGTGCTTCGAGGCCAACGTCCGTGCCTCCGACTCTGGTGTCTTTGACCACGAGATGCCCGGTGGCCAGTACACCAACCTCCAGTTCCAGGCTTCGCAGCTCGGCCTCGGCACCCAGTGGATCGAGATCAAGAAGGCCTACCAGGAGGCTAACCAGCTCTGTGGTGACATTGTCAAGGTCACCCCCTCGTCCAAGGTTGTTGGAGACTTTGCCCAGTTCATGGTCTCGAACAAGCTTACCCCCGAGGAGGTCATCGAGCGCGCTGACAAGCTCGACTTCCCCTCGTCGGTCGTCGAGTTCTTCCAGGGCTACCTCGGCCAGCCCGTCGGCGGCTTCCCCGAGCCTCTCCGCTCCAAGATCATCCGCGACAAGCCCAAGATCGACCAGCGCCCCGGTCTCTCGATGAAGCCCCTCGACTTCAAGAAGATCAAGGCCGAGCTCCGTGAGCAGTACGGCAACCAGATCAACGACAACGACGTCATGTCGTACGTCATGTACCCCGCTGTCTTCAAGGAGTTCCAGAAGTTCCTCGAGTCGTACGGCGACCTTTCGGTCGTCCCGACCCGCTGGTTCCTGGGCAAGCCTCAGATTGGCGAGGAGATGGCCATCCCCATCGAGCAGGGCAAGACCCTGACCGTCAAGCTCTTAGCTGTTGGACCCCTCGACACTAACAAGGGTACCCGTGAGGTCTTCTGGGAGCTCAACGGAGAGACCCGCGCCGTTGTTGTTACCGACAAGAACGCCGCTGTCGAGGTCGTCACCCGTGAGAAGGCCACGTCCGAGCCCGGCTCCGTCGGCGCCCCCATGGGCGGTGTCGTCGTCGAGGTCCGCGTCAAGGAGGGCCAGGACGTCAAGGCCGGCGACCCCATTGCCGTTCTGTCCGCTATGAAGGTGAGTCTTACCCAATTGTTTTGGCTATGTTCCAACGCTGACTTTCCCAGATGGAGTCCGTCGTGTCCGCCCCCGTGTCCGGAAAGGTTGCGCGCGTGCTCGTCGCCGAGAACGACTCGCTCGGCTCTGGCGATCTTATGGTCGAGATTACCCACTAGACAGTGGCGTAGGCTCAGTAGATGTAGAAGAAATTGTATTTTCAGGCAGCTTCATGCAATATGGTAACGATTACGGGCCGCTTGGCTGGGCGGGTGAATGGACTGGCTCGGCATCCTCATCGTAGCACGGGCGCTGACCAAGGTTGACCAAGCTGTCTTCCGTTCCGTAACTCATGGGAGCGCCAGCTGTCGCGTTCCAACGCATGCATGTACCCAACATTCTTGTGCATTGAGGTCAGTTGCATGTTCATTGATCCTCATATATAAATGCAAAGCGTGAGCCTGTGCATGAGCAAACTGTCAGTCGAGTTAGTCATCGCAACGTAATTGTACCCGAAAAACCCGAAGATGCATCCGATTTCCGGAGATCTATAATATAGTGTAAGGAATGACAGTAATGTCTACAACAAGTGTCCGTAGCGCAGCCGGACGAGCTCATGCAATGAGCGAGTGACTAGCTCTGCTAGGCGGTGGTGGTGACCCGCTGGGTCTTTTGAGATGGTAGTCGTTTGGTGGGTGCCACTGGGGCATCGCCGCTGGGGCAGTAATGATCGTGGTGCCACTGGGGCAAGTGGGGTGCGAGGCATCGAGCCTTTCGTGTGCTCTCAGAAGTGCTCTCAGAGGTGCTTAGAGGGCAAGGACGGCCGAGGCGAGGAAGGTGACGGCCATGGCAATGCCGGCGGGAGAGAGGCGGACGGCGGCGGACTCCTTCTTGTCCTCCTCCTTCTTGTCGCCGGCGGCGCCGGCGGCGGCGGCGGAGGCGTTCTTGGTCTGGCACGAGCCCTCGGCCCCGTGCTCGCTCTGGCAGTACATGAAGTCGGCCTCCTTGTCGGAAGGGAGCTTGCAGAGCTGCAGGCCGCAGTCGGGGGACGCGGTGCCGTTGGCGTTCTTGGCGACACGGTTGAAGGCGGCCGCGACGGCGGACGCGGTCGCGTTCTTCTCGCCCCACGCCGCAGAGCCACCAGCCTGCTGGCAGCAGTAGAGCGTGATGTCGTTGTAGTTGGCGGCGCAGACGCTGTCGGTGCCCGCGACAGTGCCGTTCCACTTGTAGTCCTCGACCTTGAGGGCCGACTTGCCGTAGCACTGCTCAGGAATGCCCGAGACCTGCGGGATGGCAGTGGCGGTAGCGGAAGGGGTGGCGACGGACGAGGAAGACATTTTGAACAGAAAGAGAAGAAAGAGAGTGTGGTTCTCGGTGGGAGACAAGGAAAGACGGCGGTAGGGGGGGTTTCGGTGAGACTAGCTCGATGGATGCTGCGGGGTGCTCTTGTCTCTTCGATATCTTATATACAGCCTGGCTCGCTGCACCGTGAAAAACATTCGGCCCACGCTCCCCTGCCTCACCACAGCACCAGACCCGAGAGTGAGCCCCACTCGCTTACTTCTTTCCAAGTCGGACACTCATTTTTTTTCTGGTCCCTCGCAACCACAAGGCGTCTCGTAGAGCAATCAATCCTCTGGCGCCACGGCCGCGCAAACCCACCGCAGCCCGGAGCGCCATGTTTATCAGGTACGCAGTAAAAGCTTCCCTCACCCAAAGGTCCAGGTACGTAAAGGAAATTCAGATTACAGAACGAGGGTCGCTCCAGGTGCTGGGGTATTTCGGGGTCTCTACTTTCCTCCTGGACGTTTGGTTTGCATTTTCTAGTCGCCGAGCAAAAAGAGTGATTAGAAAGCCAAGGCATCAGACCAGAGGAGACCGGGATTAAACCGGCGGTGAGTGCCCGGGATCTCGCGTGGTCGTGGTCCCTCAAATCGGCATTTCGTCGATTCTGGCGTAATCCGGTTGATTTTCTCTGGCTTCTAGGCCTTCGTCGTCCCTAAATCCATACTTGCTCGTCCATGCGCGTCCGCGACTGGGTACGGCATAAAACCCACTCGGCATCCGGACCAGCCGAGTCTGACCCGGCCAGCCCGGGCTGGCCGGTAGGGGGCTGGACAGCCAGCACCCCGGGGTTAATGATGGACCCCGAAATGCTAGAGAAACAAGCCAAAAACTAATCCCCGGCCCTTAACCCTTCTGGCCCAGACTCTCACGCGACTGACCCAGTCCAATTCATTCACTCAGCCAGACCCACACCTCCAGCGCCGCCATTCTTGCCGTAGTGGAGAGCGCCGGGAGGGTGCTCCAGGACGCTCGCGTGGGCGCCTCGATCCGGAGTAAAGCAGCCCTTGCTGACCCCCGACGTCCTCAGAGCCTCGTCCCCCGCTTACCTGGCAGAATGGCGGTTGATCTGGACAGGCAGCTCGGCAGCAAACATGCATGTCCATCAGGCAAAGGCAGTCAGGCTCGCTGACACTACTCCAAAGAAGTAATGACCAATAGGCCATCAGGACTAGAAGCGAGACGAAGTCGTGACTAACTGCTCAAGCTCGCGCAGACGCATGGGTGTACGTCGTAGGCACACAGGCACGAAGGCACACGGGAGGGCCTGGCAGCGACACTCAGAAGCCCTAGTAAGTCGTACGTGCGCGGTAGGTTTTGGGGTCCCCGAGCTTGTTGTGGTACTCCCAGGTGAGATGCTTTTGTTTTCACCGTCCTGAGTGGAGCTTTCGCTGTCAGTCGGAGCCTGCCTGGTCGCCGATACGCGACTTGGGTGGCTTGCCATGCCGACCGCACGTGGAGACGGTGGTCCGCAATCAGAGTGAGAGCGACGGGCGATGTGCGGTGCTTGGCAGACTCGGCTGGGTCCGCCCAGCCCTCGTGACTGCGCAGGTGCAGCTGTAAGCTTTGAGGCTCTCTTGGCAGACAGCAGAGCGACCGTTTTGAGGTCATTGCGACGCGTTAGGCATCAGGACGCGTCTGTCGATTTCGTTGGGGGCGCGCTGGGTGTCGGATGCTATCGCGAGCGAGTGAGATAAGAGGTCCGAGAGGCGATGCGATTATGCATGCTGGAGGAAGGCACACAGGGTGCAGAGTGTAGGGTGCCAGTGTCGATCCGCAGATCATCCGCAGTTCACTTGAGGTCACCGAGGAATGGACTGAGGTGTTCGTGGGTTGGGAAATGTCGGTGACCAAAGGCAAGGACAGCCTGCGAAGAATCGATGGTTTGCAGGTTGTGCAGAGCGTGTAGAGGGGTGTGATGATCCGCAGTCACTAGACATGCACCGCTCACAGAGGCTCCTGCTTCACCACTGGCCTCGGCGTCGCAACCACGCCAGGCTCCGTCTTGACGCGGACCGGTGTCTCCTTCTTCTTCTCCTTCTTCGACTTCTTCGCCGGGGTGTCATTCAGCGCTCTCTCCTCCACCTCGAGTGCACGCTTCTTCTCCGCCTTGCGCTTCAGCCTCATCTCCTTGTACGCCTGGTTCCTCTCCTTCTCACTCATTTGTTTCAGCTTCTTTGCCGCCTTCTTGTTCCGCTTCTCCAGCTCCTTGCGCTCCTTCTGTTCCTGCTCCTCCTTCTCCTTCCGCAACCGCTTCTTCTCGGCGTTCCGCGCCGCGTTGCGCTCATTCTCTTCCCGCCTTTGTCGCTTCAGCTCGGCGCGTGCAACAGCCTCCGCGTCCGACTTCTGCCGGCGCTTCTCAGCCTTCTCGGCCTTCTCGGCCATCTTTTCCTTTTTGCTCTTGCCTTTGCCCTTGCGCAGTGCAGCTGGCACCTTGGTCTTCACAGATGTTGAACGCAGCGGCCCACCGGCCAGCAGGTCGTGATGCTCCTGGCGCGCTCGGGTCATGTTGACATTGATGAACTGGAACCCGCGCCGGGTGACGATCGTGGGGTCCCACGGCCACCGGCTCAGCCACAATGCAATTGCGCTAGCCCATACGCCCGCGTTCTTCTCGCCCAACGCTGGGACACCGCCGAGCGGGATGCGGTGGAAGTCGAGTCCCGAGCTGGCCCTCGATAGCCGAAGCGCGAGCGGGCCGGTCGCGAAGCTGCCTGCCGAGATGCTTGGGCTGGTCGATGGACAAGCGTTGCCGCCAGAAGTTGAGGTTGGCGTTGGGAGGAACACAGGCGGCGCAGCGATCACCCGCCCCCAACCCTGCTTGTGGGAGATTAGCGCCACGGCCCATCCGCCTTCGATCGGCGGGATGACAATGACGCTGAGCTTCGCGTCCTCTCCTTCTTCCGGCGGATTGTAAGCGTCAACGCCGTAGTAAAGCCGGTTGCCGTTGAACGCCTGCGGGGCAGCGGCGCGGACGACAGCCTCCACCACCGCGGGACTGTATGCCGTGTACTGCGTGATGCGGACTGCCGGTCCTTCCTCCGCTTCTTCCTCCGTCGATGGTGAACGCCGGCGAGGCGTAGCGGCCGCTTGAGGCAGGATCGGTGCGGCAGGCCGAACCTGAATAACAGAGGGAGAGGGTTGGACAGGTGGAGCGGCGAGAGAGTCAAGGTCGAGCATATTATCGACACGGGTCCTATCCGCGTCCTCGATTTCCTCATCCTCATCCTCGCCATCCCCTCTTTCCCCCACCTCCTTCTTGACGTCTCCTCCAGCCAAATGGGCCGGTCTCGGCGGCGGCGGCAGCGGGATATCATTCGGTAGACTGAGTTCCAACTTGACTTCCTCGGGCTTGACGTCCTCATCCAGCTCGTCATCTTCAGAGTCCATGCTCATGTCTGAGTCCGATTCCGAGTCCGAGTCACTGTCGCTGTCGCTCTCGCTATCGGTTTCGGGCACGCTGTCGCTGTCGCTATCTGTGTAGGAGGAGATGGAAGCGGAGTCCGAGCATGCCCGCTCGGAGCTCGAGAGCAGCGAGATGGGTTGCACGACTGTTCCCATCCACTCCCCAGCGGAGGGCTTGATCTCGATCGGCTCCGTCTTCATCCTTTCTCCGTTCCTCGAGAAATCCGTTCCTCCGAGGAAGACTTGTAGTTCAGTGGAGTCGAGGGTGTGGTCGGGTGCTGGCACTGCACACGCTTCAGTTTTTGCAGTGCGAGACTCTCGGCACAGTCGGTGTCGTTGTAGATAGAGAAAAGAACAAAAAGAAGGAAGGCACAGAGACACTGGGTCGTGTGGGGAAAGACACAATGGGGCGGATAAGATAACGTGCAAGGTTCGCTGGGCATGCTGTGGGCACGGACCCGTTCCACCCACAGAGGAGGAAACGAGGGACAGAGGCGTCAGCCAACGCGACGCGTTTTGCGGGGTCCCCACTTCTCTTCTCTCTCACGTGCCATCCTTCCTTCTATCCCCTCCTTCACAATCTTCTGCTGCTATTAAATGTCATTACGATGTACATCAGACTAGATACAACTACATGCTTCGTAAGATTTAGAAGATGGGACCCTGGGAGGTATACGAGCGACGAGGACACAGTGAACCGGAACACGAGACAACGCAACAGGCATGAGGGGAGCAAGGGTGAAGGCTCAGGCATACGGCCTACGACCCTCACCTAAGACTGTTGCGCTGCCCACGCATCCAGCAGCGCCGGATCCACGACGGGCATCTCCCCCGTGCCAGGCGGGAAGAGCATGGCGAGCCACGCCTCAAAGTTCTCGTCGTTCGCTGTCTGCGCCGCGTCCTCGGCCATATCCTGAGGCGACGAGTCGCTGGGCGTGTGCTGTTTCGCGCCGTGCACTCCGTTGCCCATCTGCGCCGCCACGCCGCCGGTGACGGCTCCGCCAGGACCACCGGGACCGCCGGGGGCAGCTCCGTTTCCGTTTCCGAGCGGGTTCACACGCGCCGAATTGCTGTTCCCAGCATTCGAGAGCAGCTCGGGCTGGAAGCTCTGGTGCGGCAGCGCAAAGGCTGTAGGCGGGAAGCCGAGACTGTGCAAAGGCAGCACGCCCAGGCCAGGCTGAAACTCGACCCGCTCGACTTCGACGTGGTTCGGGCTCGCACCGAGCCCACTCGCCGCGAGCGCCTCTCGCGCCTTGGCCACAACGCGGCGCATACGCTGCGTCAGAGCGCGATTCTTGCTGTTCGGGCGCAGTTTCACCGTCCATTCCAGAATCGCGAGTCCTTCCTCGAGCACGCCGAGGCGTTGCGGGACGAGGTGCGCTTCCGTTGTCTTGACCACGAGCACGGCTTGGCACAGCAGGACACTGAAGAGGTCCGCCGCGAAGGAGAACCAGCGCGCCATGCTCCCGTCCTGGTTTAGAATGCCGCGGACGAGCTGCAGCATACGCTCGCATACTTCGATAATTGTGCGGACTGAGAGCTCGCATGACGGGTCGCCCGTTGCCATTGCACGCATGAAGATTGGCCGGTGCAGGTAGAAGAACACCATGCAGATGTGTGTCGCCATGCGGTACTGCTGATGCAAGAGGCGTTCGGCACTGAGCGTTGTGGTGTAGTCGGACGAGCCGGGTGAGGCGGCGCTCGCCGGTGGGGGAGAGACGACAACAGCGGGCGCGCCCGGTCGCACGAGCGGGAACGCCTCGATCGGGAACGAGGAGCAGCGCAGGTGTGCGGGCAGAGAGTGCAGCAATCGCCGAAGACCGGCATCGATGTCTTGTACCACTGATGGTCAGCTAAAGCTGACGGGGCCTGGCAGCTCGACTCACTGTTCAGATCCGGCGTTTCGACACGGGTCCAGAAATCATGCACGCGCTGCATATGCACGCCGAGGTTCCACTTCCAGACAAAGTACCCCTCCTTGTGCGCGTCGGAGGGATAGGGTGTGTCGTAGTGGTCGTGTGCGATACTACCGGGCAGCAGCGCTGTGAGGCAGTGCACTCTCTCGAGCGCGAGGAGCTCGTGCCATATCCGCCGGCGCCAGTCGGCTTCTTCCGGTCGCGTGCCTGCGTGCGCCGTCTCTTTGTCCCTATGGTAGCCAGCGATGATGGCTAGCCTGACGCCCAGGCCGGTGATGGGGAAGATGCCGTCGGGGAGGCGCTTGTCGTCCGAGTTGATAAGGAAGGAGCCGAGGAGATGCAGGCAGATCAGGCTCGAGAGGGATGTCTCGGTATAGAAGTGCCGGCCTGGAGACAACTGTACGCTGTTTCGTGGTAGTCTTTCGCCTGGAAGCCTTGGGCTGCGCCGGAAGCTGCCTCGTCGAACAACATCGTCATCGCCATCGTTGCGAAGAGCACGGCCAGGTCGTGTGGGTGCGCGCCCTCCGAGCTGTCGTACACGCTCGCGAGCACCGTGTCGAAGAAGGCAGGCGTCATCGGCTGTATCCTGCTCTTGTCAGCATATAGCCCACGCTATCGTCGGAGGTTCCGACGTCATCGCGGCGGCAGGTCGGAACTACCCTCCGACAAGACCAGCACTCACCTCCAGCTCGTAACCTCGAAGAACGTGTTGAACATGTCCTTCGCCGCTCTCCTCGAGGGGAGCATGATGCGGCACCTGTCAAGCAGCACGCCGGGCAGGTGTCCCTTGCCAGTGAGGCTGACACCGGTACTCCGGCCCCAGGGCGGTTTCCACAGGTTGCTCCCTCGGCGCTCATCCTCGCTGCCCTCGTCCTCGCTCTGTTCCGGACTCGAGAGGTAGAACGCTGTCGTGCCCATCCCGGCGTGACGTTTCGTTGGAATGTGGCCGAGCGCCATGTGTCCCAGCATGGCTGCCATCTCGACCGCACTGCGCGAGGAGCCTGGTAGTGATGAGGGCATGTTGGGCGGGGAGAGGGATGCATTGGGAGCCGTGACGGATGGCGCTTCGGACGCAGTGAGCTCGTGCGCGAGCCCATTCCGGCGCAGAGACTCCTCGAGGTACTTGACTCGTGCGGTGAGCTCGGCGATGGTGACCGACTTGGGCTGCGTGATTTTCGACACCTGGTTAGGGCAGATGTGTGCGAGTCCTGCATGTCAGCGGTCTGCGAGCGAAGCGAGCAACCGCATGCTCAGAGAGTGGACGTTGCCAGCACAGTTGAGATGCGAGGTTGTATTGACTGAGTGACAAGCCATCGCTACTGAATCAAGACGGAAAGCGCAGCAGATGACGCCTTCTCGGCGTCCAGCGGCGAAGTGCGGGCAACGGCGCAAGCAAAGAGGTACTCACCCTTCTTGACGCACTCGCTGCACGGCCATGATCGGTTACCTGGTTGTTGTCAGCACTGTCTGGGGTGTGTCTCTCCGCAGTATGTGTGTCACTAAGGCTAGGCGGGCCCCGCGGCCCTCCGCGACCCTAGCTAGCAATGGGTACGTACATTTCGATTTGGTGCGACGGCACTCCTCGCAGTTGAGGTGTATGCGACGCCGCTTCTTCTTGCTCTGGTCTTGGACTGGGGGGTCCATTGTTGCTGTCGCTGTTGATGGCTGGCAGCCGCGGGGCCAGGACGGCGGGTTGTTGAATGAGAAAGATGGAAAGGAGGTAAGGAGGTAAGTAGGTAGGTGGTGGACGGGTCGGATCGGTAGTTAATACTTGGGTGGTGGACTGCGGTTTGTGTCTGGTGTACTGGTGTCTAGCGCTTAAGCGGGGCAATGCGGCAGTGCGCGGCACAGGCGGCACAGGCGGCAGTGGAAGGACCAGGTGGTCCAGCTGTCCTGGTGACTGGGCAAGGGCCGAGATGCCGACCTCCGCCTGGCCCTGTGAGCGTGCCTGGGGACGCACTTAGCCGTGGCCCAGCATACACACGTACACATCTCGAGTGCAGACGTACAGAGATACTCCAAACCTCCCCCACTCTCATCGGGCACACCCACTTTGACTCCTCCGATGAATCCTTGGGCCGACGTGACCGATACCACTGTCCCGACCGATCCACTGCTATCCTTGCCGGCCTTGCCCCAAGTGTCCCAAGTGTCCGACTCTATCCTGCTTTAGCCTGAGCTTAGCCTGTGGCTACATCCACAAAACATACCAAATGAGCAGCTTCATGCCAAATCGGCCCACGAACCCCTGTCACGAATATCTCGTCGATCGCTTCTTGTGCGCCTCAATGCCACAGAGCGCCTCCGCGCTTCACGTATATGCGCTTCGTCTTGGCTTGGAGCGCTTTGAGCCCTGTCGAGTCCGTCGAGTCTGTGGGGTCTGCAGATCTCTCTTCCGCCTCATGCCACCTCGATCCTCCACCTCTGGACATCGAGTTAGCCGTGCCAAGCAGAACCTCAACGAGGCGCGCGGAGGAATGCAATTCAGTAGTATGGCATTTGCACAGTTCGCGCAGTCGCGTCTGATTCTCACACTGCCAAAAATCAACTCGCGCGACAATGTATCCAGCTGTAGTAACACTGACCATCGCTGGTGTTGTGACTGGCCGGACTGGACCGTAATCACGGCGATACGGCCAAGGCAGATCGGACTCTCGCCTCCGCTCGCGCTGGAGCTACAGGTCGATCACACCGCGCACACCGAGTGACACGCTGAAGAAACACGCGGTAACACCTCGGACCGTTCTCGGCGGGATCTCCGCGATCGGAGCCTCTTTTACGCGAGTCCTGCGAGTCCTGTGATCATCCTGTGGGTTCTACGCCCATTTCTACCCCTCCTTCTCCCTCCGTACCTCCCCCTCGCACCCCTTGCAATTCACCTTCCCCTCGCTTCATGCACTTTAAGCTCGTGCGTCCCGCCGGAACTTGCGGCACATGCGGCACAGGCGGCAATGGCGGCAATGGCTGTACTGGCCAGATGGCCCTCAAGGCCGATTCTGCGGCTGTGTGCGGCTTTGGCGGCTTTCAGGGGGGTTCTGGTTGGCCAGCTGGTGCTCACTGACTCTCACCGCTCTCACCGATGCCCGCTGGCCATCGCAGGCTCACAATACCCTCTTCGCCGCATTCTATATCCTGCAACCTGCGTCGGCGCCTGGTCGGCACCTGCGCCGACCGATGGCGCTCCGTCGCCGCCACCACGTGACCTGCAACGCCCGGCTAAAGCTGGGTTAAAAAGCAAATACATGGTTGGTGGGCCGTGGGACCCCGATATCTACACTGCTTGCTACTGATACGCGCTTGCTGCTAGGTGCTGAACGCGCTATACGGGCTAGACATAGTCTTGGCCGTTTTACCACTTCTTGTCGGGCGACTGCCACTTGTCGTAGAACTTCTTGAGGTCGTTGACGTCCTCCTTCGAGCCGAGGAAGACGGGGCAGCGGCCGTGGATGTTCTTCGGCTGGACGTCGAGGATGCGCTGCGAACCAGTCGTCGCGACACCGCCGGCCTGCTCGGTTAGGAACGCCATCGGGAACGCCTCGTAGAGCATGCGGAGCTTGCCGTCCTTGCTCTTCTTGTCGTCGGGGTAGCCGAAGATACCGCCGTAGAGGAGCGTGCGGTGCACGTCGGCAACCATCGAACCGATGTAACGAGCGCTGTACGGCTTCTTGTTCTCGGGGTACTTGATCGACTGGAGGTACTCGAGCGTAGGGGGGTAGAAGAACATCGAGTTGCCCTCGTTGAACGAGTAGATCTTGCCACGGTCGGGGATGCGGATGTTGGGGTGGGTCAGGATGAACTCGCCGAGCGACTCGTCCAGCGTGAAGCCGTCGACACCCTGGCCGGTCGAGAGGACAAGGTTGCACGACGAACCGTACCTGCGGTCTGTTAGCAACTGTGCCGGAACAACAGTCATTCTGCGGCGTTCAAGCGCGGGGCTGCACCACCCGATGGTGACTACCCCCGCAGCTTGGCATTCCGCACAGTGCCACTCACATGGTGTAACCGGCAGCAACCATCTTGTTGCCGGGCTGGAGGACGTCGGCGACGGTGCCCTCCTGGCCCTCCTCGATCTTGTAAACACCAAAGATGGTACCAACGTTGACACCAGCGTCAATGTTGGAGGAGCCGTCAAGGGGGTCGAAGACGACGGCGCTGTCTGTCAGCTGACATTCCTCGGAATCAGCGGTTTATCCGCAGTATGGTCCGGCACCCGTTTGTCGTCAAGACTAAGGCTGCCATGCCTCCTGCGGTTACCAAACAACTCACTAGGTGCCCTTGGAGCCCTTGACAATGATAGGGTCGTCAATCTCCTCGGAAACCATGACGGAGACCTTGCCCGAGGCCGAGAGCGCGTTCACCATGATGTCGTTGGAGAGGACATCGAGCTTCTTCTGGTCCTCGCCCTGGACGTTGGAGGCACCGGCGAGACCGACAAGGTTGATGAGACGGGCCTTGCGGACGTTCGAAGCAATGTACTTCGAGGTCACCTGGTTGTCAGCTACGTCGCTAGGAACATGCGGAGCTCAGGGAGGCGAATCTGGCAGAGAGGGGGCGAGCACTGCGTACGCAGCAGTAACAGCACCAACGGACGCCTGGACTCTCCAGCCAACGCGGGACTTCGCCAGATCCGTTGCGAACGAACAGACGTCCGTCGTGGTTATGACGCTGCTGCTGCGACGTCCAGTCTGACTGGCTACCGGCGGCCATGTGCGGCGACTGACGTAGCTGGGGCCGCAGGGCTGCAGGGACGCAGAGCTCGGACTGGCCGAGGGCTTGGTCCGACACGGTCCTCCCAGCACGCTCAGACGACGCACACATGCTCCGTTCGCCCCGGAGAGACGGTAGCCGGAGTGCCGGGTGCGACGTGTAAACAGTGCTCCACAACCAGTGCAGCGTGGACGGCTCGCTGGCTGCCCTCTCTGTAGTGGTGATGTGCTCGCCATTTGTGCAGCTGCTGTCACGACTGTCTCTCTACGCTCCTTCCCTCTGTGTTGACTTTCGTGCGGTTCCGCGGAGGCGGAATGTCTCGGAAATGGTACTCACCTGGATGCCGACGAGGAGGAGGGTGAGGTCACCGGAGGCCTTCTCTCCGATCTCATGCTGCCTGTTGAGAATGTGGCGAGTGAGGGTGATGAGGTCGGTGGGGGGAGCCTCGAAGTCAGGAGAGTCAGTCATGGTGAAGTGGTTGTGGGTGGTGAGGATGGGAAAGAGGGTGGTGAGCAAGGTAGCACCAGGGCTTATATGAGCTGGCACTCCGGAGCACGGAGAGAGCGCGCGACTGCCAGGATCCAGGAGGCAGGAGGATTATCTGGGGTGCGGGGCAATCGAAGTTGATTTAGGCGAGCGCAGCACAAAGCTAATGGCCTCGTGGCCGTGAAGCTAATGCGCGATATTGGGTCGGGCTGGTCGGGTGCGCGGGTGTGCGGGTGCGGGTGTGCATGGGGCCTGCCTGACTGGGAGCTGGTCGCTCGGTCGGTGAGTAACGCCCAGCGTTCGCAGCGTCAGGCTACCGTCATACGCGGTGCTCCGTTGGCCGTTGTCCGGAGGTATCCCACGGTAGCGCCCCGCCCAGACGGCACGGCACGCACGGTACCCACGGTAACCGTTTCGCTTCCTTCCCCTATCGCTCCGGCCCCATTTCGCCGGAGCCTCACTCGGGTGATCCCGCACTCGGCATTATCGGTTCCTCCCCACACTGCAGACGCTCGCATCCTCGTTGCCCCGCACGCTGTCCTCGACACGCGGACCTTATTACCGCCGGCAGATGCAAATCACCAGCAATCAAGATGGGGGCGAGAGCATCCCACCGCCCAATCTCGTCCCTCGCTGCACACCCTTCAGTCCCTCTACCCCGCACTCACAGCGGATTCGGTGCATTGATGATACAACTACGTGGCTGGGCTTGCGGCGGTGTGCGCCTTCCCGCTCGCGGCTGCCACCGCAACAAAGTGGTCGTGCGACCACCACGGGACGGAGCGATACGGGCACAAAGTAATAGGTATACGGGTTCGTTAAAGGGGGGTAGCTATGCATGCACACATGAACAGTCGTTATGAGGTTAAGCGTCAATCTCTCCAAGCTCCTGACCGACCTTGACGTAATCTCCTGGCTTGACCTGGAACTTGAACTCCTTCGGGGCCTCAAACACCAGGACAATTGTTGATCCGAGCTTGAATCCTCCCATCTCCTCTCCGGGAAGCAGCGGCTGTCCCTTCAGGATCGAGGCGGACGAGTAGACGGCCTCAGTGAACGTTTGCGGCGGGTGCGTTCGCTCCTTGGTGTTGGTGCGGAGCGTTTTGTCAAAGTTCACAATGATCGAGCCGACGTTGGTCGCACCGACGGGCGTCATGGAGAAGAATCCATGCTTCCATCGTCCGAGCAGGGCAACACGTTCGTTGAGAACAAAGAGGTTGCGGAGTCGGTTCGCAATGTACGGCGACACCGAGAACAGGTCACCGGTGAAGTGTCGTCGTCGCTCGACGACCCAAGCGGTCGGCGAGTGGTAGCGGTGGTAGTCACCGGGGGCGAGGTAGATGACACAGAAGAAGAGTGCATTGCCCGGCTTGATCGGGGCGACATCAGCGTCCTTGCCGGTCTCGGGGATAATCGCCTTGAGGCCGAGCTTGGACGCAACACTCGCATCGTGCTGAACATCGGTCTGCGCCTGGACCGAGGCATCGGCCTCACCCTCGTTCACGTCGCTGGGGTTCTCCTGAACCTCAGCAGCGCTGTCGGTACCCATGAGCGATCCAAGAGAATATGGGATCTCGTTGATCTCGGCGAAGTTCTCGTCGTCGTAGCTCCGGACATTCTGACCACCAACGATCTTTGATGATCCCTGCCTCTCGATCTCCATCTGCGAATAAGGCTCAGCACCCTGTCCAAGAAGGGCAGACAGCGAATACGTCATGCCCTTGACCTGCTCGACCTTTGACCCGGCAATCTCTCCAAGGTGCAGCACTCGTCCATCGGCGGGCGAAACGACCTCGGCGTCGGCGATAGGACGGGCTCCAGCCTTGAGTTCACGATAGAAGAATTCACCGAGCGACTCGTACTGCGTCAGATCTTGCGGAACGCATTCGTCGAGGTTGCAGCCAAAGATCCAACCGTAGAACCTGAATCCGTATGGACGGAACCAGACCGGAAGCACCAGCGAATTCAGGTAACCCCAGAGGCGTGACATGGATCGAAGCGGGAGCGCACCAAGGATGCGAACCTGTTCGGTGAGCTATATCCATGATAGGCGGATGTCGAATTTGGGTGTCTGCCGGCCATCTTGGGTCGCGTGGTCGCTTGTCCCACGCAGACCCACGGCGGCATGTCACCCAGTGACGCCACGCCGGCCAGTGGGAACTCACCTGCCACGGTCCCTCTGCACGAACGACAGCACCGTCCGGGCCCTGCGTCTCGACGAGCGGCTCTTCTCGCTTTTGCTTGCGCCATTGCACGGCCACGAGCACGAGAGCACCAAGTGCGATGGGGATCGGGTACCACTTTGTCGGCGTCTTCCATGCACGCGAGAGCTTGTCTATGTACGTCAGCAAATACAGCGCAGCAGCAATGAATGGCATATGCCGCCGGCGTATTCGAGGGGGGTGCAAGAAGGTCTCGGACGAGAGCAGCAGAAGCATGTCGCAGAGAAGGAAGGTGTGATGGGGAGTGCGGTGAGAGATGCGACGACTATGCTCTATTATAGGGGCATGCGGCATCGTTTGAGGCACACGGGGTGGATCGACCACACTAGCTCGACATGCCTAAATCACGCGAGCGACGCGATAGGATGCATGCTTCTGAGTAATTCCCGGTCCCCATGGCTTCTCCCAGGCCGACCGATGCACGAGCTTTCGAAACACAAACTCACCTTTCAGCGTTTTCTTTCCCTTGCCGTTCCCAGAGCCTCCCGAACCACCAGAGCTGCCGTTGCCGTTTCCACCAGAGCCAGAAGTCGAGCCCGCCGAAGTCGTAGTCGATGCCGTGTCCTTGCCGTCCTTTGTCGAAGCCGACGGGGGCAACCTGCGTCCAGCCTGCGTCGAGTTGAAGCGGATCATGGTCCTGCCGCCGACACGAAGACGGGTGACAGCACGAGCTGCACGTCCAGGGTAGAGTCTGCCGATTGCTTGACCGGCCATGCGACCGGGCAGAGTTCGCTTTCCGAGACGACCAACGGCACCGGCAGCACGAAGACCAACACGACCAGCACCAGCGACACCACTGTTGAGACGGACAAAAGCACGACGGGCCCAACGCACGGGTGCGCGAGACCTGGTGGCTGGGAGGGCCGCCATGCCAGCCAGGCCCGCGACACCCAATGCGATCGAGGCATTGGTGTGAGCATTGGCGTGAGCATTGACTTGGACGGTGGCGACCAAAGGCGGGGCCGCACGCTGTCGTAAGATGGATCCGGCCGAGCGGAGGGCGAACATGGTGTCGGGGGACCGCCTGTCGGACTCTGGGATCTGTTGGAAGAAAATCGACGGTGGTCGGGGGGTAGCTGTTGATGGATGGGAGTCTCGTTCTCGGAGCCAGGTTGGTCAGTTGAATTGCGCCAACGCCAACGCCCTCAACCCGGCCGGCGCCCTCCATCGTTCCACCACGAGGTCGATTTTCGTCACCGGCCGCACGTGACATCAGCGTGAAGACCACACGATAACGAGATATGCCCAGGCACGTAGGAACAAGGAATGAACGCAAGCCTGAGTCAACCGCCTTCCCTGTTGACATCACAACAACATCCTTTGAGAGCGGCGACCATCGCCGGCGACTAACGACGAGGTCATTCCCATGCTGCACTCGACATGAACGCACGGCAGGTGACAGACGCTTTGAAGCGTCGCTACCCCTGCCCCGAGCCGAGTTCTGTGAGTTGACGATCGCGTGGCTCAACTGATAATTAGGAATGGGTGTCGCAATGTCTAACTGCCCTCGCTGCAGATGGCCAAGACGCCTCGTACGAGAACGTGGAAGCTGCATACCTCGACTCTGATCTGAATGAGACAACTCTCAACGGAGTGATTCCTCAAGAGTTGAACGACGGCGTCCTCTTCCCTCGCCCAACGCTGCTCCAGCTTCACTCGATCACCGAGATTGGCGCGAGTGCGTTCGCGCTGAACACAGCCCGAGAGCAGCGCCGCGAGGTGCTATCTGGTGCGACTCGCATTCGCGGCATTGACGACGACGACGAGGATGACATCGACGACAGCAAGCTGCCCGCGTACCCCCGCAGCATGCTTAGCGTCGAGGTCAGCGATGGGCGCAGCACGATCCGCGCGATCGAGTATAGGAAACTGCCCGAGTTGGCGCTCGGTGAGACGCGACTGGGTCTCAAGGTGAGTTATGGCGCCGTACACCAACTGACACTAGCTACTCCTTCATAACACCAAGATGATGCGTGGGAGGCTGCTCCTTGAGCCGAAGAACTGCACAGTTATCGGCGGCTGTGTCGACGAGCTCGAGGAGGGCCAACCGCAGGCATTTGTCGAAGGACTGGAGAAGCGTCTACAGTAAGCTGTAGCACTGATGCTGGAGCTGACATCCAGTGATGCTAAGGAGAACCCCGTGCGCATGACCGGACGAGGAAGAGGACGGCGTACGTTGCCCGCCGCGACCGCAGCAACGCGTGCCCGGGCAACTCGGCCTGCGCCTGCCCGAGGCACGTCTAGTACAGCCCGTGCGCCGGTTTCAGCAGCGGCCAGCGCAGAGGCTCGAGCCGCACGTGCAGATTCGCGCGGCGATGGAGAACCCCGACCCGCAGGAGGAGCGGGCCCGACCGGCCCCAGTGACTCAGATTACTGGTGCCCCTTCATCAGCGACAGGGGGCCCAAGCTCCGGCTCATTCGCGAACCCGACCGTTATTAGCGATGACGAGGACGAGTTTGACGACTTTGATGACAGCTTTATCCGTGCAATAGACGAGGTCGAGGCTGCCGGTATGGGTGCGGCGGCGAGCATTCCACGTATGCGGTCGCAACCAACTCAACGCTCGAGCGGGAGGAGCACTATCCCCGCCGACGCCGAGATCATAGAGCTTTCCGATTCTGACTAGTTCATGAAGTGTATGTAACAGTGTACAGTGTGCCTATGCCAGTTAAATGCATACATACATTCTAATCTACACTTCGATTTTAATGGTCTCCTTCTCGTTGACGGGGGTCTCAAGTCCATCGAGACCGGTCTCGACGGCGGTTGACGCCGAGGAGACGCTGCTAGAGTCGTCGGCCTTGCCGAGGTTGATCATCTTGCGACCGTCAATGTGCCAGATGTAAACCGCCCAACCGGCGATGTAGACGAAGCAAGGAACAACAAGGAAGTACGAGACGCGGGTGTTCCAGCGGTCCGCGATAGCCATCTGCGCGGGAGGGAAGACGGCACCGCCGACGACGCCCATGACGATGAGACTGCCTCCACGGCGGGTGTTCTGCCCGAGTCCAGCCGTGCCCATGGCAAAGATGCAGGGGTAGATGCAGCTCTCGAAGAACATGACGATCATGAGCATGGCGACGCCGGTCATGCCCGAGAGCGAGGCGGTGAGGATGGTGAACAGGAGCGAGAGCAGGGTGTATCCGAAGAGCACGACGGCGCCGGGCCAGATCACCATCAGGGCGACGGAGAGGAAGCGACCGATAGTGAACATGATGAGCGAGTAGGAGAGGAGCTCGGAGCCGCGGGCGTGGTTGATCCCCGCGTCTTCGGCCAGGAAGATGAAGAAGCTCGCCAGCATGACCTGCGCGCCGACGTACATGAACTGTGCGACTGCGGCGGAGAGCGCGCGCGTCTCCTTCCAGAGCGGCTTGCGCGGCTCGTTCGTATCGAAGACCAGCTCGTCCTCATGCACCTCTGGCAGGGGGTAGATGAGGAACACGAACGCGAGGATGAAGCCGACAGCGGAGACAGCGAGGTACACCCACTGGACGTTGTTGAGGTCGTCGTCGTGCCCATCGCTGAAGAAATACTTTGACGCGATGAGCGGGCCGGCAAAAGAGCCGATGCCGTTGAAGCCCTGCGACAGCTGGAGGCGGAGCGCGCTCACGCCCTGCGGCGGCATGACGGTGATGTAGCTGTTGGCCGAGACCTCGAGACTGGCGAGTCCGCAAGCCGTGAGGGCAGTGAGGACGACGAAGCCGCCAAAGATGCCCTGCTTGTTCGCGTCGGGCTTCATGGACTCGCGGGCCACGGGCCAGAACAAGATCGCGCCAGTCGAATACAGCACGAGGCCCATGATGATCGTAACCTTGTACCCGCGACGCTTCAGGACCCAGCCGGCCACGGGCGAGAAGAGGAAGTAGCCCACGCCAAAGTAGGCGGCCTGCAGGCCCGTCGACTGAGTGCGCGTCACGCCGAGAACGGAGCGGAGGTGCGCATTAAGCGTGTCCAGCACTGGGCTGGTCAGCGCCGCCCGTTGTACCCTCTGTTGGTGAGAAGAGGTCACTCACGGCCGTACAGTAAACCCCACAAGAAGAAGAGGAAAGAGACGAGCAACCACGGCCCGACTGAATCGTTAGTTCACTGACATCACTTTTACCTGGCACGCGACCACTTTGCGAGGTATGCAGCTCGCTTGCTGGCTTGCTCGCGTGCTCGCGTGACGCCAACACCGCCGATAGCAGACGCAGCGCAACTCACTGAAACGACGGGGCATAAGCCCCTCCTTGAACACGGACTGCTGGATCGCGGGGGCAGAGGCGGCCATGATCGGTACCCGCACGGGGATGGGATGATGATGGCCAAAAAGAAGAGAGGAGTCAAGATTGCCAGAAATTTTGGACCCAGTACCCCCTCCCGGCGGCACCCCTTGCTCTCAGTCGAGTCCAACTTTCTTTCCACACTTCCGGCACTCATTCGAGTCGGTACTCCCGATTGCATAGCGTCCTGGCCACTCATGTGGAAGCTCCAGGCTGGTTCAGGTGGGAGGGGAGGGCACCAGGAGGGAGCCAGGAGGATCAGGAGGGGTCCAGCAGGAAGCACACGAGGGGCAGCAGGCGAAGCAGGTGAGGCAGCAGCAGGCGGGAACCCAGCCTATCTCCTACGGTTCTATCTCGGAACAAAATTGCTCAGCCAATACGATCCGAGGGGCGAGATGGCGACATGAGCTCCGTGGGGCTGTGGAGCCCGCCGCGTACGCCGGGTGCGAGGAAGCTAACCCTCTGTAAATCCTCTGTTAATCCTCTGTCGACCCTCGTTCGACCCTCAGTTAACCCTCGGTGCAGCCTCTATGCAGCCTCAGTGCAGCGCCCAGAACACGCCTGCATTCAGTCAACTGCGGCGTTTAAAGTTCTGCAACCAGTCATCTAACGGGAGGCGGAGGGTCTGGAGGGTCTGGAGGGTTTGGAGGGCTCGCGAGGGGGGTAGGCGGACAAGCGGAGGGTCGTTGGCGGATGGTCGACGGGCGGATTAGAAATTTTCGGTCAGGCGCACTCGATTGCCGCCGTTGCCGTGCCGCTGCCGGCGGCAGATGTGATTGGGCCGAAGAGATATGGCGAGCTAAGCGGGGTCTGGTCTCCTGCATGCTGATATCTGCCGTGTGCCTGCGGTTCGTCTGCAGCGCTGCAGCAGCACACGAGTCGAGGTATTTATCAGCGCGATGTCTGGACCGCCTGCCAGGCTCTTGAACCCAAGATCAGTCGCGAGGTGATCTGCGGAATGCTCATGTGCCACAAGAGTATATTACATAACCTAGCCCCTACGACTTGTTCTCCACCAGCACACCGCAGATCGTGTACTTGCCGCTGAAGTGCTCGTGCCATCCGTGCATGTTGTCGCTGCTTGTTAGCTCGGTCAACCAAGTGGAAGCTTACATCTCGCTCTTCGTCAGGTCGGTAAGCTTGTCGAGCGGCTGGTCGATGGGCGTGAGCATGTCTGCGGTTAGCGGATAAACCAAGGTATGGAGCGCCGATGATGGCTTGCGTCGGCATGGCGACGGCGACGACGGCCGTACACTAGTAGCATTCGGACTGCGGAGGTGCTGGCCAACGGCGAGGGGACGCGAAGGCCCTCCCAAGCCGACTTCGAACACGATCGCTCAACCTTAGCTCAGCTGGTCGCGGGTTGAGTGCCAGCAGACGCCGCGGCGCATGATCATCCCCAAACGCCTTCCCTTGCAAGCAGTACTCACCCTCGTCGAAGCTCTGCTTCGCCATTCCTCGCGACGCATCGCGGCCTGCAAAGTTGCCGTACATTCCCTCTGCTTGTTAGCTTTGAACCCAGGCCGCAGCTTGCTTCCGCATGGGCGCGTGTACCGTGATCTCGCGGGCTGCAATGGTCCCTGTCGTTGCCTCTGGCGATGACCCCGGGGCACCTATTGCTGCAGAATATCGCACTTACCCGGGCCGTAGAAGTTGGCGCCCTTGGAGACGTCAAACACAGTGCGCTCAATGATGTTGTGATCCTTGTCCATCTTGGCGATGGCGAGGAGGATGCGCTTCGACTTGATGCCGTCACTCTCCGCGAGCTCGATAGGCGTGTACTCCTTCCAGATGCCGACCTCGGGGTGCTTGTCCGGTCCCCAGTTGTAGACGCCGGCAGTGTAAGTCGTTGGTGGGACTTCCGGGACAGGCTTCTGAGGAACAATGGCACGGAAGACGAGATAGGCGATGGGAATGAGAAGGGCGACATTGAGGGGATTGGAGAAGGACATGGCTGTTGATGCCTATGCGGCGGGGGTCGTCTTGAGGCTGTGAGAGAGTCGTTTGGTGTGAGCTAGAGAAGCTGGGAAGTGAGTTGAGGAGGGATGGATGGCGATAGACGATGGGTGAACCAAAGGATGCCGAGGTCGGTCGTGGACTATTGCATCATGGTACGGGTACTCGGCTCTGTCCGGTCGCTTCATGGCCGGTCTCCCAGGATGGTCTCGTTTTGGGGGCGCTCCGCCAAAAAGCCAAAACCAGGGGCGGGCCAAGTATCGTCCGCATATTACATACATATACAGGACTCATCAAAGGAGTGTAGCAAGCATGTATCAGATAGCATCTTCGGGTGGCGACGACTACGCACGCTGTCGCCACAGCCTGGGCCGCAGCGGGCGTATGCCGGCGGTACATACTGGGGAGTCGTGCTGCCGACGGGGTGATGCATGCAGGCGTTGCCGTGTGCCGTTTGAGTGCCGTGCCGACGCGTCGCTGCGTGGCACGTAAGAAGATTTAAGATATTGCAATTCAAGACAGAAGTTTCCGTCGCATGCCTAATCCCATTTCTCCGCCAGCCACACACGCCTATCCCCTCCCAGAACATAGCCATCACCCCCCGCTTGCGAAATGTCTGCGAATGACATCGACGCTCGCTCACAGAGCACCGCCTAGTCTTGTTTCCTCGCCATCTCGCTCTCCCTCACCTCACTCTCTTCCACCACCCCCGAGAGAGAGAGCACCCCCGCCTCCCTTCTTCGTCCCCCCAGGCCCACGGCCACCCCGCTTCCTTTCGGCCCTCGGCCTCCGTCCCCCGTCTTCCGCCATGTTCGCCATCGCCAGAGCCTCGGCCGCCTCCTCCAAGGCTGGCCTCGCTCGTTCCAACGCTCTCGCACCCCGGTTCTTCTATGCTGCCGCCGCCACCACGGCTTCCCCGGCTCTTGTTCTTGGTCTCCGCCCCGTCCTCCGCGCCTACTCTACTCAGACTACTACCACCACTACGACTACTACTACGACCCCGCCTGCTTCCAACGAAAAGGCTGCCCCTGCCACGGATGCGGCCAAGGCCGCCGCTGCCGCCAACCCGACTCCCGAGTCCAAGGAGGTCACTCCGGAGCTCAAGGAGACCGGTGTTGCCGCCGTGAAGAAGGAGAAGCCTTCTGGTCCCTTCCTCAAGCGTGCTTGGGCTGTTGTTAAGAAGGAGGCGGCTCATTACTGGGCCGGCACCAAGCTTCTCGGCTCGGAGATCAAGATCTCCTCCAAGCTTCAGTGGAAGGTTCTCAACGGTGGCTCTCTCACCCGCCGTGAGCGCCGTCAGGTAAGTTGAGCAACTGGAATAGGAGCTGACGACCAGCTCCGTCGCACGACCACTGACCTTCTCCGTCTTCTGCCCTTCTCGGTTTTTGTCATTATCCCGTTCATGGAGCTTCTGCTTCCCGTTGCCCTCAAGCTCTTCCCTAACATGCTCCCCTCCACCTTCGAGGGTCAGCTCGCCAAGGTGCGTTTTTTTTCGAGATTTCGTCTATTTGGCTCCAAGCTGGACGGAGCAAAGACCATGTCCCCAAAAGTTCAGAGGATGGTGACTAACCTATCAGGACGAGAAGGAGCGCAAGCTGCTCCGTATCCGTATCGAGATGGCCAAGTTCCTCCAGGAGACTGTCACGGACTCTGGCCTGAAGTCTGACCGTGTCCTTGAGAGCGACGAGTTCAAGCAGTTCTTCCGCAAGGTCCGTACCACTGGCGAGAACCCTTCGCCGGAGGACGTTATCCGCGTCGCCAAGCTGTTCAACAACGACATCACTCTCGACAACTTGACCCGTCCCCAGCTCGTCTCGATGTGCAAGTACATGAACATCCACGCCTTCGGTACCGACAACTTCCTGAAGCACCAGATCAACAACCGTCTCGAAAAGATTCGTGCCGACGACATGATGATTCACGCCGAGGGCATTGACTCGCTGTCTATCCCCGAGATCACCTCTGCCTGTCAGTCGCGTGGTATCCGTGTCACCGGTGTTTCGCCTGCTCGTCTCCGCGAGGAGCTCGCCCAGTGGGTTGACCTGCACTACACGAACGGTATCTCCGGTGTTCTTCTGATTCTCTCGCGTGCCTTCAACTTCGAGAACAAGGGAGAGGACGTCATGACTTCGCTGGTTACTACTCTTGGTTCGCTTCCCGACCCGCTTATCGACGAGGCCGAGCTCTCGGTCGCCGACGAGAAGGACTACAAGCAGAAGCTCACTGTGCTCGAGCAGCAACAGGAGCTCATCGATGACGAGGCCGAGCAGGAGCAGGAGGAGCGCGAGGCGCGCAACGCCAAGCGTGCTCAGCAGGAGGCTGCCGAGGCCGAGAAGGAGAAGGAGAAGGCTCTCCAGGCTGCCGCCGCCGACGCTCACGCCACGACTTCCGACTCCAAGATCTCCGCCGAGGCTTCCGCTCTGTCCACCGACGCTACTGGCGCCCACCCCTCTGGCGCGCAGGCCAGCACTGCTCACCCTGGTGCTTCCGTTGCCGCCCAGCCGCCGACGCCCGAGAAGCCCTCTGTCGAGGATGCCAAGATGACGAAGGAGCAGATTGGCGAGCTCGCCGAGGCTCTGTCGCTGTTCACCGCCAAGTCGTCGATCGAGAAGGAGCGTCACGAGCTCAAGGAGATTCTCGAGGACAACCTGCTCTCCGAGGCCGAGTCGAAGGAGCACCCCGAGGAGGTGGACGCCAAGGTGATCGCCGTGTCCAAGAAGGTGCGCTCGATGATCAAGAAGATCGACGCGCAGTTGGAGAAGTACGACGAGCGCGTCGGCAACAGCCTAAACCTGATCCACACGAATGCGCGCGGCGAGATCTTCGTGCACGACCTGCAGGCCGCTCTGCGTGCGATCAAGCACGCGCCGCCCGAGGAGCTCGTCGAGAGCCTCTCAAAGAAGCTCGACCCGGATGGAGACGGCCTCGTGCCGCTCGACCACGTGCTCGAGCTCGCGTCGCACGACGACGGTCTCGGCCTCGGCGTCTTCCTCGACGACGAGGCGTCCAACCTCCTCAAGAAGGGAGACGAGTTCCGCCACTCGACAGACGTCAAGGACGTCAAGAGCCTCGGAAAGGAGCTCAAGCCCAACCGCAAGGACATTATCCAAGAAGAGTAAAATGTTTAGTCCACGCCCTCACCCGCACCCAACCCCACACACAGCTAGTAACAGTAGTACCCCATCCCTACATCTCTACCCTCGACCTCTCCTCTCTCCACTCTCTGTCCAGGCCTCCCCCACCTTAGACTCATCCCGACCTATCTCTATCCCTCCCCCCGCTTTACTCTTTTTCAACCAAGTTACAAGTTTCTGCATTGCATAGATCTCCCGAAGGGCTGCGCGACAGCGCAGCGATACACCTCTCTTTTGGCATCACTGATCACGGCAAACACAGTCGCTGATGATACATCTCATCTCTACTTGGTAGAGTACGTCTCACTAAGGCGCATGTGGACGTAATCGCCGGCCTTCATAACCTCGAACCGATTCGGCCTGTCCTCCGTCACACAAGTCGGGATGGGCTCCATGAGCACGTCGTGGTCGCACCCAAAGAAGAAGGGGATTGAGTACCGGTCCCGCTCCAGCGTAGGGAGCACGCGGTGCCGCGTCGACACGAAGACGCCGTTCGTCCAGCGCGCAAACTGGTCACCAATGTTGATCACGAATGTGTTGGGAATCGGGGTGGCGTCGATCCACCCAGACGCCGACTTGACCTGCAGCGCGCGGGGGCAGGAGTCCTGGCGCAGGATCGTAAAGCATTCGTAGTCTAACGTCAGCGAACGGGCGTGAACGAGCGAAGCGGGTGAGCCCCTCCGCTCACACGGAAGGGAGGATGCAGGGTAAAGTCGACTTACCAGTGTGGTCGCCGATTCCTGGCATGAGCTCGTCGACTTCGCGCCCGTCCAGGCCGGGGTAGAAGAGCAGCCGCATGATGGCGGCCGGGTGGCGCGTCTTGTCGTCGAAGAAGGTCTCGGGGAGGTCGAGCGCGAGCGCAAACAGGGGGAAGAGGCGCTGGCCGAGGCCGAGGAGCTCCTTGCTGTGGGCGTTAGCGGCTGCGAGCGAAGCGAGCTGGCGCCTATACCCTTCTCCTTTCCTCCCTCCCGTCCCCGATGGTAGAGGGAAGGCCATTGGGAAGGGATAGCATTACTCACTAGTACGAAAGGACGGTGCCCTTGAATTCCTCGGCGCCGTCCCAGTCCTTCTTCTCCGGCCACTGGTTCTCGGAGTGCCTCAGACCCTCGTTTCCCTCCTTCTTGAAAGACTCCGGGGACACCTCGGGGTCCAAGCCGAGGTTGAACGCCTCGTGGTAGTCGCCCTTGTTCTCGCTCGAGACATTCTCAGACAGCAAGCCCATGTATCCCCTAAAGTTGTCCGAGTTGGCGATCGCGACAGACTTCTTGACAGCATCGGGCGTCTTGAAGAACGCAGAGGACTCCTTGAACGTGTTCTCGACGACGGACTCGGGGACACCGTGGTTCTTCACTTGTCTGTCAGCTATGCTCTACGCGAGGCGCAGGACATACCGTAGAAGAATCCAGCCGTCAGACACGCCTTCCTGATTTCTTCGGCGAGCGCTTTGCGCTTTTCGAACTCGGGTGCGGTCGCATCGCTGAGATCACTTGACTGGTCAGCTAATGCCGTCGAGTCAGCTTACATGACGGGGATCGAGTCAAAGTCGGTCTTCTTCAGCTCGTCCGAGAGCTGGGCGAGGTTGGACACGGTCATGGCGAGATGTTCGTGGAGATAAGAGCAATGGCAGAAGTGGGCGTTCGCAACGGTCTCAGATAACAAACGCCAGTACGCCAGTTTGCATTCATTCGACTCCGACTCCACCTGATTGCGGCGGCCGGGGCTGGAAATATTTAGCCCGTTATCGCGGTGCAGGAACATGAAAAGGAACGAGGAACTCCGCATGCCCAGGGCTGACAGGGCTGGATTCCGCAGGACTAACCGCGTAATGACCGACTTGCCGCGGCGCCACCCGGCAATCAACCGTGCGGGAATCTACCGTCCACTCACATCGAGGATATTGCCCGCAACACACCTACCACCCCGAAATCTTTGGTCTATCATGATACACTTGCATGGTAAAACTGCCTGGTCTACGGCTCTGCTTTTATCGTACTGCCTGCTCCGCTGTCTACTGCCATCGCCTGTTCTTCCATGGGCTCCCCTTCCCCCTCGTCGTCACTAGCGTCTTCGGCGCGGGCGACCGCGGTTTTCTTACGGCGGCACTACCAGCCGAAAGACTCGCCGAGGTAGAGCGCGAGCCCTGACACATTGTTGCTGGCGACCTCGAGAATCTTGTCCTCCGCATCCCTGAAGGCATTACGAGCACGGTCGAGCTCGCGCTCGTTCATCGTCTCCAGCAAGTCCTCTGTGTCCTTCTCCTCCTCCTCCTCTTCCTGTAGCACACTCTGCGGAATCGGGAGACCGAACCGGTCCTCGGCCAGATGACGCTTCTTCTCCTTGCGCTGCTCGGCGGACAGCTCGGGGTCGTCTGGGTTCGAGATGGCGAGCTCAGCACGCAGGTTGCGGGCCAGGCCGCGGAGAATGAGAGCAGCGAGGAAGGCGGCGCCCATTGGGTTGCGTTGCGCGTCCGTCGGCGTCAGCTGGCCGATGTACCGGCACGCCTCAGACTGAGGTAGCGGAGGCACGCGGCGCCCAGTCACGTTCGGCGTCCACAGCACGTTGCCCGGCGTCTGTGAGCTGACAGCGACCGTCTTTGGCACCTTGATCGGCTTCTCAAGCGGAAGATGCGTCAGAAGATGCGACAAAGTGAAGGGGCTCTGCTTGCACGAGCCCCACGCGCACGCCGACGGGTTCGACGACAGGTGCTTCTCCCGCACATGCTCCAGCAGCTCAGCCGGATTCGTCGCACCAACTGGCCGGTCACACTCGCGCCAGATGCACGTAAACCTTTCCGTCTCATCTGAACATCAGTTACGTGACCAAAGCTCTGAAACTTACATGATCCTTTCCTGAAGCCAAGACCGGCAATGACGAAACGCTTCTCGCCCCGCTCGTCCGTCCACAGCTTGGCCTGCGCGGCAGGGAACGCGATCTGAACGTTCTTAATGACCTCCGACGCGCTGAGCAGGGGCTCGACTGTCTTCGGGTTCGAGAAGAAGTTGCGGTACGCATGCCAGAACGTCACCTGCAGCAACTGCGCCTGCGAGCTGTACACAAAGGTCTCGTGCATCCTGTTTGTCAGCTTATACCAGGAGCGGACAGCTTACCAGGCAACTGATCGCTTCGTCTCGGACATGTGGTACAGCTCGTTGGTGATGGAGGGCGCAAGTTGAGGCGCCTCATCGCCGACCTCGCGGAACACACCTGGTCCGCCAAACATCTCCATTCGCGACTCGTCCGCTTCCCGCTCAGCGCGACGGAGTAAGCACGCTTGCCGTGCGAGCTGGATATCGCACGCGGGGTTGATGACGTCGCGGCCGCGGAGCGCCGGAGGGGGCTGGAAGTTGATCTTCTGCTGCTGGCTGCCGTACTCGAGCAACCCGACGAGTGTCCGCAGGTGGGCGGGGAAGGAAGGCTCAGCGAGGATGGCACGGGCGTGCTGAGGCATCGGAACCATCGCGGCAAGGAGGTCGAGAACAAGCTCGAGTAGCTCGGTCGATCCCGTCAACGTCAAGAGGTAAAGCATGTGCTGGATGAAGCCATCGGGTGGCGGGCCAGAGTAAGCGTTGCTGTAGACCTTAACGAGAATCGGGAGAACGGATGAGAGGACAGCAATGTCGCGCGAGTGCATCACAAGCGTCGGGAGGACTTCGTTCAGGATGTTCTGCGTTTCGGGAGTCGAAGCGAGGAACTCGAAGCTGCGCTGGAGGATGACGAGAATATGAAGGATGGGCTCGGGTGTACGTTGCGCGACCTCGAGAAGGAAATCCATCGGCAAGCTGAAGATGCGCGTCACGACGTCGAGGAATGGGCCGCGCGAGAGACGGCGGGCGTTGTTACCCTGCACCAGACTCAGATTGCGGAGAACCTGGAGCGAGTACGTCGCGCGCGCCTCCGTGACAGGTTGCCGCGTGAAGTCGGGGACGGCGCCAAGGGCTTCGCGGTACTGGTCCGGATCCCGAAGTGCGGTGCGGTATGCAGCCTCACGCTCGAGCTCGTCGACCCAGAGCTGCGGCCACTCGCAGAGGATGGTGTCAGAGTCGAGGTACTGGTCAAGCTGCATGTCGCGGTCGTAGGAGCCGAGGACGAGGCGGGGAAGGGCCCAGTCAACCTCGTTGTCAACGCCGGAGCGAAGCGCGAGGAACAGCCTGTTCCGCGGTCCGGGACGAAGTTCCTCGCCTGTCGGTCCAAACGGCGTCGCGGCTGGCCGCGGCATCATGCGCGCGCCTTGCTGGGCTTGTGCTGCCTGCTGCTGCTGGAACTGGGCAGCTTGCGCGCGAGCAGCTTGATATTGCGCGGCGGTCATTGGCGCACCCGGCGGAGGTGCGACCCCATGCATGGCGACCGGGCGCGAGGCCGATGGGACGGCCATGTTGATCGGATGTGGCGATGGATGTGGATGGGGGGTTTGTTGACAATGCAGGGTTCCGACGCGCTTGATGCTCGATCCAGGACTGGCATGCATGAACGAGTGACTCCCGCGCGCGTCGTGTGGTGAGTAGTGATAGATTTACTTCCGTCATCACCACGGAGGTCGGTGGCAAGAGCAATCAAAATACACGTGGGCCCGTTCCCAAAAGTTGGAGGAAGGCAGTGGCCATGAAGTCAGAGCTGCATGTGATCGGACAGCTGCAACAACACCACACCCACCACACATCGACAATGGACGCGCTGCTAGCTGCGGCGGGCCCCATGCGGCCGCCGAAGAGGAAGCGCTCGTTCCACAAGAAGGGTCAACCGACGGCACACAAGACGGTCGACCGCGGCGAGCACAAGGAGGCGATCGACCCCAGCACCAACTCGATCCTGACGAGCACGCGCGTGCCGGGGTCGTTCCAGTCCCGCAACCTGGCGACAGGCAAGGGCGCCGAGCCGCTTCGCCCCGATGCCTCTGTCAGCAAGATTGCGGACAAGAAGCTGCGCGCGCGCGTTGCCCGAACGGACGTTGCCGGCAAGAAGGCGAAGCAGGAGCGCGCCGATGTCGACGAGTGGCTGAACCAGGCCGTCAGCGGCGGACAGGGCGGCATCGAGGTCGAGGAGGACGAGGGAGAGCGGACATGGCGCGTAGGGCAGGACGAGATCGTGCAGGCTGTCGGTGTGTCGAACGCGCACAAGAAGTTCGACCTCCGCTTCGACAACATGGGCAACTACATGGTCGACTACACGCGGAACGGACGGCACCTCGCCATTGCGAGCCAGAAGGGCCACGTCGCGACGTTTGACTGGAAGGCGGGCAAGCTCAATGCCGAGATCCAGCTTCGTGAAGCGGTCCGCGACATCAAGTTCCTCCAGAACGAGGACTACTTTGCCGTCGCGCAGAAGAAGTATGTCTTCATCTACGACCGGAACGGCGTCGAGCTGCACAAGCTCAAGGACCACATCGACCCGGTTCACATGGAGTTCCTGCCCTATCACTACCTCCTCTCCACTGTCGTAAGTCTCATTGACTGCAGCTGGTTGGACGGACCAGTTAGCTGACATCCAGGGACACGCCGGCCACCTCAAGTACCACGACGTCTCGACCGGCCAGATGCTGACGCAGATCGCCACGCGGTTGGGTTCGCCGGCCTCCATGGCGCAGAACCCGCACAGCGCGATCATCCATCTGGGCCACCAGAACGGCACGATGACGATGTGGTCGCCGAACCTGACGACGCCGCACGTCAAGCTGCTGGCCCACCGCGGCCCCGTGGCCGGTATTGCGATCGACCCCTCCGAGAACAGCGCGGGGCGCTACTGCGCCACGGCCGGTCTGGACGGCACTGTCAAGCTCTGGGACGGTCGCATGTGGGGCAAGGAGGTGCGGCACTGGACTGTGCGCAATGCGCCAAGTACGCTGTCGTACTCGGGGCGCGGTATCCTGGCCGTCGGCGGAAAAAGCGGCGTCACGACGTACCGCGACACGCACCGCGGCAGCGGCGCTCCGAAGCCGTACCTCACTCTTCCCACACCGGGACTCAGTGCGTTTGACGCCCGCTTCTGTCCGTTCGAAGACGTGCTCGCCGTCGGACACGAGAAGGGTATTTCGTCCCTCCTCGTTCCCGGGTCCGGAGAAGCCAACTTCGACTCGAACGAGGCAGACGTCTTCGAATCCTACTCCCGCCGGAGGGAGCGCGACGTGCGCTCGGTGCTGGACAAGATCCGTCCCGAGCTCATCACGATGGACACGGATTTCCTCGGCCACATCAACCCGTCCAAGGGTGGCGAGACGCATGCCGAGCGCGAGGGGCGGTCGTACCGCCATCTGTCGCGTATCGAGCGTCTCAAGCTCAACGGGGAGGACGTCGACGGCTCTGGCGCCGAGGGCACCGCCCGAGGTGCCGCGGGAGGCGTCAATGGAGCGAACGAGTCGCGCATGGGCATCAACGACGAGGACGAGGAGAGCGGGGACGATGAGGACGAGAGCACGCCCGAGGGCAAGAAGAAGAAGAAGATGCGCGGACGCAACAAGGCCATGAAGCGGTACCTGTCCAAGAAGAAGAAGAATGTGATTGACCCGGCCCTGCTTGCTGTGAGGGAGAAGGTTGAGGCGCAGAAACGTGCCGACGAGCAGGCCGCGCGTGTGGCTAGGGGAGAAGTCGTCAAGGAGTCTGGCGCGCTTGCGCGCTTTGGATAGTTTTGCACCTCTCTGACGCCTCTCGCACCAGCTTTGCTTCTTCTCATTCTGTTCTTTCGCCCCGAGCAGGGGCATCGCACATTTTCCATTCTATAGATCTCCATGTACAGTATGCATTCCCTCTAGCATTGCACCCTCCTTCTACTCTGCAGTCCGACCTTATGGTGCCTCTCACACGACCTGGGTGGCAAATTTGCTTCGAGCGGTGGCAAACGATCGACACTTCCGATCAGCCCGCAGTCTGCAGATCTACGGACCATGCGTAGCAGGGATCTCAGGTGCACAACACTCACCTATGCACCTTCCCCGTCTCCTCTGGCTTCCCTCGCCCCTCCTGCTCGCCAATACCATAGTTTTGAGCAAGGGCCCTCGTCCCCACCGCTTCCACTCGCCCCGCTCGTGGGAGTGTTTGTTGCAATGTTATGCTATCCATGCGTGCTCTAATGTATTTGGGGGGTTACAATATATGCAGAAGTACAGAAACCGTTGGTTGTTTGTCGTCCCGTCGCGTTCCGTCCGTTCGTCTAGATGCTGCTGTCGTCCTTACGTCTTCTGCACTGCACGCTGCTGTTACATGCACTCCTCAGTCCTCATCCTCCATCCTCCATCCTCCGCGGTCCACTCTGGCGCCACCCCCCTTCCTCCATCTCAACGGGCGTCACGCAGCAAAGCGCATCGCGAGAAGAGTTGACTAGAAAGAAAGGGGAGGCCTTCGCCCTCGGCCTGCGGCCTCGGGCTCACGAGCTCACGCTACTTCCCGGACTCGGCCGCCTGCGTCCGCCCCTCTGCCCCTCGTTCCGTCGCTTCGCCGCCCGCCCGCGCGGAGTGGAGGGCTCACCCTGATTCTCCATGGGTCGCTTCGCACCAGTCGGTCCAACCTGAGACGGGCTCGCCTCCTCGCTCGTCGTCACGTTTACCGGGATGGGGACCGAAAAGTTGAACGCTCCAGCCGGGGCCGCGTGACTTGACGTCGGGACGCGGGTCGCTGAACGCATCGTCTTGACACCCGGACGGGCAGGGGCGGGGGACATGATCGGCGACGAGGCGGGGATGGCGTCCGCACGAACGGGTCGCGAAGGAGTCGAGTCCTCCTCCATCTGGTCTGTACGCTGCGAGAGCGAGCTTGGCCCGGGCGCAGTGTACCGCGGCATGCTGGGGGCGGGGGCCGAACTCGGGCGCGCGGCGCGGGGTTTCGTCGGCGCTGGCGCTTCGTCGTCGTTGTCCTGCGCAAAGGCTGCCATTGCCGTCTGCTGTCAGCTTTATAGGTGGGAACCAAGGAAGCTCACCTGGCGAGCCTCAGTCCAATCCATCAGGCGCGCGAGGGCGACTGCTGCGTCCTCGCCGGCTCCGATGTCGCTCTGCACCTTCGAGAGAACGTCCGCGCTGCATGTTAGCTCACCCAAAGGACTCTCTGAGCTACTTACAGAGCGGCAGAGTAGCCGACCTGGTATGCTTGCTGATTCGTTAGCACATTTGCCACCAGACTGTGCGCTGTAACACGCCGCCCCGACGCCCGCCACCGGCCAAGTGTCGGAAGAAGCCCACCAACACCACCCGGCGAGCGTTGTCCAGCGACAAGGGATCACGCACCTTGGTATTGCCCAGCGAAGTCTTGTAAAGATTCGTGATACTCAGCGCGGCGGCTGTCGTCAGCTTCACTCCTCGAGACAGCTTACCTCTGAACTTATCGGTCATGTCGCGCTCCGCGTCGGCGAGCCCGGCGGGCAGCGACGAGTCGAGGCCTGAGAGGTCCATATCGTCTATATCTCCTTCGTTGTTGTAGTGTAGTGTTGTAGTGTTGGTGTCGCTGGTATGTTAAGAGTGCAGAGTGTGCAAGATGGCGAGCGCGATGTCCGATTGCAGCACGAGGCCGGGGCACAAGTAAACTTACCGGTCGGTGCGGCGTCGATTTTGATCCCGCTAATGCTGCACTTGCACTTGCAGTCAGATCTCAGCCCTTATCCCCCACCTAATCGCGCCCCAGGCACTTGTTTGTGCATCACTCCCCCTCACTACTCGTCACTGTGACTCGTCGTGACGCGATGTGATGCATTCGTGAGGTAAGGCACCGAAATAACGCCCGGATCGTACTACATACTACTGCATTATAAGATAATATCGAGGCGAGTACAAGATACGAAGTATGGAGAAAAGGAATTGCCCGTCTTCTACAATCAGCAGCTCGGAGTCATCCGCCGGTGGCCGCAGCCTAGAGCAGTGTCGTCCACCACCCGCTCGCCTCGTCATTCTCGAGCGCAATGAGCGCGTTGGACCAAACGTCCTCGTTCGTGTTCCACAGTTCTGCGCCCTGTCCCTCAACCGGTAACGTCGGCCACAGCTCCTGCGCAGCTGGCAGGTTAGGCATGGGCACTTCCGAGGACTGCGCCTGCGTCTCTGGCGCCTCGATGAAGCGTTTCAACAGCGGCACACCACGCTGCACAACGAGCGAGTTTGAGCCGCACTCCCAGAGCGAGTCGATCGCGCCGCGAATCTCCTGCACGATCTGCTGGCGCTCCTGCGGCGAGGGCTTGCCGTGCACGAGCTCGGTTGCGATCACGACACCAGCCAGGACGGTGTATGATGCAATGGGCCAGGTTCGCAGGAACATCGGCGGAACGCGCCGACGGCGCTGGCGCAGGATCTCACGGGCTGCCGTCAGACACTTCTCACGCACGTCGCTGAAGCGCTCGTCGCTGTATGACCGGCCCAGGAAGGAGCGGTACACTAGCACGACGCCTGCAGCGTTCAGCAGCGTCCAGAGGTATCGCGAGTGTGCGCTCGGATCGTGCGGCGCATGCAGGTCGAAGTTGCTCTCGTCATAGTGGTCGTTGTCGGAACCTTGTAGGATGGGGAACGCAGCAAAGTTATCCTGCAGTGCCCGGTCCGCCGCCAGCGCGATCACGTATTGGTCCTTCAGCGTTGGCGCTTCCGCAAACGCCTCAGAGAACTGCCGGAAAATCCGGTAACGTCGTCCGGCGCAGAGCAGATGGGTCATAACCGTCCACTCTGTCAGGGGCCGTTCGACTACAGATGTGTTTGTCATGTCTTCAAAGTTGGCGTTGAAAGGCTCAGCCGTCAGACCCTGCCCGAGTCGCAGACCCCCCGGGTTCGCAAAGTCTGGCCGGCCCTCGGCGAGACGCAGAAGGAGCCAGACATGTCGCCCGATCTCACGCTGGATCAGGCCCGGGGGCAGGTTTCGGTGGTCCTCTGGCTCGGGCCCGAGAAGGTGCAGCTTCAGGAGCTGCGCGATACGCAAGCCAACGTGCAGGAGCGACTCGGTGTAGGCGCTCGCGCCAAAGTTGTACGACACCATGGGCAGGACGACGATGGTCTGCAACGCCTCGATCGTCGGGTTCGTCGACATGAACTTTGATCGGTTCAGGGCCTCGAGGGAGACATCGAACCAGAAGGAAGACAAAGATGCAGCCTCCTCGAGCGCGATCCCCAGCTCTGGAGCGAGTAGGTCACCGACGAAGTACATTCCGACAGAGAGGAGAGAGAAGTCTTATGTCAGCCAGTGAATCACGGTCTAACTCACAGTAACTCAGCCAGGCGTCGCCCTTGCCGCCCTCGTCGCCGTTCGTGACCTTTGTGATCCATGCGTCGTGCTCGGCTAAGAAGGTCGGGATGTGGCAGGTCGCGTGCAAGAAGGACATGAACTTGAGGCTCGCGCGGACGATGAGCATGCTCTGTGGCGCGGTCGGAAGGAGCGTGAGCAGGTCCGAGTGCGCGAGGTCGGTAGCCTTGCGGCTCGGCAAGTCGGGAAGGTTCCCTAGTCCTGGCACGACGGGGGAGAGGGGCGCCTCCGAATCAAGCCGGGGGCGTCCTTGCGGCTCGCTGGGACGGCGATCTGACGGGGGCGCCGGGACGCCCATGACGTGCACGAAAGGCTCGAGAACGTCTGGATCGTCCTGTCTCGATCCTGGTTCATCGTGCGGTTGCCGCGCGGACGAGGATGAGCCGACGAGGTGCGCAAAAGCGTTCCCACCAGGGCTATCGGCGGGCGAGGGAACAGAGTTGCGGGATGCAACACTGCCCGGGTCATTCGTGGGGGTCGCAGCCGAGCCCTCGAGCTCGCGCAGCCTAGTCTCGAGCTCGGTGACACGCCGCCGGAGATTGACGTTCTCGCGTTGCAGCTGTCCCTCACGAAGGAGGCGGATCTGCTCCGGGGTCAGGGGTGCTCGCTGCGTCGTGTTAGGAGCATTGACGAGGCGCCCCCTGACGATCGCGGGCAAGCGGGAGCATGTTTCTGGGTGGCCTCTGCGGATGCAGTTATCGCATGGGATGGATTTGTTGCATTTGATTCTGTGAGGAAAATGTCAGTCGGGTGGTCATCGTCGGGTGGGTGGAGCGGTCGACGTCTTAGTCTGGGAAAAGATGGAAGTGGGATGCTCACTTTCGTTTTGTGCAGAACGCGCATGAATTGGAGGCTCTCTGTGATACTCTTGGCGTTGCTGTGTCAATGGGAGGGGGGACCTTCTGGCCTTGACGAGGGGGCTGTGCCTCAGTCATGGCGGGCAGGAGAAGATGGGAGGGGAGGCCGGATGAGCTTTGCGGTCGTGATTGCAGATAGGGTGAATGCTGATAGCACGACAAGAGTGCTCACAAGATGACGGCGGAGGGACGAGTCGGGCGGCTGAATCGAGCGAGCTCACCTCGGCATGCGGAGACTACTTCCGCTTATACCGCTTACATCGGACTTGAATTTTCTGCGTTTAACCGGGAATTACCCCCCGCACACCACCACGGGCGCCCCACACCCGATGCCGCATATCCCGAGTCCAGGCCCCGCAGGTCGACGTCTTACAGCGAAGACAAGAGTGTTGCAATCTGGCCGTCTCTGTCGCGCATCGAAAAGCGTACATGCTACGGTGTGCAGCGTTTCGTGTGCCATCACTGACAGACTATTGACTGCAGAGTTCTTCCTTTGCCCACCTTCAGTCGATGGAATCGTGCATATCACGCCATAAATAAACCGGTCCGAGTCTCACCCAATCGAAACCTCTCTCTTCGTCAGGAGGCGGCGGCAACCGCCAACCAAGTTCAAGCCCTCGAAGCTAGCTTCAGCGGCTAGTGGGAAGGCCGTTTGCCTTCTCCGCTTTGGATTTGAATGATAAATGATCTTGCTGATGCGATCTCTCGATCAGCAGAGTAGCACAGTTCGGCAACTTCATCGACGTCGAAGCGAACCAGTGCACGGACGCCAATGTTGGTGCGAGTAGGACGTCCTCCACTGCCCCTCACCCGCGACGCACTCCCTCGCACCATCGGCTATCTATCTGGGGCTGGAAGACCGAGAATCCGACACAGGCGCAGAACGAATTCGGACGAACTAACGTGCACCCAGCTTGTCTAACTCCAGGGCTTAAGTGACCTCAACGAAATTATGGACACGCGGGAGGGGCAGTCCGGTTGCTACCTGATGTGCGACGTTGGGCAGCGTAATAGTGTTTGAGTATAACGTATAACGAACCGGAAACGAACATGTACACCACAAACCTTTTCAGGCGACACGACCCTCGCCAAGCATGCACTTCCAGAGTGAACGTCAGGTACGTCGGCGGCGAACACAGCACAACATCGGTGTTCAAAGTATGACGAGGGAGAGCGCTGGGATCAAGTGACGCGAGGCGTTGTGGGATGCGCGCGGGGCTACAATTCAAGCTGATCAGAGTTCGATTCATGACGCGTCAGATGTTGTTGCGAAAGTTCAAACACAACAGGACTGCACCAGGACACCCGAGCTGTGACGCCCTCGCGTCCGATCATTCTCAAAGCCAGGACGACAGTACGTCATGCGAGGTTACAAAGCTTCTCACACTTCCGTGTTGTACAGGTCCGCGCAGTCCTGCAGCTACAAGCAGCTGTACGCAGCAGGCCGCAGCCACTGCTTATAAAGGTCAATGAACTCAGTGTCTATCCACCTCTGCTTACCTTGTTCACACCTCCTCACACTTAGCAAGCAACCGTACAATGTCCAAGAGCTGGGAAGAACTCGGCGACCCGAGCGTGCCCGATTACACCCTCGTCGGCGACCCGGACTCCTTTGTGGGCACTAACTTCGCCCTATCTCGCTGACTTCAGGACTTGCAGCGTGCGGCAGTGTGCGTACAGCTCGCAGGACCGTCGTACAGGAAGACAAAGTGGCTCGTCAAGCGTGGCCGTAATGACGTCCCCCGTGAACCCTGGCAGTACACCTCGCCGGGTCGGAACGGCGAGACACAGTGCTGGGACAAGAAGGTCCAGGACGTAGTCCTGCAAGGACGGAACATTGCTCGTTGTAAGTCTTCTACCTGAGTCGTAGCCGATGTGCTGATTTGATTTCCAGACGTCCTGACGATTGAGGACTCGGACCTCATGATCCACCGTAACCTGTATAATCTGGAGCAGAACCTGACCGATATGGCGCGGTTCGAGACGGCTGCCGCAGTGGAGGAGAACGGCTTCGCGCCCGTCGCGACCGAGCTGCTGAAGGAAGCCAAGGCCAAAGCTGCCGGAATGTGAGCTCCTCTCTCGCTCGGTCGCACTGACACCCAGCGGCCATAATGCAGACCGGTACGCCCAGCTCCGGGAAAGCCTCGACACTGTTTTCCGAACGTACCGCAACTGGATCGAGATGCGGGACGGGTACCTCGTCTGTGATAGGAAGACCATGCCGGACGTGCTGCACGTGCCCCTTATCCGGGCGCTGAGTGAGGTGAGTGCACACTTGAGGCAGGAGCACGCTGACGAGACAGTACCCCGACACCTTGTCCCTGCTCCGGGAGGAGAACTTTGCCGCTGTCGCAAAGTGGTGGAAGGAGATGGCAGAGGTGAACGTCCAGACAACGGGTTTGGCATGAGAGCTGCGAAGCAGTCAGGGAGTTGGATCGAAAGGAAATGCCACCCGTTTCAATGATGTCGCTAGTAGCTCTTGCTCTGCGATTGAAGTCTGCATAGTGAAAACCCCCCTGCGAGCCCAGCCCGTCCCACATCTGCACATACGGCTGCACCACTGCACCGTAACGAGCTGCACGCGTTTCACGCTGTGTCAAGTAAGGGAGAAGCTGTCATGGAGGGATGGCGCTGCATCCGAGAAGCTTTTGTTTTACCCACTGCGCGGTGGGGCAATGACCAAATGCCATAGTCCTTCAACATACTCGAGTGCAGCATCTTCCCTTCCTCACTACATCCCGCCTGCCTGCAACACCGCACTGCTCGATACGAGACAGCAATGCTGACATTTGGCATTGGCGGAGATGATGGGGGTACGACGCGCACTGATAAGCTCGCGCTTTCGCGCTCGCTCGGATGTCTCGCATGTCTCGGTGACCCATGACAGCCTTCTCGATCATTTCAGGGACAAGATAGAGTTTGCACAAAGGTAAACGTGACATTCCTTCGGTGCCGGCCGGCCGTTTGACCATCTGACCATTCGACATCGGTCCACTATAGCTGCTCCCTGGGTGCGGTGTCCGGTGTGCCCTGGAGCACAGTCAAGTGACAGCGCTCGGTCTTCGGTCTCTGGTGTTCGCACCCCGCGCTTCTGCTCGTGGAGCGCCAATGTTCATTAATCTGGACGAAGGGAATGGCTGAGCAGGAATGCGGAACAGCGATTGAGCCCTGGCGCCAGGAACGCAAGTGTTCGATTTATTACCTCTCCAGGGAAACGAAGCGGGCTCACCTTCGCCTGCTGTCGCACCTGTCTGCTGTCCTTGGGGTGGGCTGATGCGATTCTCCCACGTTCATGCGAAGAGCCAGAGTGGAATGTGGGAAGTCATAATGCTGTTGGTTTGACAACGCAACATTCCGAAGCTCCCCACTACCTCCTACAAAACCGATACCACCACTATCATCATGGCCTTCGAAGGAATGGGTGACTGGCGCGACAGCGACTACACGCTGAGGGGCGACCCGGACTCCTTTGTGCGAAACTGCTACCGTTGAAGCTGACGTACAGGACTACCAGCGAGCCCTAGTTTGCGTACAGCTCGCCCGCCTTCCGAACTCGCAGACGACAGTTCTCCCCCTGCGTGAGCGCGGCCAGTCGCAGGAGAACTCTTTGCCAGGTATCAAGGCCGAGGTCGAGTGCGCGGACAAGAAGATCCCCGGAGCATTCGTGGTGCACGGGCGCAACATTGCGCGCTGTGAGTGGAGCTGAAGAAGGACGGGAGCTGACGCGCAGACGTGCTCAAGATCGAGCACTCCTTCCTCATCCCTGGGTCGACGGGGAGTGCGGAGGAGATGCTCCGTGAGGCTGCGGACTTCGAGGGCGCTTGCGCTGCCGAGCAGTACAACTTCGATCCTGTAGCGACTGAGCTCCTGAAGGAAGCAAAGGCCAAGGCGGCGGGGAGGTGAGGATTTACGCCTGCAAGTGCTGACTGGCAGCGGACACGATGCTGCGCGCTACGCCCAGTTGCAGTCGGAGATGCGCGAGATCTTCAACTTGTACAACCGCTGGATCTCCATGCGAGGATACCTCGCCAACCGCATGATGAGCATGGCTGATGTGCTCCATATCCCGCTGATCCGCGCGCTGAACGAGGTCAGTACAACATGCTTAACGGCGATCGGCGTGACTGACGATCCAGTATCCTGATGCCGTTCCACTCAAGGGCTTCGATGCGGTCCAGAAGTGGTGGACAACGATGGCGAACTTCTCCGTCCAGACCAAGATCGGTCGCTGAGCGGCGTCTGGGAGACCTGGTTCGGTAGACTGGTCAGAGTAGGACAGTGATTCCAGTTGATGTCTGGCGTTTGCACTCGCAATAGAACAGTCGATGGCAGAGCCGAGTCGGCAAAGGTCCTGAAGCTTGTGCTCCAGTGAGCTCGATAGTCGATGTATACGTCAGGTGCACCCTACAACGCGCATCGCGACGAGACAACTTTGCATCTGTCTGTCCACGCGTCACGTTACACTCGCCGTACAGCATCGCACTCATCATACATACCCACTCACCCGTCCGCAAGTGCCTCGGTCATGACGTTTCTCGCGCCGGGGCATGGGTTTCTCGGATCCTGCTCGATCGTTTTCCGCCTCAGAGCAGTTTGAAGTTTAGCCAAGTTCGAAAGTGAATAATGAGGAGGGAGGGGGCGTGACATTCCTTCGGGGCTTGTCAGCAGCCAGCGATATCCAAGGTCGGAAGCAGACGTAGCGACGGCATGTCATCTGGGCGGCCCTTGGCTCTGTTCTCGATGAAAGAGAAGGCACCTCGATGAGGACCGAGGGGTCAAGTGACACGCAGCCGCCTTCGGCCGGGCACCCAATCCGCCATGCTGCCCAAGGTCCGATTGATGAGCTCAACCTTTGACTGGCTGCGCACGTTTGCGTTAGGGTATGTCGAGGGCTTGGGGTCCGCGTGCAAGCCTGTCGACGGACACGGCCGGTGGGAATCGAGCTTCGGGCAGATATATATCAGCTTTAGCTGGGGTGAAGCGGTCCATCGCCCCAACTCCCGTCCATACTGATCCACCATGTCCTACCGAATCCAGGGTGACCTCAAGCTCCTTGTAAGTCACCCCGGTTGTCACGAAGCTGACCGTAGGATACGCAGCGCGTTGTCGCCTGCCTCAAGTTTGGGGAACTTGAATCCAGAGTGAAATTCATTGAAGAGAAGCAGACCGGCTTCCCGTGGAACTCTGGAACTCCTGAGTGTTACGACGAGACTGGCAGCAACCTTGGGCAAGTGTTCCATGGCCGGCCCATCGTTCGCCGTAAGAATTCTGATTGATTAACAGTGACTAACAGCTAGACATTCTGGCGGTCGAGCAGTCGCCTCTCCTCCAGACCAGCACCCGATACCCCGAGATCAATGCCAAGAGCGAGAATGCCTTTGGACTGGAAAACTACGATTTCGACCCCATCGCGACCGGCTTGCTGGAGGAGCTTGAGGCAAAGGCGGCCGGCAAGTGAGTACCGCAGCCGGGTGGACAGCTGACGCGTAGGGGTAACAGCGCCGAGCGTTTTACGAAGCTGCAAGGCGACATGAAGAGCTTGCTTACAATTTATGAAGTGCTGCTTTCGGACACGGGATACCTCGTGGGTGGGAACCTTTCGGCTCCCGACCTCTTCCACATCCCGGTCATTTACGCCTTGAAGAAGGTGAGTACACCATGACTGCCAATGCTGAGACCAGTACCCTGACGCCGTTCCTTTCCTCAAGGATTTCAAGAATGTCGAGACGTGGTGGAACACCCTGGCCGGCTTGGGTGACACTCTGAAGATCACCCAGTGGAATTGAGAGAGGGTAAACATATTACGTCCTCTGGTCCTGAGAACGAGAAAGAAACTTGAGATGTTTGTGGACTCAATGACTGTGTGTGCTCAAAAGCTCTGAAGCTTTCACAGTTGATGCATCTGAAGATGAAGGACAGATGAAGCTACAGCAGCAGCAATCTGCATGCAGGGTCAATCCAGAGGATCGTCTGCCATGTCAGTCTCCCAGAATTTGCCGACATACCGATCCCCTAGAACACCGGCTGATAACGCATGGCATGGTCGACACCGCGACACTCTTGTCCTTCCGCCAAGGCTCAGCGACGTCGCTGGTGTTGCTGTGCGTTGCGCTGAAGCCGGCTCAACACACAAACATCTGTTCGCGGAACACACAAATGCACTGTCTTCAGGGTACCAGGGGCTGCGTTAGCTGTTGTATTTGAGAGCGAGAGCGAGCTCTTGACGTCCCAGTCGCACGGAACTTCCGCAGCAGTTCCACTACTCTGCGCACCGACACAGAACTCTACGTCTCGTGCCGCTCAAAGAGGGTGCACCCCCTTCGACGGTGCTGGGACTGGCGGTGTTGGGCTCGGTAGTGAGAGTCATTATGAGCGTGGCTGAGCTCCAAGCGGGTAATGGATGGATGAGCGCAATTGAGCGATGCGAAAGGGATGGTCCAAAGGAGTGGGAAGTCACGATGGGGTGACACTGGTTGAGTCACGAACACAAGAGATCGCCGGTTGACTCACCTCCTTGTTTCACCGGAATACTTGGGCTCCACTCATCATCGCTTCCATATTCAAGGGCTGAACTGACCTGCGATCGATACCCGCAACTCGGTCCGCCCATTCGCCTCGGTCGTGATGTACGTACTTACTTCTGTCGCAACACCCCTTCATGCGCAGGACTGGAACTGGCATGGACAAAATAACATTCCCAACGCGTGATGGACCCTATTCGATCGTTCTACGCCTCAGGGTAGGAGCGGAATAGAGTTTGATAAGACGAGGTGGAGGCAAATGTCACATTCCTTGCGGCCACAGCCATGCGCGGTGGAAGTGGGTGAGGACGCGGCTTGTACGGCTCAGCCCTGTAAGCTGTGTTGAAAGTGGTCGGACATTTAGTGCGAGTGCACCTCGGCGACCCAAAGACGCTGAGATCAAGTGACAAACGGCCTCGTTCGGCCGTTGAGGCCTGCGACTGCGGCAGCATGGAATCGGCCAATGGGAAAGCGATTCTGAGCCATACCTTCTCCTTCCTCGTCTCCCTCGCCGAGCGGAAAGCAGCGTCGCCACGCAGCAGCCTCCCCTTTGCTGATCGATTCGTTGTCTTGCTGTATGGCCCAGCAGCATGCCAGGTCATCGAACGGCGTCATCGTCTATAATATCCATGCCCCGGAAGAGGGTCGTCCGCCCAGACATTGATACCTCTCTCGCAACACAGGCACACATCCCTACTCCGCACCTGTCCTCGCCTCTTCCGCATTCCTGCTCGCCAGCCTGCAATCCCCGGACCCTTCCTCGATCATCCTGCGCCTCCACGACTCAGGGTATCCGCTCATATTCGTGACCGTGACAATCCACACGTGCACTTCACAACGACATCTTCCTGGCGCCCGATAGAAAGCTGGATGCCCTGACCGCCAAAAGGTTCATGGGCACTGGGTGCCTTACTAACGACAAGTGAATCGGGGGGATTTTGGGGAGGCGGTGGTGCACTGTGAGCGCGGAACGCGGTTCAATGGCTTCAAAGTTCGCCTCGTACCTCGCAAGGTTTGGCCCTTTGGGGCCCGACAAACACAGTTCGATTCATGATCTCATGTGCTCTGTAATATACCGCATAGCTGCCCTTGACGCTCCGCGTAGCCGCATAGCCAATGTGTCCTCTTGGGCAGACCACTGCACACGCTTTCCCAGCGTACGGGGTCGGGCAGTCACGCAGAAGCACCGGACAGATTATAAGAAGACCTGCGCTTGTCGACGAACAGACCGCCTTCTCGCATTCATAACTCATCATGCCAGCCTCATACCACCTATACGGCGACCCCAACTCACTTGTAAGTGCGCAAAACTCCCAGCAAGCTAACAGCAGGATCTGCAGCGCGCTGTTATCTGCCTAAGGTATCTGGGCCTCAGCTCAAACCGCGTGTCGTTCACATCGACGAGCCAGCCAGCTGAGTACGAAGGACCGACGATGGGTCATCCCCTCCTTACAGACGAGGTCCATAAGGTGGACGTGGTCAACGGCCGTCCTATCGCCCGTCGTACGTCTCCCCACACTGGCTGCTCCCTGACAGATAGATGTTGCGATGGCCGAGGACGCTGATAAGTTCATTCCAATCAAGTACCACCTCAACAAGGACATCTTCCCCAAGGGACACGGCGAATTCGAGACCATGTGTGGCATTGAGAGCTACGACTTCGACCCGATCGCCAGGGACCTCTTGAAGGAAGCCCGCGCCAAGGCCGACGGCAAGTGCGTATTGTTACGTGTGAACTTAGCACTACTGACGGTCAGGGGACATGACTCGAAGCGGTACGCCGAGCTGCAGAACAGCATGAAGAAAGTCCTCACTTTCTACGACAGTGTTCTGGCCAACAAGAAGTATCTCGTCAAGGACGATATCATGTTGGTTGATCTGTTCCATCTCCCCGTTATTCGGGCCCTGAAGAAGGTGAGTCTTGGTGTTTGTCACTGGTGCTGAGACCAGTACCCTGATGCCGTTCCCGCCCTGAAGGATCTCCCCAACGTCGCCAAGTGGTGGAAGAGTCTCGACGACATTTCCCTTAGTACCGAAATCACATATGAGTTGTAAACAGAGTAACTGGGCCAGTATCAGTGGGACTATCGCATTGAGCTGGTGCAACGGAGATGGAAATATCAAGTTAATCAGTTTGGAAAGTTATGGCGCCGACGTGCATCTATGCGGCAGCCATGAATCAGATGTGGCCCAGAGTCTTGTGGAAATGAGTGGAGACTGGTTGTGAGGGCTCTAAACGGTTTAGATTGCCGATCCTGCAACGGTCGATACTGAAAAGACCGATCCGGCCGCTCAATGTGACGCGAGATCCTGCTTGATCACTTGTCAACAGGTGAATACATACAGGAATTGAATGGAATATCTCGATCCTGAGTATAGGGCTGAGAGTGATCGAGGCCGTTTGACCTATGTACAAGGGACGGCAATGCGCAATGGATGACGATGAACTGGTGGAAGCTGACTCTAGGCTTGGCTCTTAGGCTCCCAGGTCAGGAGGGGCCCACCGCCGCCGACGTTGATCACGAGGATGCCGTCATTGACGGTGGCAGTCTTGCTGTCGCCGCCCGTGATATCGCTCCTGAGATCAAACTCGCAGAAACCGCGGAGGGTGCGTCCCTACGGTTAGAATGCCGCTCCGGTATCAGCAAATCTCACCTCGGGGAAGGTGTCCCAATACTTGGTCCAGGGAGGAAGGTCGCTGATGCCGGGGAGAGTAAGTGATTTGCGCGACTTGAGCTTGTACTTGGCAGCAATGCGCTGGTTGAGCTTGGATCAGCGATGGCGCTGAGAGAGAGCTTACGTCCTTGAAGGCCTGAGTAGCTTGGCCCTTCCCTGAGCGATCCAGAGAGCCGTAGTAATTGATCTGCTTCAGCATCGATACCGCACCCCGGCTTACCAAGTGACGGCACATGGTCCAGAGGTTGTGGAGAGACTCAAGCGACATGTACGAGGCGATTCCGTCCTCGTTGACCTTCTTTGAAGCACCGAACCGCATGAGAATGTACACCTCGAGGCGGGCTGTTCGTCAGCAAGAAGTAAGCGGGTAAGGGTGAGGGCTGGCTAATGAAGACTTACTGATCAGATCGTAGCGATCGTTGTACCACTCGCGGCCAGGAGCGATCTTGAACTTCGCCAGTTTGCGGTTGCTGTGCGCGCGCTTGAAGTCGGCAGACAGCTCGACGAGAGCCCACTTCAAAGGCTCGGGGTCGGGGAGGCGCATCGCGACAATCTTCATGGACAGGCGCCAGGACTCTCTGTCGCTGCTCACAATGTACCTGAACTCCTCATCGCTGTCGTATCCAGGCTGAGCTTGGCGCTCCTTCCGCTCCGCTTGCTCCTTCTCGGAAGCGGCCTCTCTGGCAGCCTCCAGTTCATCGTAGGTGTCCTTCAGGAGGGCGAGCTCGGCCGGCGTGGTAACGTCGGCGGCGGTGAGGGGCTTGTCTTCCTCATCCGGCTTCGTAGCGGGCTCACCGGTTTGAGCCGCCGGGAAGGGTGCACCCCCTTCGACGGTGCTGGGACTGGCGGTGTTGGGCTCGGTAGTGAGAGTCATTATGAGCGTGGCTGAGCTCCAAGCGGGTAATGGATGGATGAGCGCAATTGAGCGATGCGAAAGGGATGGTCCAAAGGAGTGGGAAGTCACGATGGGGTGACACTGGTTGAGTCACGAACACAAGAGATCGCCGGTTGACTCACCTCCTTGTTTCACCGGAATACTTGGGCTCCACTCATCATCGCTTCCATATTCAAGGTACTAGAAGTGTTGGCGATCCTTGGCGACATGGCGACAGCGGCTTATAAGCTAGCTGAACGTATTGAGCCCGAGAACGAACCAACATCTTCCCGACGTCTCCGAGAAACCCGGAAGGTGCCAGCACTCTGCAGCTAAGTGCAGTGTCCCGTTCGCTGAAGAACAGGTACATATTTACAACATTGATGTGAGATCGCTTATATTATGCTACAGGGAGAACTGAACAGGGGAAGGGCTATCCCGTTGAAGCGAGAGACTAGGCATCCTCAGCGGCTGCAAGAGCCTCGAATACGTCTGCGTGTGAGGGCTCCGGGCTGCTCTTGTCCGGCTCCCAGCGCAGGAACGGCGCGCCGAGACCGACAGTCATCACGAGGGCGCCATCGTCGACGTTTGCAGTGCTACTCTCGCCACCGCTGACGTTCGAGCTAAGGTCGAACTGGCAGAGATCGCGGAGAGACTGGTCCTGATGTCAGCTTCTAAATCCAACCCTGAAGCACTGAACCTTAGGGAAGCGGTACCAGAAGTCTGACCAGAAGGGGATGTCACTGATACCAGGGAGTGTGAGAGACTTGCGCTCCTTGAGCTTGTACTTCAACATGATGCGCTGTGTAAGCTGAAGTTAGTGGCCCCGAGCAAAACGAGACCTTACGTTCGTGAACGCCTGCGTGGCTTGTCCTTTCTCGTAGCGTTCGAGAGATTCGTAGTGGTTGATCTGTTTGAGCCATATAACCAGACAGCGCCACTTACAAGGTGACGACACATGATCCAGAGGTTGTGAACGGACTCGATCGACATGTACGACGCAATGCCGTCCTCGTTGACCTTCTTCGATGCACCGAAGCGCATGAGAATGTAAACCTCGATACGAGCTGATGTGAGAAAGTTTGCGGGATGAGGCCTGTGAGGCGATCATTGCTCACTGATGAGGTCACGATGGTCGTCAAACCACTCGCGCCCTTTGGCGACCTTGAACTTGGCCAGCTGGTTATCGCCGGCGTGGGCGCTCTTGAAGTCGGCGGACAGCTCAAGCAGGGCCCACTGAAGAGGCTCTGGTTGGGGAAGCCCCAATGCCCAAAGCTTTGAGAACAGCTTGCTGGACTCCCTCTCGCCTTGGCGTATCCCGAACCTGGCTTCATCCTTCCTGGTCCATCCGGGCTGAGCCATGCGGGCCTCCCTTTCCGCCGCTTCTTTAGCATGAGCGGCCCGCTTGGCAGCTTCGATCTCTTTATAGGTGGCCCTCAGGAGCGCGAACTGAGCCAGGGTAGTCACATCGGCTGCCACGAGGAGCGGCTTTTCTTCGCTCGAGGAAGACTCGGCGGAGGTCGAAGTTCCCACGGGGAAGGAAGAAGCGTCAACGGAAGTAGGTTCTTTCTTGATAGTCGAGGGCGCGTTCGCGGACTGAGGTTCAGGCCCAGCGGGCTGGCCGGACTGGGATGTCGACAGAGGGGTACCACCGGCCTTGGTGCCATCCGAGCCGACGAGGTTGGGTTTGAAGGAGTCGCTCATTCTGAGGTTCGTGCGGAGCACTCTGCTGAGTGTGAGCGTTGAGCGATGAAGTGAGAAGGAAGGTGAGGTGGAGGCAAAGACAAGACCATGCGTTTGAGGTCTCGTACATGCCAGCGATCACCTGGTTGACTCACCTGGGCAACAGTGGTTCCGTCTAGCGTCTCACCCACTTGCGCCCTGCTCGATCGCATGATTTCCTCATGCCTCAGGCGGTATTGCACTGTGAATACACTGAGTAATTTTAGCATCACGAACATGCTGACCCTTGGGAACCTGCGAGGCTGCGATTGCTTTGCAAGATGTGATAATGCATAGATTAGCGTCTGTTCCTACCGCCCTCGCCAATAACGCCCATCGTTGTACGCTTGCTCGCAGCGACTGCGGCGGCATCGAGTTCAGCCTCACGCTGAATACGCTCAATCTCCTCAAGCAGAGGCTTGTACTCTTCGTACTTGCTGGATGCGAGTTCTGTGGGTCAGTCGGTTACCATCAGCATCGATAAACTCACGGAATCCCTCGCGGCGCATCGCCTTGCCTCGGCTCGCAGTGCGCTCGTAAGCAATGCCGGCCCAGTAAGGACGGGTGCGCTCGTAGAACATGCGCAGGTTCTCGCCCGGCAGTGGCGTCGTGTGCATTTCCTCCTCGGTCCTCTTCTCCTTGGCTGCGGCACTGAATGCCTTGGCTTTTTTGCGGAGATCGTCCTGCGTGTTAGCTTTGAATCATAACCTGGGCTTCTGCCTTGTCCGTAGACAACGTACCTTCTCAGCCTGGGAGAGAGCGGCGTGACGCGCCTCCTTTGCTTCTTCATCGTCCTCTGCGTCCTCGAGTGCGGCGAGTGCCTCCTCCTCCTCCTCCTCGTCATCTGAGCTCTCTTCCTCATCGTCATCGGAGCCCGAGAAGCCCTCCTCATCGTCACTACCCTTCCACTCGAGCTCGTCAAGACCCGTGCCACGCAGGTGATTCCATCTGTCAAGTTTCTCGAGGTTCAGCGTCACGAAGTCATCCAGGGTGTATTCTCGAGCGGGGTTCGTCGTTTCATAGATTCCACCGTATCTGTTGTTAGCTGAAATTGGTCCGCCACCTAGCTCACAAATACAGCGTGTTCTTCAGAATGGCAAGCATCGCGTTGTATCGCGTCAAGGGAATGGATTTTTGCGGGTCATCGTCATCGTCGTCCTTGTCAACCGCCATGGGAGCTGGAGCTGGAGATGGCAATGGCGATTTCTCCTTCTCCTTCTGGTCATCGTCGTCCTGGAGGTCAGCGACAGGCATAAGTACAGATACCCACCTCGTCCTCGCCATCAACGTCCATATCCTCGTCGTCCTTCTCCTCCTGTTCCTGCTCCTGTTCGACCTTCTTCGCTCGTCGGCGCGCTCCAGGCTTCTTCTTCTTCTTCAGCATGAGGCTCGACCACCGTCCGTTGCCCGCAAGGTTGTACGCGTATCTCAGGTTTAGCGGCGTCTTTTGGTTCCACTCACAGGTCGTTGAAGAAGATGCTTTCCATACTCTCCTCGTCCTTCTCCTCATCGATGACACCGCCGAAGAGCACGCCCATACCCTTGCTTGCCCAGTGCGTCATTGAGCAGCCGGAGCGAAGGCTGGGAGCGTATCCAACCTTCTTCCGTCGCTCCCACTTCAGCTTAGAGAGATCTGGATCCATCCTGGAAGTTAGACATAGAGTGCGTTCGCCATAACTCACCTCAGCAGCCACGCGTCATCGAGCGGCACACCCTTTGGTCGCGTCCCCTTGACGTACTCCTTGCGGTACCCGCCGTACAGGAAGGCACCCTCGGGACAGGGGATGAATGAGAAGCCACTTCGGGGTCTTTACGTCAGCAGGCTTCAGAGCAAGCTCTCACCCAGGCGCGCGGTCTTTGTCGATGTGCTCGATCTGATGCCACTTGTACGTGTCCAGGTCGAACACCCAAAGATCGGACATGTAGTTGGCTACACGTCAGTTATAGGCGCAGTCGCTAGCTCACTCTTCACGCCGACATCGATGAAGCCTCCGAACAGAATAACGTAGTTCTTCCACAGCACCATTCTTGTCTGTCAGCTCTGACCTCAGGACGCTCCGGCCTACCGATGTCCACTCCGTCCACTCGGTCCACGCTTGAACTCGATCTTGTCCCACGAATGGTTCTTGCAGTTGAACAGCCAAAGGTCCTTGTAGTGGTGGAAAGAGGTCATGCTGGGCGAGGAGTACTCGCCTCCTGTTGGTCAGCTGTGGGTCGAGTCCAGTCACTCACCAAAGATCATGATACCTCCACCTTCGGCGAGACCAGGGCCAGCCACAGCCGCCGCACTGCTGCGGGGGCTGGGAGCAGTGCCGCACTTGTACTCTCTCCATTCGTCCTTGATCGTGTCATAGCGCAAGACTGAGTTGTAGAATGTCGCTCGGCTGCCATCGAAGTACTCGCCGAACATCAGGTACAGATGGTTGCTCTCAGCTGACAGGGTGGAGGGCGATGCCATGAACAGGGCGCCAGTGCGTGGTGGCGGGGGCGATTCCAGCGTTGTGACAGTGTTGGTAGCAAGCTTTTTGTTAGCTGATATAGTTCTAGACACAGCTTACCGCTTCCATCTCCTGCTTGTATCTTTCGAGGATAGCGTCGAGGTCCTCCTCATCATCGTCTGCCGCAGCTCCTTTGGCCTTGCCCTTGGTCGCGGCCTTCAGAGCCTGCTGCTCCTTCTTGGCGGCCTTCTCAGCTTGTTTCTCTTTCTTTGCTGCCTTTGCAGCGGCCTTGCCGGCGCCTCCGCTCTTGGTCTTGCCCATAGCTCTTGCGTGTGGCTTGCAATTGTCGTCGAAATCTGTCAACTCGTGTCGTCATGACTTCTCAAAGTGGAGGTCGGTTCCTGAAGCCTGTTTTGCCACACCAATCCACGTGGCTAACTCCGAGATGACAGGACGCGTGTGGTGACGCGCTTGTTCAAGTTGTTGACTTGAGGTCATCTCGCCTCTCCGCGACTCTACGCTCAGCCTTCAGCTCTCCGGTCTTCTTGGTCTCCCGTTGTCGACGTCTCACGACCCGTCCCAACACAAAAGGAAGGCAAGCGCTGATCAAGAGATCAAGGCGACCCACACTCTGAGCTCGCTACCCCTGATACCCTGCTTAACCTCGCCCCCGTCTTGTCAACAATATGAGCGACGTTACGCTCGACTCCAACATCTTCTTCGACCGTGCGAAGAAGATCTTCGATGCCTGGGAGGTGAGTTGGCCTGACATCTGCTTAGCATTGAGCTGACACGTGCTTTCTCGCTCTGCCGCCACTCGAACGTCCCATCGAACAGAACCCCTCGGGAGACACGCAGGAGCTTGGCGACGTCTCCGCCCTCCAGATCTTCCTCGGCGATGCCACGGACGACGCGCCGACGCTCAACAAGAGCGCTGCTCTGCAGGTGAGTAGTTCGTGGCCGCGACTCTCGACATACAAATAATCCAGGTGTCTGGTTTGCGCACGTATCACCAATCGACTGCAATGAGCTACGTTGAGAGGCCCTTGTTGACGATCACAGACGTATCTTCTTGGTTTCGAGTTTCCTTCGACTCTGATGATTTTCTGGAAGTCGGTTCGGAAAGTCACATTTGTCTGCAGCTCCTCCAAGGGTGAGCTCACCAGATGGTCTTAGCAAGCTGACATTGCAGCGAAGATTCTGCGTCGCCTGGAGCCTAAGAACGGCATCGAGGTGGACGTTCGCGTGCGAGCGCCGAAGGACGAGTCTACTGCCAGTAAGTGCTCAGCGTTGAGTGAGAGGCTTTCTGCTGACAAGTAGATGTGCTGCCGGATCTCGTTCTGGAGCTTGGTGACAGCAAGGTCGGCTACCTTCCCAAGGACAAGGCGACTGGACGCCTTGCGGACGAGTGGAACAAGGCGTGCGTTGTGTAGCTTGCCGAGTGTATGCTGACGTCAGTATTGCTGCTTCCAAGGCTGGACTGCAGTTTGTTGATGTGTCGGTGGCAATGTCATCTATCCTAGCCGACAAGGACGACGACGAGATCGTGAGCCCCAGTACGCGCACATCAAGCTGACATCAGAAATCAACGATCACAGCCGCGCGTTTGACCTCCACCTGCATGAACAACTACTTCAAGTCGAAGATGGAGGCCCTTATCGACCGCGGCACGGACATCACGCACGAGAACTTCTCTCAGCTTGTTGAGGAGAAGATTGGAAACGATGAGAAGGGCGCCGACATGAAGCTGTGGAACAAAAACTCAGATCTCAAGGATGTCGACTTTACCAACACTGACTGGGTTTACTCGCCTATTATCCAGTCCGGTGGCCAATATGACCTGAAGGTCTCCGCTTACTCGAACGAGAACAAGCTGAAGCCCGGCGTCATTCTCTCGAGCCTGGGTATCCGGTACAAGTCGTACAGTGCGAGCATGGCCCGTACATTCATAATCAGCCCGAGCCAGGTGAGTTCGGGGAACTGCGGACAATGACTGATGGATCAGAAACAGGAGGAGAACCTGAAGACGTTGCTTGACGTGCGCCTGTCGGTCGTCAAGTTATTGAAGGACGGCGCCGTTGCCAAGGACGTCTACAACGAGGCTGCCAGCATGCTGCAGGACCGTGGCCTCGGGGACGCTTTCGTCAAGAACATTGGCTTTGCTGTGAGTTTGCTTGAGATTGAGCTGCAACTGACCCGTAGACTGGTCTTGAGTACCGCGATAGCACCTTCCTCCTTGGTCCCAAGAATGAGCGCAAGCTGAAGGAGAACATGATCCTGATTGTCACGCTTGGTCTTGCCGACCTCAGCGACAAGAAGGGTAAATACAGCCTTATGCTTCAGGACACGGTCAAGGTCGGCGTCGATGGCGGCTCTTTCCTCACGGAGGGTTGCACTCGTATCGCGGATGTTGTGATGGATTTCGACGACGAGGACGACGAGCCCGCGCCAGTGAAGGAGAAGAAGCCCGTCAGCAAGAGCTCGAACGGCAAGGTCGCTAAGGCTCCTGCCGCGTCAACTCGCGGTGCCAGCACGAAGCAGACGCGTGGTGCTCAGCGCGAGCAGATTGAGTCGACGACTGCGCAGCGTATCAAGGCGCACCAGTCTGAGCTCCACGCTCAGCGCAAGGCGGATGGCCTGAAGAAATGGGCCAACGGCGGTACGGGCAAGGGCAACGACAACGACAAGGTCGTCAAGCGCTATGAGTCGTACCGACGAGAGGAGCAGTTGCCTCCCAACCTCCAGGATCGACGAGTGAGTTGGTTTGCCGAGATTACGCTAACCCTCAGATCCACGTCGACGAGCATCGTCAGTCCATCATCCTGCCCGTCAACGGCTTCGCTACTCCTTTCCACATCTCGACTGTGAAGAACGTGACCAAGGTCGATGAGTCGGATCATATCGCGCTCCGTATCAACTTCCAATCGCCGGGACAGATTGCGGGCAAGAAGGAGGACATGCCGTTCGAGGACCCCGACGCGACCTTCATCCGGTCTATGACTTTCCGTTCCAAGGACCACCGCCACATGCTCAAGGTTTACGACGCGATCAGCGGCCTGAAGAAGGCTGCCACGAAGCGCGAGGCCGAGCGAAAGGAGATGGCAGACGTTATTGAGCAGGAGAAGCTGATTGAGATCAAGGGTCGTCACCCGTACGTCCTCAAGAACGTCTTCCCTCGTCCTGCCACGGAGGGTAAGAAGTCAGACGGTAACGTCGAGATTCACCAGAACGGTCTGCGTTTCCGCCCTGATGGCCCCGGTGCTAAGATCGACCTGCTGTTCAGCAACATCAAGCACCTGTTCTTCCAGCCATCCGAGAAGGAGCTTATCGTGCTCCTTCACGTCCACCTGAAGGCACCCATCATGCTAGGCAAGAAGAAGACGTGGGATGTGCAGTTCTTCCGCGAGGTGTCGGACATGAACTTTGACGAGACGACGGGCAAGCGCCGCAAGGCTCGTTACGGAGACGAGGATGAGATCGAGCAGGAGCAGGAAGACCGCCGACGACGCCAGGAGCTCGACAAGGTGTTCCAGGTTTTCGCGAAGCGCGTTTCGGACGCGGCGCAGGCGCAGCAGTACGAGCTCGAGGTGGACGTGCCATTCCGTGAGCTCGGCTTCAACGGTGTGCCGCACCGCACGAACGTGCTTCTCATGCCCACGACCGACTGTCTCGTGCACCTGTCCGAGACGCCGTTCACTGTCATCACGCTGTCCGAGGTGGAGATTGTGCACTTTGAGCGTGTGCAGTTCGGCCTGAAGGCGTTCGACATGGTCTTTGTCCTGAACGACTTCAAGAAGTCTCCGATCGCGATCAACTCGATCCCCGTCGTGCACCTCGACAACGTCAAGGAATGGCTCGATAGCGTCGACATCCCCATCTCCGAGGGACCCGTGAACCTCTCGTGGCCCGCGATCATGAAGACGATCAACGAGGACCCCTACGCGTTCTACAAGGAGGGCGGCTGGGAGTTCCTGACGGGCGACGGCAACAGCGACTCGGAGGACGAGTCGAGCGAGGGCTCCGTGTTCGAGGACGACGAGAGCGCCTTCGACGAGAGCTCGAGCGACAGCGACAGCGACGACTACTCGGACGAGGACAGCGACGACTCGGGCTCCGAGGCCGGCTTCTCGGACGAGAGCGGCGAGAGCTGGGACGCCCTCGAGCGCAAGGCGAAGAAGGCCGACGACAAGCGTCGCGACGCGGGCGACGACCTCAGCGACGACGACAGGAAGAAGAAGAAGGGCGGCCGTCGATAAGCTGGGACCCGGGGCAGGCGCTGAGTCTGCCGCTGAGTTTATCGGTTCGTCTGCCATGGATATACGTTTATAGTTAGAGTTTTACGCGTGTAGCATTAGTGTAAACTGGGCTGGCTCCGAGTCGAGTCGTCGTCCAGCCCGATGAAATATGCAGAGAATTGCCTCCAACTGTCCACCTGCTGCTTGACAATGTGTTTGCATGAGAGATGCTAGGGTAAACGAAAATGGGTGGATTCTATCGGTTGAAATAGGGGGTGGGGGATTGGCTTTGCTTAGCTTTGTACAAATACACTTTGCTCTCTTCTGCTTGACTGCTTCTCATTCTTACTCTTCCTCCCGTCGCTCGCTCGCTCACTGCTCGCCCGCCTGGTGCGACTTGTTGTAGTTCTCGACAACCTTTGCGATCTTGCGGAAGAACCACTCGCGTCCCGTCTGCTCGGCAATGGGGAGGAAGGGGCCGGGCGTGCCTCCACGAAGCACAAGCGCAATACCGCTCTGCTCGAGACTGAGGCTCTGCAGCTCGTCAAAGGGCACTTGCCAGATAACCCTCATCTTCCTGAGCTGGACGTACAGCAGCCTCGCGTTCGAGAGGATCGCAACCGCATCGTCGCCCGGAATGTCGAGGTGCGCGACGTACGTCTCGTTGAAGTAGGCGCCGGCGTCGAGGTCCTTGAGCCAGGACTGGCCCAGCGCCTCGCGCGACGAATAGGGACGGAGCACGCCGTCGGACGCGATGAAGCGGGGCAGACGCACGCGGTCAATGTCGTTCGAGTCGAAGACTGTGGTTGTGTTTCGGATACCCTCGGTTGAGGCGCTGATGAAGTCCATCATGCCCACGACAGGCTTGGTGAACAGACCCACGAAACCCTTACCCACGCCCTTTGCGAAGCCGGCGGCACCGCCGCGCTCTGCGCCCTCCATCGGCATACTCGCTACGCCCTCGAAGGCACTCGTGACGGAGTCTGCGAACGCGGACGCGCCTGCCGCCACGCCGTACAGCGCGTGCTTGGGCTTGTTCCGCTTCTGCGTCATACGACGCTTGGTCTGGTATTCGCTGTCGAGCGTTGCTGCCGACAGACCCTTGCCGATCGACGAGGTGAATTTGCTCATCGAGTCTGTGATACCGAACACGGTCTTCATGGCCAAACTCGTGGCGCCCTGGATGTCAGCTTGGTTCCGCATGCCACAGCAGCTGGTTACTTACACGTGCAATGCCCAGTCCGATATCGCGGTTGCCGTGCATAACGAAGCCCTGCCAAGGCTCGTAGAAGAAGTCGGCGAAGCCAGACGAGATGTTGTTGAACAGTCCAACGGGGTTGCCGAGGAAGTCGGCGGAGCCGAGTACGCGGTAGATCTGCGCAACGGCCTGTTCCTGGTAATGCAGGATGATGCGCTCCTGGAGGTCATGCGCGGAGAGACGAACGTTGTCGAGGAAGAGCGCGCGGAAATTGATTGGCGCCGCGTTGACGTTGCCGAGCGTCATCGTGAGCGCGTTCAGCGCGTAGTAGAACGGGTTGCGCGTCGAAACCTTCTCGTCGACGTTCACGCGGTCCGTACGCATGAACGACACCTCGAGCGAGACGGGCTGCAGCTGCAGCGACTCGAAGAAAATGTCACTCTGCTGGTGGCTGATGTCCGGCTCCTGGATCTCCTTCGACGGGTACTCGATCAGCACGTCCTTGACCGGGTCGCGCCAGGTCGCATCCTTGAACTTTGTGAAGTCGATCAGCGCCATGACAAAGTCCTCGTCGAGCTCGATCGTCATCGCCTGCAGCAGCACCGAGGCGTACTTGACGAAGATGACGCCGTGCGACTGGTCCTTGAGCACCGCAAACGCGGTCTGCAGTGTCGGGTGCGACTCAAGGTCCTTGCCGTCCTTCGGCACCACCGTCGGGTACAGGATGATTGGGAACAGACCGCCGAACAGCTGGTTGTCGATCTGGATCCACTTGCAATTGACAAAGGCATCGTAGTAGGTCGGGTAGTCGGTGTAGCCGATCTCGAGACCCCTCAGAGTCAGGTACATGAGCTCGTCGGGGCGCTTCGTGACGACCGAGATACCGATACCCTCCAGGCTGACATTGAGCTTGAGGTTGGGCGGGTCGTTGGTATGCTCAGCCTCAGCGCCGACAGCAGAGATCGTGTCAGAGCTGCTGTTGACGCTGAGCGACGACTGCGAGTGATTTAGAGGACCGCGCTTCGCGAGCTTGTATACGTTGCGCTCCTCGTTGTACGGCGCGATGACAACAGACTGTGAGCTGCCGTCGGCACGAACGTCGATCGTGATTGTGAGCGGAGACTGGCCGTTCGGTCGCGGAATCTTGATAGGCGGCTGCTCTCCGATCGCCATGACATCGATCGGGCGGGAGAGAACTCGACCACCCGTGGACAACAGGAGACGCTTCTCGGTGGCGGTCGGCCAGTCCCAGGTGTACTCGACCGTGGTCTGACCAGGGATCGGCCGCTCAGGCAGAGCATTCGGCTCGACGCCATCCTCCGGCTGTTCCTGAGGTGTTAGTCACAACGCCCAAGTCCGGCAACTACTTACAGTCTGCTTGAACTTGAACGGAACGTTAGTCTCGTTCTTGATGATGATCGGCCACGGGTCCGTTTCCCTCGACACGTAGAGGAAGATGCAGGATCCCTCCAGGTGCGTCTCGATGCGCATGAGATACTCCTTGGTGGCTCCACGGCTCGTGGTTCGCGAGAGGCGAACGTGCGCCTTACCAATATCGTTGATGTAGAACGGCGCAGACCACTTGAGACCCGTGTTCGGTGTGTCGAAGGCGATACGGATCTGCGGCCGAACGACCTCCTGGTTGTTCGGCTGCGGGGCGAGGTAGAGCAGTGGTCGGCGCTCATCAGGCGGTACAGAACAAAGCGGCTGCGCTTCGCCAGTCTGGCGGACGAGAAGGCCGGCGGTGCACATGTTCTTGAACAGGAAACGGGGCGCGATAGTAATGACCTTGCTGAGTTTGTACTTGCCTAGACCCTCGGCGTACGACAGACCGACGTAGTACTCGCGCTTGCCGTTCTGGGACGGCATGACGATCTGCATGTCGGCGCTGCTGGGCTCGAACGACAGCGGCTGCGACCACCTGCTGTCGTCGACACGGAGCAGCAGGCGGTCTCGCCTGTCGTCATTCGGGAAGCTGAACATGAACGGCGTCGGCGTATCCTTCTTGTAGTCCTGCGCGAAGCAGGCCGAACCGGCCACCGGCTTCTGGGAGCCCATAGATCCCTTCATCGCCAGGTCGAACGGCATACCCGTCTTGTTCAGGAAGATGTACGGGCTGTACACCTGCACCTTGAATGCGCCACCCGAGTCGGGATATGTGTAGTAGTGCAGCTTGAGCTGCAGCTTGAGACCCTTGGGATCCTGGAGGGTAAAGTTGTTTTCGATCGGTAACTCGGGGTCGTCGGTATTGATGATCGCGTAGTCACTCTGCTTGAACGGCGTGTCTTCGGGCGCAACGCTGAGCAATAATAAGTGCGACAGCTCAACGGTGTGGATCGGGCTCGTGCCACCCTTGACGAGGAAGTTGCTCGAGCTAAGGCTGGTCGCCTTGTCGTGGATACGGAACTTGAAGTCGTAAGGCAGCAGGTTCTCGAGCTCGACGGGCGCGCGCAGACGCAGCGACATGCGCGGGTACAGGCGAGCCGTGGGGTCCTTCGCATTGAAATTGGCCTGCGCCTGGAAGTAGAATGCGGGCTCCTTAGGCGTCATGTGCTTGCAGCTGATGGGTCGGATGGGGCGCGTCATGAGCTGGCGCCAGAACAGCGGAGCAGACCAGGCGTAGTCGAACCCGAAGCCGCGAAGCGGTCGCAGTCGGAAGCGCTTGTCGTAGACGGCCTCGAAGGGCACAGGGAAGCACTCTCCAGGGTCGATCTTCATGATACCGCTGTTGGCCTTACCCTGGGCATCGACCACGACCATCTCGACAGGCAAGCTTGTTTGGTTATCGATAGTGAGCGTCGACCGGATCGTAATGATTTTGATGTTATCGACGAGCTCAATGTCGCACATGAGCTGATGCGTGACTTTGTCGATCTTCGGACGAAGGTTGAGAACATGCTCACCCTCGCGGTCAACCGAGATGCCACGAACGGGGTCCCACTTGATGGCCGAGTCGGGAAGCTCGAGACCAAACGAGTTGTGGCGGAACGCAGAGACATTGTCACGGAGCGCCTGACGGTCCTCGAAGAACCAGGGGACGTCAGCGTTGTTGTCCAGCAGCTTGCGCTTCTCCCAGGGGATGCTGCTGCTGTCATCGCTCTCGGGCCAGACGGCAATCGTCATACCGGTGCGGTTGCGCATGCGGAATGGCGCGGTCGGCGAGCGGTCCTTCTGCTGGCGATCGCCTTCCTTGCTCAGCACGGTCATCGCAGTGATACCAGTCTCAATGAAGGACGAGGTGATGCTGAGCTCCAGACGCTGGGCTGCCGAGATCTTCACCGCCAGGGGGTTGGTAGCTCCCGGGGTGGACGAGGTGCGGCTCATCTGGATGTCGCACTTCCACGGGTCGAGGAGAGGCTCGAAGTACGAGTTTGACAGGTTGAAGTAGCGGATCTCGGTCGTGAGCGACGTGCCCATCTGGAGGTCGCCAGACCAGTCGTTGACGACGCAGACGAACTCTTTGGTCGAAAGATGAACCATAGGCATCTCGTGGACATCTCCGACGAGAACGAACTGGAAGCCGTTGACGTGGAGCTGCAGATGTTCCTTGGAGACCATAATGTGGGTCTTCGGGGTAACCGAGGAAGCTCGTCGCCGGCTGACAGATGGGCGGCGAGCAGTAGGGCCAGTCTTGGGAGGCGCCAGGGTCGACGGCGCCGTCGTAGCAACCGTCTTGGCGTCGTCGTTGTCCTTGATCTCCTTGATTTTGGCTCCACCTTCCTTGTTCTCGTCCTCGTGGGTACCCATCGCCTTGGCAGCGGCGGTGGTAGCCTTGTTAACGATATCGAGGATCAGCTGCATGTCCGTGAAGCTCGCACGGAAGATGATCGGCATCGGCACGTCGATATCAATCGTTGTCGTCTGTTTGGAGCCCCTGCGACGGGTGTCGAGCGACATGCGGACGTTGACGTCGTCAAGGAACGAGACACGGTCGTTGGGCTGGTCCATGCGACCGAAGGACATGCCGACCTTGTCGACCTTGAGCGCGAGGACGTTATTCTGCGAAACCAAGATCTCCTTGATCGACAGCTGAATCGCCTGCGTCTTGGGGTTTGTGTCGTCGGCGAGCACGATGACCGTCGAGTTGACAATGTCAACGCGGAACGAGAGCTGGCCGGTAGAGTCGTCGGTCACCTCGGCGACCTGGCCCTCCTCCGGCTCCTCGACTACCGGCGTCTCCGCCTCGCTGCCCTTGAAGGGGGCAAAGGCGAACTCGAGAAGCGCAGCAAGGGGAGCGACAGCGAGGATGAACGTCGGGCTGTCGATAGTAACGACAGCCAACGCCGAGTTGTCAGCCTGCTTGGCGTACTGCACCATGATCTGGTTGCCCTCGTTCTTGAGCTCCGGAATCAGGTCACGGAAACAAGAGTTGGCCTCGGACCTGGTGTTGTGGAACGCCAGCGTCTTCAGGGCAAACTCGGCCTCCATGGCATTGTTCGACAGATTCTTCAGCGCGAGGTGAGGGCCGATCAGCTTGAACCGCGCGATACTGTTCTTCGCGAGGTCATCTTCAGTGTGCGCCCCAGCGCCGTAGACCTCGATACCAATCGTCTTGATGGTGAAAACAAAGTCAAGCGTGGTCCAGACCGACGGATCCTTAGCGGTCGGCGAGAGCGCAAGCTCGGGCTCCAAAACCGTCTCAGTGTCCGTGTCATACCCAACAGGTGTAGGCGGAACAGACTCAGTAGCTGGCGAGTCGATGGTGGAGTCGTCATCCTCACCCTCCTCCTCGTCTTCGTTAAAGGTGCTGAGAGCCTGAGGGATCGACTGCAGCAAGCCCATGATCAAGACGTACTGCGTCTGCGTCAAGTTCATCTTGACGTCTGACATGTCGGTCGTGATCTCCGTGTCGGCGTGGTGAGGATCCTTGTGCTCAGTCGATCCAACTTGGCGAATGTTCGCGTTGATGTTCACGTCGTCAACAAGCTGGAGAGTGTTCATCTTGCCCTGGTACTCGATCTCAGACGTCGCGTTGATGCCGCTGAGACTCGCCTCGATCGTGCTCGTGTCGTGCGGGTCCTGCAGGTACTGGTTCTTGGCGGTGATCTCACCAAGCTTGAGGATGAGCGAGTCAGGCGAGTTGGCACCGTCGCGAGGAAGAACGATAATGGGTGTCTTGACGACCACGTCGTATCGCATCCTCGTTACTTCGGAAGCACGCTGAACTGCAGCCTCTGAAGCGGCGTCGTAGTACGCCTTGAGCTTGCTGAACTTGAGCAGGAACATGTACAACTCGTGCGTCGGCTTCTGCATGTACGTGAACTTGAGCGAACCGGCACGCAGATGGACGGAGGAGTTGTAGCCGGGGAAGGTCTCGTCATCGGGATTGAACGTCTCGTAGCTGAAGTCGGCCAGCTCTTGTCCCTCGATGGTGAGGAGTTGTTTGAACGACGGCGCGGCGACAGTCCTGTTGGATGTATCCTCCAACGAAATGTTACCGAGACGAGCAGCGACGCGCATGGTGCCTCCGCGCATTAAGATACCCACATCGGCCGAGGGAAGACGGAGGATGGCGAAGCGCTCTCCGTTGTTCTCCAGCGCGACTTGTGCACTCGTCAGCTTCACCTTGATACGCATCTTGTCATTCGTCTGCGGTTGAGCGGCTGACTTGATGGATTCGCCATCGTCTCCTACCTCCTCGATGGAGGCTCCCTCGTCATCCGACGCGAATGTGGTCATGATAAAGTCGTAGAGCGACAGAATCGGCTCGGGTGCAAGCGCGATGTTGAACGTTGACAGCTGTGTGTCGACCGTTTTGTCAATGCCCTCGTACTTGCTCATGAAGTCAGGCGACTCCTTGTCGACCTGGAAGTAGTTGACCTGGACCAGCTTATGTTCGCTATCCTTACCATCCTGCACGGCGCCCGAGGACAGCAATGGCGGCTGCTCCTTGTCGCCATCGCACATGGCAAGGATGACGTTCTGCAGCCAAACGTCCACGGACATGTCGTACTTTCGCTGCTTCAGGAGGAGACCGAAGCCCTCCAGAGCGGCATCTGCGAGCGGCTTCTCGGTCGTGGCAGACGTGGAGCGATAAAGGGTGGTTTTGAGCTTTCCGACGGCGAACGAGAACTCAAAGGTGACCTGCTGGGTCTGCTTCCTCTGCTCCTGTGCGAGGTTAGTGGTCATTGATTGCCATAACATACCTCTGTCATACCGTCAAGAACCTCGTAGAACTGGTCCTCATCGTCCTTGCTCCTGTCATGCGAGCTGACCGACTTCAGCGACCGTGTGTCGTGGTGATCGTCGAGGTTGTACTCCGGCACTGGCTTTCTACCGAGTTTCATCGTGGTGGCAACTGGCGACTTCAGGATCTCAAGGTCCTCGGGGTTCAATGTCTTGTCCTCCTCCTCATCGTCAGAGTCAAAGTGAGGCACAGCGACATCGATGAACTTCATGAGCGTGTGATACTTTCGATCAGAGAAGTTCACCTGCAGCTCAGGCAGGTCACCGGCGACTTTGAACTTGGTGAGCGTTGGCGTGTTGACAATGGCGTTTTGAACGGCGAAAGACATGTTGATGCGCTCCACGATATGCAGGTCCTTGTCACCATCGCTAGGCGAGTCGATCGCCTTCATACACTCATCAATGTCGTCACCCATCAGCAGCTGCGTCGAGTCGAGGGTCAGAGACATGCGATCGTACATGAGGTTCTCGAGCCGCTTGTAGTCATCGTCGCTGTATTGCTGGCCGCGCTTGTTCTGCACGTCCTGAACCGCATCCTTGTCTGCTGGCTTACTGTCGACAGCGATATGACCAGCATCGAGGACGAGCACCTGCGACTTCTTTGTCGTCACATCCATGGGAACGATGATGATAGGTGCGTTCATGTCGACGTGCAGGTCGAGCGTCTTGTGCTGCTCCAGGGCGTATTCGAGACCGGCGCGAGTCTGACTCCTGATGCCATCAAGAGTCTCACCAGCAGCATCAAGCAGAGCGTTGATCGACTCCAGCTGGCTAGCTGGCGGCTTGAAGAAGGCGTACACGGCCTCGACATACTGCTTGTGATAGATAATCTCCAAGTGGCGCATCTTGACCGTCAATGCATTGTCCGCTCTTCCGTCCAGCGGCTTTGCCTCAAATTCGGCGAGGAAGAAGGGATCGGCGGTAGCCTCCGGCTTGGCCTTAGCCAAGTCTGTGGAGCCTTCCTTCTTGTCCTTGTCGTCCTTGTCATCCTGCAGGGGTTCCTGCTGGTCGATGAACGGCGCTTGCGAGGCACCAATCGCCTTGACACGAACGACCTGTGGGTAGATCGAGTTAGGCGTAGTGCCATCATAGACACGGAAGCCGCCAAGAGCCGCCTTAGCTAGCATGGACTCGGTAAGCTCGGTCATTTCCGCGGAGAAGGAATCGAAGACTAGGGCGATAACATCCTTTGGCGTCCCGTGAGGATCGGTTCGGAGCGTGAACGAGCCCTTTTGCAGGGTAGCTTTGATCTGCATCTTCATCAGGTCCTTTGCGGCGTTGGCACCAGGATCCTGGGCAGACCATGCGTCATAGTCGATAATGTCGTCGATCTCCTTCTGTTGCTCCTCGGTCATCGGCTGATCGGCAGACTCCTCCTCATGGCTGGGCTCCGAAGATCCCCACAACCATTGACCCCATGTCTGAGCCTTGGGCTGGTTCTTCTTCTCCTCAGCCTCCAGACGCTTACGCGTAGCAGCGTCCTTGCGCGCCGTCATGCGAGCGATGGATCGGAAGAAGCGAATGTCCTCGTACGACAGCTCCTTCTCGAGGTCGTCGAGCGCCTTCTGGTCTTCCGGCTGCAAAGTCTGACCATGGGGTAACGTGAGCTTCTTGATGTACAAGTCAACATATTGCTTGCGCTTATCACGGCGCTCCTTGAGGTAATCCCACGACCACTTGCGTTGACGCTCGTGCACTTCGCTGCGGATCGCGTTGAGCGCGAACTTCCATCGTGCCTTTGCCGGATTCTGCTCGAAGTCCTCTTCCGGTGGGCGGAACTTGTAATACTGGTGGGTGCGGTGGTAGAAGTGGAAGACATCGATGACAGAGAGGGCGTCGCGGTACTGGGATCGGTCGAGCACGACTCCAATCTCGTCAAAGAACACCTGACCCTCGTACTTGGGCGTCGTCTTCGTCATCGTGCGGTGAATGATGAGACGAGCTTCTCCGCTGACAGGCTTCAGGATGTACTGGTGCTCAGCCTTCTTGTTTTTGAGCATGTCCTTTAAGGCGAGAATGGTGTCCTCCTGATGGTCCGCTCCCTTGTCGACCGAACCAGCGTCGGTGTCGAAGTAAACGGAGAGCTCCTCCAGAATAGCCTGCTTATGCACGTCCTGCACGTTGTTCTGAAGGAACGCCTCGACCCAGTTCTCGTCGGTCGAGACCATCTTGAACTCGGAGATGGCGACACCGGCCGCGAAGGGGTGCTCCGGCGTGTTCGTGTCGTCCTCGTAACGCAGATGGACGTTCTTCACGTGGATCTGGACATTATTGATGATGCGCGTGAAGATAGCTCCGAAGTAGGACTCCTTATCTGGATAGGTCAGTCGAGGACGGAGCTGTGAGACGTACTGTCGTGATTCTCAGCATTTTCGTCTACGCGATTTGCTGTGCTATCGATCATCTCAGCCTGCTGCAGTTTATTTTGCTTTGCAGCCTGCTCTGCGCGCTCATCTTCCTCCGGGTCGACTTTGCCTTGCGGTCGAGCCCTTGCCAAAACGTAGATGTCATCGATCTCAATCTGCGCTGGTTGGTTCTTGATAGCTGACCACGGGATTGTGATCGAGAGGTTACCGATCTCGCCTGTGTGCCATTAGCATACCGCCCATGCAATGCCCACCAGGACTGCAATTCTCACCAGCAACGATCTCGACTGGTAAGCCGAAACGCTCCAAGACAGACTTCTTGAGCTTGAGATGTTTCAGGTCAGCCTTCCCTGTACCGAGGTCAGCTATGCTCCACCGAACAGCCATCGCGTGACGTACCGGAGAGGACGGACAGCTGCAAGTCATTGGGGTTCAAGTTGTCGACATAGGGCGATACGTACGCATTGAGCATGCGCAACGCAATGTCCTTGACGACTTGCATGATGGGCCGTAGCCGCTGTGCGGCGGCTTAGACGCGGGCGGTTGAGCACAGCACCGGGCGAGAGTCTCGAATATGTGCAGAAGGAGGGGAGTTGAAGGTTGAAGTAATTGCGATGTGTTCGGAGGTGCGCGAACCGGAAAAGTTGGAAACGGCGGCGCGCGCAAGGGTCGGGTGGAGAGCCGCGCACTGCCGCTTGGTGGGGTAGGAGCGATCAGGGGATGCACGGCGTCGTCAAAGGGGGTGCGTCCAGCGATCAAAGAAGTAGAGGTGATGGTGAAGAGAGGCGAGGAAGGAGGGGATATGAAGTATGATGAAATCGGATGCGGGTACGGGAGGGCAGACGTTCCTGCTCTCCTCGTCTGCCGGCAGTGAGAGTGAGTGTGCTGTGCGGCACAGTGCTGCAGTGACGGTGCGGTGGTGCGCGCGCGCCCGCTACGGTGGACGGCGTCAGTGACGAAGGCGAGTGAGCCGTAGCGTGCCTGAGTTGCAGCCTAACCTCTCTCTGCGAATAAGCGCACAACGTGAGGGCGAAAACGTCATGGCTCTGTCTTCTGAGACCGAGCCCTGACCCCCAAGCCGGAGCTGCATCACGTGATTCAAGTCGCGTGGCCCTGCTCATATCGCGCCGCTGAATTTCAAGACCGGTTGAGCAGATTTCGGCGTCCACAGCTGGGCCGGTGCGTTGTTTTGACGTTATCAACACCTTCCCCGTCGCCATGCCGCCACCACCTCCGAGACAGAGGTACAACGCAAAGGCCCGAGGGTCCGTTGCCGGTGGCTCTCACAAAAAGCGCAACCGCAAGCCGAAACATGCAGCCGACGGCGAGGACGATACACCTTCGCAACCTCACCATGAGCCGGGCATGTCCGCCAAGAAGAAGAAGCGCTTGGATTCGTACATCGTGAGCTAGCCTTTCTCCGCTCATCCAGCTAACATTTTCAGGCCAAGAAACTCCAGCTGGAACGTCGCGATGAGACGCTCAAGACCCTCGCCGCGCTTCAGAGTAGCACCAACGACAGCTCCCTCCACATGCTGACGACATCGAGCATTGGACAGAATCCGTTAGCACCAACGAGCGCGCTTCAGCGGGCAGAGAAGATTGAAGACAAGATTGTACGAAGAGGACTCGACAAGCTGAAGCGGAGACACGGCGAGATCGACAGCGATTCCGAGTCAGACGACAATGCTAAGGGCAAGGGAAGACGTCAGGTGGAGGTCATCACCACTGCCGGAGCGGAGGAGGAAGGCATCGACACCACCGTCCTCGAGACGAAGGCGGAGACGAAAGCTCGCGAGAAGGCTTTGGCCAAGGGACGCAAGGGGAAGATCCAACTGCCCAAGAAGGTGAGCTAAAGTTATGCATCCTCAAACTGACCACCAGGGCAACTGGAATCCGAATCTGCCAAAGGAGAAGGTGAAGGAAGACTCCTCTGATTTTGACTCGTCCGACTCGGAGAACGATAGCTCGGACGATGTCTCTGAACCGAGTTCCCCGCCAGGTGACACTGCCGCGGCTCCTTCTCAACCTGGAAGCGCACTGAAAGCGACGACTGCTGGCAGCGCTCTCAAGCCGTCGACAGCTGGAAGCGCTCTCAAGTCTTCCGCGACCGGAGGCGCTCTCAAGGCATCGGCTCTTAGTGCCTTGGAGACGTCCTCGGGTAGTGCCCTGAAGTCCTCTGCCGGCAGTGCTCTTAAGCCTGCTGCAGGAAGCGCGCTGAAGTCCTCAACAGGAAGTGCCCTCAAGTCCAGTGGCGAGATTGGCGGAGCTCTCAAGCGCGCCGATGGAACGACTTTCCAGCCCCGCGTTGTCCTGCGCGGTCCGAAGAAGTTTGCTCCCGTCCGAGGACGGAAGGATGAGAGTGAGAGTAGCGAGGACAGTGAGGACAGCGACAGCGAAAGCGACGCTAGTGATGACGAGAGCGGCGAAGCCGACAGTGAGGAGAGCGAGGAAGACAGTGAGGACGAGGAAGGAACCGCTGAGGGTGACGCTGCCGAGCCAAGCTCTCCCAAGCGTTCCAAGGGATTCAAGAACTGGGCGCTGAACGCCATGGGCAACGTCGTCCAGGAGCAGCAGCCCGACCTTCTCGCCGTCAATGAGGCGGAGTCGTCAAAGCCGAAGAAGCCGAAACAGCCTGCTCCGAAGACTGGAGAGTTCGTCGGACCCATGGGCTCGACCTTCGCTATTCCGACGACATCGCTGCTTACTGGAAGTGACCAGGGATCCTCGGCTCGCCCCACGATCAAGCGCCGGCCGTCCGTGGCCGAGTCGCGCATGGAGCTGCCGATTCTGGCTGAGGAGCAGAACATTGTCGAGGCTGTCCTGATGAACCCCGTCGTCGTTATCTGCGGTGAGACCGGTTCAGGTAAGACGACGCAGGTTCCGCAGATGCTGTACGAGGCTGGCTTCGGATTCCCTGGCTCGGCGAACCCCGGCATGATCGCTGTGACGCAACCACGACGAGTTGCGGCCGTCTCACTGGCCGAACGCGTGCGAGATGAGCTCGGGTTCGACAAGAAGTCTGGAATTGTTGCGCACCAGATTCGATACAGCTCGACGACGAGCCCCGACACCGCCATGAAGTTCATGACCGACGGTGTTCTGCTTCGCGAACTGGCCACGGACTTCCTCCTGTCCCGCTACAGCGTCATCGTCGTCGATGAGGCGCACGAGCGAGGAGTCAACACGGATGTTCTCATCGGTGTTCTCAGCCGTGTCGCGAAGCTCCGCGAGAAGCGCTGGCGTGAATCGGAGGGCAGCAAGGACCGCCTGGGACCACTGCGCATTGTCATCATGTCTGCGACTCTCCGTGTTGCCGACTTTGCCGAGAACCCGACGCTCTTCGCCAACCCGCCCCCGATCATCCACATTGGCGCTCGTCAGCACCCGGTAACCATGCACTTCTCCCGCCGTACCAGCTCTGACTACGTGACGGAAGCGTACAAGAAGGTCTGCAAGATCCACTCTCGTCTTCCCCCAGGCACCATCCTCGTCTTCCTCACTGGTCAGAACGAAATCACCGGACTTTGCAGGAAGCTGGACAAGCGCTATGGCAAGGGCAAGCAGAAGGGCAAAACCAAGATCAAGGAGATTGAGGATGCTCCCGCGGAGGGCTCTGAGCTTCCACCAGATGGTGAGTTATCAAATGGCGTCGTTGCGCTAACTTACAGTGCTGGAGGCTGAAGACCTTGACCTGGGCAACGATCAGGACCTCGCTGCTGATGTCGATGACGGTATCGCCGAGGAGGATCCCGAGGCACTCGATACGGACGAGGACGCTCCCGAGCTCGACCTTGAGGACACGGACATGCCGATGACGGTCCTGCCACTGTACTCGCTCCTGTCGCAGGAGCAGCAAATGGCGGTGTTCAAGCCGCCGCCAGAGGGCCACCGTCTCGTAATCGTCTCGACCAACGTTGCCGAAACGTCGCTTACCATTCCCGGCGTCCGTTATGTTGTCGACAGTGGACGAGCAAAGGAGCGCCAGTTCGACGCCGCGTCCGGAGTACAAAACTTCGCCGTGTCGTGGATCTCCAAGGCATCGGCTGCACAGCGTGCTGGTCGTGCCGGACGTACTGGACCGGGTCACTGCTACCGCCTGTACTCTTCGGCCCTGTACGAGGACCACTTTGCGCAGTTCTCCGACCCCGAGATCCTGCGCATGCCGATCGAGGGTGTCGTGCTCAACATGAAGGCGATGAACATTGACGCGGTCGTCAACTTCCCCTTCCCAACTCCTCCGGACCGCTCTGCTCTGAAGCGTGCGGAGAACTTGCTCCAGCACCTTGGAGCTCTGGAGAAGCCGCTCGCCACGCGCATGATCAACGGTGTGCAGCAGAAGGGTGTCGCCGGTGGCCAAATCACCGAGCTCGGCAAGGCCATGGCCGCGTACCCCGTCTCGCCTCGCTTCGCCAAGATGCTCGCTGTCGGCAGCGAGAACGGGTGCCTTCCGTACGTCATCGCAATTGTGGCTGGTCTCAGCGTCGGCGACCCGTTCATGCACGAGTCGGCGCTCGAGGTCAAGGACGACGGGGGCAGTGACGAGGAGCGCGAGCTCGAGCTGTCACACATCACGTCCGAGGAGATCAAGGAGAAGGAGCGACGAAAGGACCTGCGCAGCCGGTTCTTCAAGCGCACAGCCGCGTTCGACGGCAAGGGCGAGTCGGACATGTTCAAGCTGCTGTCCGCGATCGGCGCTTATGAGCACAACCCGACAGCTGCCTTCTGCTCCGAGTACTTCCTGCGCCACAAGGCGATGCAGGAGATCCAGCAGCTGCGCGCGCAGATCAGCCAGATCGCGGGCGAACCGATGTCGCTCCTCCAGCCGCCTTCGGAGCGGGACCGCAAGGTTCTCCGCCAAGTCCTGACGGCCGCTTTCATCGATCAGATCGCCGTCATTGAGACGCTCGCGCTCGGCCGTGGTGTGCCCGCGCACAGCAGCACGCGCGGCGTTGCCTACCGCGCCGTCAACGTCCCCGAGCCGGTGTACATCCACCCGTCGAGCGTCATGTTCCACCACAAGGCGCCCGAGTTCATTGTCTTCACCGAGCTCGTGCGCACCTCCAAGGTCTGGGTCAAGGGCATCACGAAGGTGAACCCGGCCTGGCTGAGCGTTCTCGCCAAGGACCTGTGCACGTTTTCCCAGCCCGACATCCCCGCCAACCGCAAGACGGGCGGTACGGAGCGCGACGTCATCGTCCAGCCCAAGTTCTCCTATGGCGGTCTCAGCGTCAACTTGCCCCTCGCGAAGAAGAAGCAGAAGCTCGTCAAGGGCAAGTGGGTCACGCTGGAGTAACTTTGAGACGCATTTTGTACTACCACCCAATACCATCACCCAATAGACATCTCTTGCATATGCATTACGCCATCTGGAATGAAATCGGTCTTCTACCGCGGCAACCGTGCACGATGCAGAAGTTCCAAGGTAGGCTTGGCAACTTGGCAGCGGGCAAGATAGCGGGAAGTTTGCGGTCATCACCATGATGACCGCGCAATTCAAGGCAGTGAGTCACGCCGTTATCATTCCTCACAAGCCCTGCTGTGGCATCGGAAAGTGTGCGAAACTCTCCATATTCAAATCTCGCACAATCCCAATCACTCTCAGTGCAGCGGTGCAACAACGTGCTGTGTGAATCCCAATTCATTGCATTTCATAAACTATAGGTTCCATAAACTTGACGTGACTATGCGAGGTGAGCCTACACGGCCCTTTTAGTGTTGGTAGGGTGGATTTACCATCCGAAGACTTCGGAGTGGAAGTGGATCTCCTGCTGGTGGCCAGCAGCGATGGCCGACGGTCTGTTGACGGCAACAACGGCATCGCGCGCGGCCATGGAGAGGGACGTGGGTCCGCAGACCGCGACACCGACACCGTCTCCCTCGCCCGTGGCGTTGAGCGTGTCATCGCGAATGATGGTCTCGAGCGGCGAGCGTCCCTTGTGGAACTGGACGATTTGGGCGACCGTCGGGCTAATGCCGGCCGCAGCGATCCACTTCTCGTCCGCGCCGCCCATGGAGCCGGTCGAGGACGTCTTCTCGTTGACGTTCTCGGTCGAGCCGGCGGGCGAGCCCTCGGGCGAGTCCTCGAGCGAGGCGAACTGGGCCGGGTCCTTCTGGCCCTCGACTGTCGGGTCGTCCGAGACGGCGGAGCGGGTCAGGTACACGTCGATGTGGAACTTGGTGGAGCCGGCGCCCTTGGCGAACTCGGCGTTGAGAAGGGGGGCAATCCAGGACAGGGCACGGGGGGAGCGCACGTTCCACACCAGGCGGCAGGAGGCGACCGCCGTCGTGCCCTCGCGCGAGCACTTGATCGTGTTCAGGAACTGGGAGCAGGAGGCCGAGATACCAGTGCCGCCGGCGATGAGAATGACGGCGTCGTGCTGCTGAAGCGGGCCGTGGCCGATACCGTGACCGAAACCCTCACCACCATAGGGGCCCTCGATGTACGCGTTGATGTCGGTGGTGGTCGTCGAGTCAAGGCGGTTCACGAGGCGGCGGGTGAAGCCCTGAAGCGCGCGGAAAATGAAGACGACGTCGCCGCTCTCGTCGGGGATGTTCACGATCGTGAACGGGTGCTGCTCGTAGCGCAGCATCGCGACGCCGGGCATGGTGAGGAAGGCGTGCTGGCCGGGGGACCACCTAAAGAGCGGGCGGTTGACGGTGACGCGCACGACGTCGTCGTCGATGAGCTCGACAACGGAGCCGGAGTGCTCCGCGTGGCGGGCAGAAGACCACATGAGCCACGTCTTGTTGTGGAAGAAGAGGCGGGCAAAGGCGACGAAGCGGTCAATGCCCCAGAGCAGGAGAGCAATCCAGGTCCACTCGGCCATGCGCGGCCAGTGGTAGTACGACGCGACGATGAACATGATGCCCATCGTGATGTGGAAGAAGAGGAAGAGCTCGTACACCGTCTTGCGCACGATCTGGAAGCTGGTGAGCCAAAGAACGAGGACGGCAACAGAGCCAAGCATGCCAGAGAGGAAGATCTTGGTGCCAGGGCCGTGCTTGCCGAGACCTTTGTGGAACCAGCCGAGCGTGTGCAGCCAGGTGGTCAGGACACAGACACGGCCAGAGGCGCGGTGCAGGTAGTTGAGCTTTTCGTACGAGATGCCGGTCATGTAGGAGATGACGTTGTTGCGCGAAGCGAGGCCGACAATGAGGGGCATCTGCGCAAAGGCGACGACACCGATCGGGTTGGCGTAGTCGAGCTTGCCGTCGATGGGCGAGATGCATCCCCAGAAACCAACACCGAGACAGATACCAGTGTAAGCAGCGGTCCAGAACCACTCGGCAGCCGAGGTCGAGCCGTAAATCCAAAGAGGCCAAGTGCGGACGTAGGCGAGGTTGGCCCAGCCGGCGTGAGCAGCACCGAGGGCCGAGCCGCGCTTGCCGTTGGTGGCAGCAGCGCCCGCGGCACGCTTGGCGGCAACACGCTTGCGGATCTGGTGCGCGCGCCACATACGGAGGAGGTACAGGATGGCAATGGCGCCGATGACACCCGTGGTCACCCACCACATGATGTAGTTGGCCCGGTAGATCCTCGCCTTGAGAAGAGCCTTGCGGGTCGCCTTGTCCATGCCGTTGACGAGACCACCGCCCGAGGACTTACCCGAGGAAGCACCCTTGGCGGAGGACTCACCCTTGCCGGAAGACTCGCCCTTGCCGGACTTGCCGGTGGCAGCCTCGGTGGCAGCGGCGGCAGCAGACTTCACAACGGAAGTGACGGCGTCAGTCACCTTCTGGCCCGCAGAGCGGCCGCCGGCCCCGCCGGCACCCTCGGCCTCTTGACGAGCGACGAGAAATTCCATGTCGAGAAGGCTGGTGCGGTGTTAGCATCAGACTCTCGGCTGGCGCGTGGAATGTGGACATGGACATCCGGGTGCGGCCTTTTCCATGTGCCAAGGAATACTCACTGGATTGAGGATGAGATGGGGATCTTCTCCTATCTGATAAAACTGAGGCATATATACCATCCCGGCTCAAGGAGGGTTCTAGACCACGGCAAGGGCCATTTTGCCCCGATCCGACATCCTGCTCCTGAGTCATCTGCCTCTGCTTTCCAACGGACCGCTGCGCGCAGCTTACTGGGTGAGCTGATGCTGCCCGAAAGTGACCGACCGCAGCTGGCTGGTGGGCGCTCTGTCGGTCCGATGCTCTCCAGGTTTCTGCTCAGGTTCTCCTCTGCTAGTCTGCCTGACCGCAGAACAAGGTCTGCGGCTCAGTCCCGGGACACTTAGACTCGGTCTCCTCCTCCTGAGCACTAAGCTGCAGTCAGTGATTGGCGTCTGTGCGCCCTTCCTCTCTGCTTTGTCTCACACTCTATGTCTGGTTTCTTGGCAAGCCCCAGCAGAGCCAAGGAGACGATTGTCATAGGCCAGACGCTCGAAATAGAGCCAGCTTCTCACCTCACGGCCGGTCCCAGGCTGCACTGTGCTTGGCTCCTTGCCCTTGTGCCCGATTTACCGTTGCCAAGACGTAGCAGCTACTTCTGGGACCCTGGGTGGGTCTCGTGAGCGTGGAGACTCTGCAGGGAGAGTACCAAGCCTCCGAGGGTGCAGGAAGAGCAGTTGACGCCATCATCTGATCGCACCGAGGCACGTAGCTCGGCAGGGGAAGGACCAACAGGGTTCGCAATACTCTTCACTAGCACCCGCCATCCCATTCAGGGGGCCATGCTTGAGAAAGTCGGAGGCACTGGGGCTCACTCGAGGTCAGCAGCAAGGAGCCATGAGCAATGTTGAAGAATTCAGTCATACGTTCTGTCGCAACCCTAACCGCAACCCTGGACGGCGACAGGACATCGCCCAGTCATAATACGAGCTGCTGCCACTTTCGGCCGGGCTGCTCATGCCCGCGTGCCAGAGAGTTATCAGATAACTCGCCAAGGCACGCTACCGCTTTTCATTAACGCCCGAACGTAAGGGCGTTCCATGCGTTCCCACAAATCCGCGACATCGTCCCCGCCAGGCTACAAGACACCGGCCGAAAATGGCTCATGGAGGCACTGGAGCTCCCGGAAAACCCGGAGGCTCCAATGCCTACATTCTGCCGTTCTGGCTCCACTGGCCAACTGGGCCAAACTTTTGCCTCGATCACCTGCCCCTTCCTCCCCCACACGCTCGTCTTGACGACCATACAGATCTGTCTCTAACCAAAGAACGATGCTGCGCTGACTGGTTCACCGCAGTAGCTGAACTAGATCTCGGTCCAGCCCAAGATATGCATAGCGTGTGCCTTCGGCTGTCGATCACACTGCTCGCGTGCGCAAGAATAGGTTATCGGCGATTACTGCGCAGAAAGCACGGCTCAGCACGAACTGGCTCAACGTATCTTGCCTTGTCTGATAAACTCGTCGGCCGCAATGCCAGTATTGCTGCATCCCTGAGGCATATGGGTGCGGAAGTGGGAATGACTTTCATCAGTTTGCTTGCCAAGAGAAGCCCGCACGAAGGGTTGAATACCGCACCTGAAGGTGGACAACGAGAGGCTGGGGCGGCGACTTTTCCCGCCCACTCGTTCTAAACCCTTCTCCCGAGACTGCAAGTTCGCTCGGCGGTTGGGTACCTCCCCATGACAAGGCTCTATTTACCTCAGCAGGCCACTCTTGGCAGTCAGGTGCTGCATGCTGGTTCTATTTCTTCTCTACAGATGGGCTTGGCCCAGGCTTGCAAGCCCACATGTCGATTCACCTGGCTGGCGACCAATTTATGGCTGCGTTCCATCGCATCGTCGTTACTCCATGGAATGTTGCTCCGTTATCGTCTCGGCGAGCCGGGCGAACTTGGGGGTGATCACAGCGTTTCTAGTCACAACAAAGGAGTTGTGTGGAACATAAGAAGCGGCAGGCGCCGCAGTGCGTGAGGAACTGGGACGGCGTGTTGGACGTCTTAAGTTACGCCCCAAGACCGGACTTCGTGTTCTTGACAATAGCAGTGATTCTTCGGCCGATCAGCATGTCACTTATATGTAATGATGGTACTCACGGTACGTCGAGGCCTCCGGCTCGGCCAATGGCGGCGCCCTCGCTCCATCTGTGATCGGTGTCAGCAGGGAATATCGCTAAGGTTGGTGCTCGCGTAGGTCGGTTCGGTGGTCCGGCTTCAGGGAGGGATACATTTCCCGGCCCTCCTTGTGCCAGGTTCTCAACTCTGCTCCCCACGGAGACGGCCGAACAACGAGCAGCGAGCACGCAGTGAGGCGCGACTCCATGTGCTTCAACATTGCTGCCTCAGGTACCCGAAGTTACCGTCATCTTCGACACCCAACGACAGCCTCGAAATGCACTTCCGACCTAGGGGAGCCAGTAAACTTACCCCATCATACTCAGCAGGCGATGGCCGACATTGTCTTCTCCAATCTTCTCAGCGCCCTCACCAACGGTCTCACCGTCACGCACGCGGGCGGAGGGTCCACCGCTCGGTCCCTTGGGTCCCTTCTTACCGGAGCCGCGGGCGTAGAGGGCCTTATAGAACGACTGGCCGGCATTCTCGGACGCAGCGAGAAGGCGCTCAAGCTTGTCCTCGTCTGCCATCCGCGAACGGGCTAGCTTGATGAGAATCCTGGGCGTTAGCCGAAAAAAACGCACAGCTCAGCCCTATCAGCATCTACTCACGGGAACCTCGAATTGCCCTTGCCCTTGGACTTCGACTTCAGGTCATAGAGCTCGGCGAGCATGTGGACCTTCCTACGCGTCTCCTTGTCCATGGGGGGAAGGGGAAGGGTGGTCTTGCCATTGTCGAGAAGGAAGGTCGTGATCTGAGTATTGATCTGCCTGAGGGTGAGAGGGAGGAGGGCGACGCGGCCGCCGCGAGTGGGGATACCGCTCCAGTCGTCATCCGAGACGTCGAACATGTCGGCGACCTCGGACGCGCTGCCGGGAATCAGATGCGCGATGCTGGCGGCGGCAGACTTGCTGCCAAGCTTGGTCGCCTTACGACCGGCCATTGTTAACGCCATGCGTAAAGCTTCGCGTTCACGCTTCTTCTCGGCCTTCTTCTCGCGGTCACGCTGCCACATGTCGCGCAGCTCGGGTGGGATGTGCGAGCCCTTCTTGTCCTTCTTGGCCGGTGCGATCGGGAGGTCCGCGTCGAACGTGCCGGACTGTACAGCCCGGAACACTGCCTTCCTCTCTTTGCGCGACGCAGCCATGACACCGCCGTCGAGGGCATCTTCCATGCTCTCCGCGAACCAAGTTTCCTCGTCCTCCGTGTTCCAGGTATTGTTGCCCTGGAAGTAGCTGTCTTCATCTGGAGATTCCTCTTGCTGATCATATGCTTCTTGCAGCGCGCCGAAGGAGTTAACATTGCTGTCGTCGGCTTCGTCGCTGTCACTGTCGTCCTCCTCGTCAGAGGAGTTGATGTTCGAAGACGCGGCTCTGAACGGGTCCTGCGCATGGTCAGTCAGGACCACAGTTTCAAACCTGAGTTCACTTACCCTGATAGGAGCTTTGCCCTTGGCAGGTAACTCCTCGTACTCGTCCGAATCGGTCTCGACATCGACGCCGAGTTCGCCGCCCGTGCCCTGTCCGAAGCCAATGCCGCGGCTGAAGCGCGCCATAGCCTCGTAGTCGAGTTCGGAGTCGACGTCTTCCTCCAGCTGCTGGTCTTCGTCGTCAAGTCCAGCCGAAGCAAAGCGCTCACCGAGCTCATCGACCTCGACCCCGACGACGCCGGCGGCCTCCATGTCGGAGCCCCAGTCGACATCCGAGTCGGCACGCATGCGGGCTTCTTGGCGCTTGCGGCTCTTACGGCTGGCACGCTTGGCACGCTTCGCGGCCTTCTTCTCCTTGCGGCTCATGCCGATGCGCGGGTCGATGTACACCGAGCTCAGCTCGAAGTCGGTAGAAACTTGGGGTCGTGACGTGGAAGCAGATGGGAGAGAAGCCACGGGATCGGCAATGAGCTGCGGCCGGAACACGATGTCTTCCACATCGTCGGTGGGAGGGGCGGCCGACCCGATGGGGGCGGTAGACGCGGTAGTATCGTACAGCGGTCGGTCGTAGGACATGGTGGCGTCGGCGCCGGTGTCGTCGACGAAGAAGAGGTCGGAAGCATCTGCGTCCGCGGCAGAGTCCAATGCGAGGGTAGTGTCCTCTGCGCCCTCTTCGTCGTTGATCGGGGACGACGATGTGGCATCATTGTCAGGCACCTGGTGCACCTCGGTTGCGACTGCGCTCGTTGTCTCGATGAGCACCTCGTCATCGACGGGAACGGCCTCGGCCTGCACAACGGAGACTTGCGTCTGGACAACCCTGACGAGTCCTTCGTCATCTTCAAACTCAGCGGCCGGAGCAGTGTCGTCCTCAGTGACTGTAGATGTGTCGCTCTCGTCCATGGCCGCTTCCGGCTCCTCATCGTCACCAGAAGGAAGACCACTAGGGGGTCCAGCTTCATCTTCGCTCTGTGCAGAGCTGACGGGCGCACTCTCTCCGATATCGTCTTCAGTGTCTTCGATCACGACGTCTTTGACAAGGTCTGAAGTCAGCTATCCGCGGCGTGTCCGATGGTTGAATTTTTGAATTTGCCTCCCGAATCGGATACCCCCGTTCGCTACCTCCGCTCAACGCGCTCAGATTAATCCAACCACTCCGGTCGGCACTCGCTCTAGCGGGAAGGGAGAATTTTCGGAGAGGGACAGTCACCGAGCACCGCAGAGACACGGAGGTATTGCTTCCAAACATGAAAGCTGCAGCATCGTTTGCCCTCGGCCAATGCTCGAGGAGAACCCCCGCGTCGCCGGCCGGGTCTTGGCTCTAACCCCTTGCCGAGTAACCTCAGATTTGCGCACTCACCTTCCTCGTCCTTCACGTCCACCTCTCCGTCACGGAAGAGCTCGCCAGCCTTGATGAATAACGGCGCCCAGCCGCCGCCCCAGGTAACTACGCCATCGAGAATGATAGCTGGGTGGCGACGCGATCCAGATCCAAGTCCTGTTGTCGGCGTACGCGCTCCGCTTGAAGGCGTAGTGCGTCCCAGTCCTATTCCACCACGGATACCACGCCCTCGTCCTCGGAACTGCTCTCGTGGCCGGTCGGGCATATCGCGCGGCGTTTGCGGGCCGAAAGGCTCGACTTGGATTTCTGCCGTCAGCCCACAGATGCTCTGGTCAGCTCTCGAGGGAAAGAACAGCAGGCCGACCCGGGCTAAGGGCGAAACTTTTCTCCGGGTACTGTAGTCACTCACGCATCTTCCTGTAATTGTTGCTGCTCGCGTTGACCTTGTTGTAGTCGAGACCCATATTGGAGTAGTCGGCTCCAAAGTGGCCGCCACGGAGTGTCCGGCCTCCGCCGCGAGCAGCACCGCCTCCACGACCACCACCTCGTCCTCCTCGTCCACCACCTCCTCCAAACCCTCCTCTTCCTCGAGATCCGCCTCGTCCGCGGCCTCGCTGGCCTCCGCCGCGTCCCCGGGATGGTCCTGGTGAACCGAGTCCCAGGAAGTCGTTGAAACTCTGCCTCGGCATCGTCGTCGTCGTTGTTGTCACAAATAAATGCGGTTCAAAATCCAATGCCTGTGTATCGCTTGTGCCGTAAGTCGATAGTATGCTATGCGTGCGGGTATGTGTCGTTCACAAGAGATGCAGAAACGGGAACGGCAGATAAAGATTGCACTCGAACGTGTAGACCCTCCACCGGCGGCTCGGATCCGAGCGAAGTCAGTCTGACGCTGCCACGTGCGCGTGGGTCACGTGCGCTCGTCGTCAATAGCAATCTTGTCAACAACGTCAGTGGCGTGTCGCAGGACCGCAACGCCTTCCCTCAGAATGTCATGACCGTGTGCAGTGACACACCTACTACACATACGCCCATGCACCAGATCTCCTTGTATCATAATCACATCGCATCTCTCGATGACGCTATGGGACTCGCCCGATAGCTGTGTACTGTCGTACGCTTAGTGCGCAGCCTGCATGCTGGCGTGCTGCTGGGACTGCGTGTTACCGACCGCGCTGCTGGCGCCGTTCGGCGAGCGCGTGTGCTGCTGATCCTTGCGCGCAGCCCTCTCAGCCTGAACAATGGCGGCTGCCGGGCGCGTAGCCTCGAGCGTGCTGAGCTCGACGGTGAAGTCGCCGCCGGTGTCCTGGCGCGACCAGGTGGCAGGGTTGAACACGCTGAACGGTCCGCGGATGACGGACGGCTGAGAGGACTGGTCCCCATGCAGATCGATTTGAGACAGCGGTCCAGACGTGATCCACACACGCAGGTCGGTGCTGAAGCGCCAGCCACGGTTGTACAGCTCCTCGGCGACCATAAGCTGGACAATGTCCTGGGGCGCAGAGTAGAAGATGTAGAACAACGTCTCCTCGGCGAAGTTGGGCAGCTTGGACTCGACGGGGGGCGGGACAACATGGTAGCAGCTCGGGATAACGAACATATCCTCGATCTGCGGGGGATGCTGCATCGATGTCGGATCCACCCATGGCGTAACGAACGTGGAGTACAGCGGGTCGCTGCTCTGGATGTCCATACCAAGCTCCTGGAGGTCCTCGCCGAACATGAGCATGCCCCTGTCTCCCTTGCCCATCTGTGTCCGAATCTCATACAGGAGAGCCTTCAATCCCCACTTGTCCACGGGTGAGGAGAGGATCTGCTGCACAGGTCGGACCAGAGGCTCGTTTTGGCGCGACGGCGACTGTCTCGTCCATGACTCTGTCGTTGACGGTGGCCGGGCGGTGGCTGCTCCCATTTGCGGATTGGACGACGTCGCGGTATTGGACTGAGAACTCGGTGGTCCGTTGAGGTGTGACTGGGGGGAACCCGGCTGGCCCTGTCCCGGTCCGCCCATCTTAAGCATGTTGACCATCTGGAGTCAGAGACGCTCGACAGACGTCATTGAGCTAGCTCACCCGTTGCCCCTTTTCTCCCAGCGCGGGGAAGTCGTCTCGTAACCCCTCGCCCGAGACACCATTGGGCTGCGCAGAAGATGACCCGGGTCCAGCCAGACCTGGGGGCGGCGGCGGGGCACCAAGGCCCTGCTCCATGTGCTGCTGCATGAACATCTGATGCAAGTTGGCGTCGTTGCTGCCGCCCTGCGACTGGGACTGCGTAGCAAAGGAAGAGTTCGTATTTCCGTGCTGGCTGTGGCCGTGGCTCTGGTTCATTGATCCCAACGCTGGGAAATCATTCGGGTCAGCTGCTGTCAGCACACACGCACGTCACATTTGCCGGCGGGGCAGCGAAACACAAAACGGGGTTGTCAACATTGTACACTCCTCACTCCCAGTCTCTTCCCTTTGTGGGAACACAATATCTCCCAGCGTTCCAGTGCTTCGCCACCGCCGATTCAACACCTACTCGCAGCTCTTCCGCCGAATCCTGGAGGTCCAGCGCGACCTAATCCCGAGCTCGGCGGGAAGTTGCCTTGCAGGCCTTGTTGTTGACCCATGATTCCTCCGCGGCCACCCTGTCCAGAGCCAGCCGCGCCGCCGTGTCCAGCAGAGGCGTAGTACATGCCGTTGGCTCCACTCGGTTGAGAAGGTGGGGCGCCCGTTGCTGATCGGTAACCAGCGGGTAGCACTGTCTGTCGTGGTTGTCCTGTTGCGCGTTAGCAAGTGCTTCTTGCCGAGCCCTGCCGAGCCAGAAACCGCTGATAATCACCTCCTTGCCTATTCATAGGGACTGATCGATCGGATAGGCGGGGTCAAGACGTCGAACGTGGTCGTAGGGATCGAGGGAAGTGACAGGTAGGACAAAGTGGAGGGGGTGAAGAAGGCGGGAATCAGGTGTCAGCACACTGTCAAGCGTCGCAACGGCGTCGGATTTCCGGTGCTTGGGAGTCGCGGCTCACTTGGTTCGATGGAACGCCGTTGGAGGTGAGTGTTGATCGAGTGCCGACTGTGAGGTCGATACCGGTAGGGTAGTGGTTACTGGTTCTCGTTGTCGGTGTCCGCCTGAGTGGACAAGCTCACCACCCTCAGCACCACCACAACCCCACGGAGTTTCGGCGTTTTACCCCGGTGGCATCCACCGCCGAGTCGCCACTCAACACCTCGAACTCGATCTCGTGCATTGTGATCGATCATCTCGAAGACAGCATAGACGCCGTACATTCTTGCATCGAAGACAACATCCTTCTAGACTGATTCTAAATCTGTCACGGCAATGCTGTGTGGTTTGGGTGCCAGAGATCGGATGCTTGCTTTGCGCCTCAACCGCCCCGTCCGCAAGGTCTCAACCGCGGCCCCCTCAAACCCAAAGACGAAACTGCACGTTCCTCGCACCTTCTCTGTCGCTCCGCACACCCGCGACTGTTGACTGACTACTGAATCGTTATCCCTTCTGATCGAGGAGGCTAGCACTTCCCTGTACTTTACTGATCTCACCTCGCTCCCTCACGACAGACTCCTGGTCAAAATGAAAGCAACACCATGTGATCACGTTGTCGCGCTTTCCATCCTTGCTTGTCCTCTGAAACTTACATGCACGAGTTCAGTATGCCCGTGTCGCAAACCTGGTCCAGCCCCAAATCTCTGAAAAGGTACCGTTCTTCGTTGCCCAGCAGCATATCTATGAAAGCTTCTAGCTGTAGTCAGACGGATGTGCCTGCACCGACCGATCTGCGAACTACGGTATGCATATGAGAAAAGAGACACCATAAAGGTGCTGGCCACGCTCTACTTGTAAACCTTGAGGAGGCGTCGACTCTGCAAACCACTGCCCAGACAGCCCAGCCTCAGCATCTCCAGAGCTGTGATCGAATGTCCCACACTTGCCTTTGGGTGGGGATGGGTTGGCAGTGCTCGCCGCTCTCAAATGGAAGGTGGACGTCGACGTTTCTGGAGTAGAGGATAGTAGGGCAGCGATAAACCTCCCGAGGCGGTGCGGCGACACCCAAAAGAAAGCGCCCGTGTACAAGTTGGAAAGGCGTTAGAGAGCCAAGCTACGGTGTGCGGTGTGCGTGTGCTTCTCACTCTCCGCGAAGCCTACCGTCTGTGCGCGGAGCCTAAGCCGTGTCGTTGCCGTACCAGTCTTGGTCCTCTGGTGGGTCGGTAGTCCAGCTCCACTGTCCCCACAACGCCTGCGGATGAGCATCGCGGTGCCAGTCCATGAGCATGTTGGCGAGCCAATCGGCGTAGCGGACCGAAACCTCGTTCAGGAATATCGTGAACTCGATGTAGTCCCGCTCCGTCACGTTCCAAGAGAGCTGCGGCTTGTAGTCGGTCAGCTCGAGGACCTTTTCGGCGCATTGGCCGCAATAGCCCTCCGCGACGGTCTCGGGCATCAGGCCGTGATAGGTCAGGATCAGGCTGACTTTCGCCGGCATGGTCGGGTATCGATGCACGAGGGTATGTCGATGCTGTGGAGTGACAATGGAGGAGTGGAAGGAAGCGAAGACACGCGCGAAAATGAGATCGCGCCCATTCTGACCAGCGTGCATCATGCGTCATCGCCGACCTAGCAGAGCATCACGAGTTTATCCGGCGTTCACGAAATTTGCCGATGTCCGAGGTTTACCTTTGCGTCCATCCACAATCTCTTGGCCACGCTGAGGTCGAGAGGGAATACATCTGCAGCAGGACTGTACCGTTTCTAAAACTCTTATCATCTATCACAACAGAGCAGAGCAGCCCAGCTGGTGCATCCGGTTCTACCCGAAATCTAATGCCAAGTGAAGGTCATGAGTCTCGTGGCGGCCTGCTCGGTGGGAAAGTACGTCCATGACCATTCCTTGTAGTGCGCGAAGGGCGTGCCCTGGAGCCAGTTCATAAAGTTGTTCCCGACGGCTATACACGTTTCAGCGTTGGCGCGGTCCATGTAGACTGAGAAAACCTGGCCATCCGGGGTCTTGCGCCAGTCCAGTCCGACATCGTGCAGCGGCGCGCCCCATTGCCGTAGAGCCGGGAGAAACGCTCGCATGAAGGGACCCGCGATTCTGTCGGGCATCGGATCGTGACATGTTATGGCGACTGTCATGAGGGGCATGGTGTGCAGGGATGGGAGGATAAGCTAACGAGCGAAAGCGCACACCATCTTGCGAGATTTATACGGCCGAGGCCAACTAGGAGAAGTCCGTCTCGTCAGAGGAGAAGTCAAGAAGACTGCAACACTCGTGGAAGACATGCTGCCCATGACACCAAGCTGCAACCAGCTGCCTGCCAACACGAGTATCGCGGATGTTCAGCACGATGAGTGCCTCGTGGTACCAGCAACTGGGAAGCATTCCACCTGTTTCAGGAAGGAGTTGCTCATGGAATATTCCGCTTCGAACCCTCGCCTGAATACTCTTGTTCACCGCCTCCACATGTAGCTTCTCCGAGAACGTGAGCCCGAGCCCTTGCAGACGAGCTCGGAATGACAAAGGTGAGTCGATCGACCTCCACTTCGCCTCCGAGTCGATCGTCCCTGAGTGTCTCCACAATCCCAGCGCTGACGGGGATGTCGCAATTTCAGATCTCGTCGACTCATCACATGCCCAAGCACACGTGGTGTCCCACTCTTTGCCCCATGAGTTGGTGTTGCAACGACCACCGCCTTGCAGTCACAACGAATTGGTGAGGAAGCATGTCGATAAGCTAGAGGACTTCCACAGACGTTGAGTCCGTGGATGAATCGAAGTCTTGGCGCCGAGGTTTATACGACTAACCCCGGTCTCTTGCCGGCGGACCGTGTCCGGGGCGGGCCCCGGCGACCAGTAGAAACCCAGCTATTGTCCGAGATAAACCGCCTCCAACCGTCAACGCGAGGTATAAAGTGGGCCGAACGGATCCACCTTTCTCCCCTTCCGTGTAAAACTTCCAGATCCTCTCCATTGCTGCTGCACGATGCACAGACCAGAACACAACGCGACTGACGACATGGCTGCAAGGCCGAGCCTCTCGGCCGCCAGCACGACGAGCACCCACTACGACGAGCACACCCACCACCTCCCTTCCCACCACCACGCTCAGCACGAGCCAGAAGAGGATCTCGAGTACATCCAGCACATGCCTCCGCGGTTAAGGACAAGCATCGATTCGGGGCTCGCCGTCGAGTACGCCGAGGCTGCCGCCGCCAAGGAAGGCGACCACAAGCTCGACAAGCTGGAGAAGTTTGTCGAGAAGGAACCCCCGGTAACGAGTGGAGCGCGGCCGCCGAAACCTCTCGTTGACATCCTCGAGCCTGCGCCCGCTGCTCCGCTCGAGCGCATTGCTTCGGTTGGTCCACCGCCAGATGGAGGGCTCCGTGCGTGGCTGGTCGTCATGGGCTCCGCGTTCAGCATGTTTTGCGTGAACGGCTTCGTGACGGGAACGGGTCAGTTCCAATCGTACTACCTCAACCACCAGCTGAGCTCCTACTCGCCCGCCGAGGTTGCGTAAGTCCTTCCGTCTTGCATGTGCTGACTTCCAGGTGGCTTGCCTCTGTTCAGATCACCATCACCTTCGGCCTCGCTGTCATTTCTGGTGCCATGTTTGACGCGTACACCGCCAGACCGCTTGTCATCATCTCTGCGCTGGGACAGTTCGGCTCTCTCGTTGCCATCGCTTGTGAGTGGCCTGTAGTTGTGGCAGTGGCTGACGTCAGTCTCGAAGAAGTACTATCAGTTTCTCCTGTCGCATGCCGCCTTCGGTGTCGCCGGCGCTATCATCTACTCCCCCGCGTCGGGAATCGCGGCGCATTGGTTCCTGCGAAGGCGCGGCACCGCCGTTGCCGTTATCATGTCTGGCGGTGGACTTGGCGGTGTGATCTACCCGATTCTCGTCAAGAACTTGACCGACCGGTTTGGTGAGTCCTAGTAGCCCAAACTTCCTGGTATGAAACGCTGACCATCAGCATGGCGCGACGCAATCCTGATCCTGGCCGGCATCCACTTCTGCCTGATGCTCCCACCCTGCCTGTTCATGAAGAAGCGTCTGCCGAACCGCCCTCCCGTGCCGATCCGCGCCCTGGCAAGGCCCTGGAAGGACGTTCGTTACTGCTTCCTTGTCCTGGGACAGTGTATCGCGAACATGGTCGTTTTCTCGCCCTACTTTAACGCGGGGCTGTATGCGAGCTCGAACGGCGCCAACGCCACCATCGTCGGGTACGCCGTCACGATCCTGCAGTCTGGCAACGTCGTGGGACGCCTCTCGTCTGGCCCGCTCGCGGACCGTTTCGGGACGTGGCTCATGTACGTCGCCTCGGCGGCGAGCTGTGCCGTTGCCCTGTTCGCGTTCTGGATCGCGCGCATGAACGAGGGCGCCACCGTTGCCGGACTTGTGCTCTACGGTATGGTTAGCGGCGCGCAGCTCACGCTCCCGCCTGCTGTGATTGCGACGATCTCGCCTGCCCACGAAATCGGCATGCGCGTGGGCATGCTCTGGACCATGCTCGCTATTCCCATGCTTGTTGGACCCGTCATTACGGGAGAGCTCATCACTGCCGCAGGAAGGACGTACAAGTGGGCTGGGCTTTGGAACGCGCTCATGTTCTGCGTCGCGGCGAGTTTGCTGAACCTGCCTGGTGTGCTGAAGTGGTTCAGGGACCGCAAGGCGGGCAAGGCGGGCTCGAACGATATCGCACAGCCTGAGACGGCGTGATCGGAAGCTGTAGAGATGGGGGACAGTTCAGAGGACGATAGTGGACGAATGCGTAACGAAACTCAACAGGGATACCGGGATTATAATCATCATCATCAGCATCGACATCAAACATCGAACAACACCAGAACGGCGCACGTATGCACAAATACTACTACTTCAGCTCCTCATGTTTGCATGTATCACGAGTATCCGCTACGTACTGACTTGGCACCCAGCGTGCGGTCGTCTAATGCCTAGTTCGAGCTCGACCATCGTCTCCCCTTGCAAGCTCCCAGCCTCACTCCGTATCCGGGCTTGACGAACGTCCCCGTTCCTCGCAGCGCTTCATCCCCCTGTCCTTCAGCATGCTCCAGTCTCCAGACCACTTCTCCTCCCCCTGTTGCGTTAAGCTCCAATCCAGCGGTCTCAGCTTTCTTCCCTTTTCTTCCCATCTGATCGCCCGATTATACCCATTGCCCCCGTTCTGCAGCTTGACAGACTTGCTCAACCGGGCCCGCTCGAGGGGCGAGCGAGGCAGCTGGACTTGGAACCCGGATCGCGCCGAGTAGATGGGAAAGATCTGGACCCGCTGCAGACGCTTGTACTCTTTGTAGTCTTGTGTCGAGAGCGCGGGTAGAGTTTGCAGGACTTGCGCGACTGAGGGGAGCGGGACGTGCGCGCGCGATGGAGGAGGCTTGAACGGTTGTCGCGGGTCATGTCGAGTGTGACTGTTACCGTCTGGAGGGGAGGTGGGGCAAGAGAAGGACTGGAGGAACTGCGGTCTTCGCTCTTGCGTCATGGTGAGATGATGATCATGATGTGGGTGGTCTTGAGGATCATAAAGGTGCTTGAAGTTGGACGATGGTGATTCCGTCCAGTGTGGGAGGTGGGTAAGAGGCGTACGGCAGCGGGGGGTGCGACGCCGACACACACGGCGGCTGTGTGTGCAGTACGTCGTCGTCAGTGTTCATCAGCAATAGGTAGTTCGTGTCGTTGTCAGAGATTGATGCGTACACCATCAGTAGTGTCCATCACCGATCTGGCCGCTGCTAGTCGTTGCTTCGTGATCGGAGATGTCGTTAGTGGGTGTCGTTACACCGCTGTCGTCATTGTGTATGGGTCAACGCCATCATTAGAAGTGTGCACAACAATGTGTCGTCGTCAGTGGGTACCTCCTCTTCATGCCGACCGAAATTGGGCGGGATCGAGGACGGAGGTGGTCATTGAGGACCCAGATCTTTGATCTGACAATCTCAGGCGTCGCAGTGTGTGCATAGGCGCTGCGTCGGTCCACTTATACGCCATTGGCGTCAACGACGTCTCGAACAGTCCGGGTGCTCAACCGAGAGGGGTGGCAAGCCGGGAGCCCAATTCATCCTTCCGCAGCTGCCACTGAAGCCTGCAAGCACACGCCACGCTCTGTAGGTCTACATTCTACGATTAGCCACCCAGGCTCGAACGCCTTGACCCATAGACGATAAGGCCATGGGCCCCATTCTGGTCTCTGTTTCCTGCAATGCAGTGCAGTCACGAGCACCCAACCCCGTCCCTTATCGCACTTCCTCCCGAGAGGCCGATCAGAGGCCGTGCATGAGTCCGTGCGGTCGCGGCGTCATCCGGCACTGCAGCTCCGGGCGGGCGCCGCCAGCCCTGCAGCCAAGCCCTCACACTACTCGTTCCCCTTGTTCCGTTTGTCCTATGTAGCCCTCCACTTTACACTGGCCTGGACTAAACCTCCTCTTGTGGAAGGAGTAGTCAACGGAGTGCACGGGGCTGGGGTTTCGGCTTCCGTTAGTCTGTGCGTTACAGCACTACTGACAGACATCACTATGGCTGAACTGAGCATATGCAGACAAATGGCATGGTATGCGCATGTGCAGGCCGGTCACCGACGCGCGATGGCCGGGAGACGAGTGCCGAGGCTGCATGGCTGCAGTTCAGCCAGGCCAGCCAACAGGTTGTTTTGGTGGCGTTCGGGCTGGCACAGGCGATGACGAGTGTCCGCGCACAAACAATCTTCGCGCTCCCTGCCTCCCTTGTTTCCTCGCGCGAGCCGCTCGCGCGCTTCTGCGACGCGCATGATTCGCGTTAGATCCATGCCTGCATAGCTGTACAGCCGCCTGCACGAACTTTTCTCCAAACGATGCGTGCAGCTGCTTCTCGCTTCTCTTCTTCTCGTCTATGCATCCATCCCCTTCGTTCTCCGGCATCATACCCCCCTCCACCCCGCTCGATCAGCTCGATTTATACCCCACCGTGTGACGGGCTGGATCGGCATCACGCCCACACAAGCGCGTCACTGTCGCCATACCCGCCCACGCCGAAACAAGGGCACGAGTCTACCGCCGCGGCACCCTCCCCGCCGAGGCCGGCATGCTGGCCACATTCACCTACGTCCTACCCTACCACTTCTCCTCTGCGGAATGGGAGGGGGTCCGAAACGTCATCGTCGCGACGATACCGGAACACACGGCGTATGAGCTCTGGGCGCACGCCGATGCCTATGGCACCGAAGTGACGGTTCGAGTGGAGTGTGGGGAGGGAGCTGATGGGTTGAATCTGAGGATCAGGGAGGCTATTGTTAACTGCTAGCCTTGCTGCGCAGCTGCAAGCACGAAGCGCACAGGCGCTAGCGGTGACAGGTCCGAAGCAGAGAAGCAGAGGAAGGAGTGGGAGAGCGGAGAGAGCGCAACCGCTCAACCCCGGTTGTTATCAAGCTCCGACAAACATCTCGCAGCAAAACCTCGAGCGCACAACCACATCGCATCAGTGATCAGTGACAAGAAACGTGCTTATCGCACTGCCGTATCTCCAGCGAATCGACAAGCACGACCCCGACGTCATCGCAGCATCGCTGGAATCAGAAAACATGCCGTGTCTGCTCCCGCCTAGCTACGGAGTGACTGCGAGAAGGGGCGCAGAGACGCTGGCATCTTGGGAGAGTGAGAAAAACAGAGTTCGACGCGCGCCACACGCCGATCTGCGAGCCTGGGCCCAAATCGTCCAAAGCAAAGGGAAGGCCGGAATCGGTGCCCGCCGCCCGCTCATTTCGAACCTCGCCCTGGACACCTGGGGTTCGCATTTCGCGCATTTTCGAACGCTCGACCAGATTCGATTTTTCCACACCCTTACGAGTCCCACTCGCCAGCGCGTCGCTTGCGAGCGGCGCGCAGGCGCTGATTGCGCTGGCCAAGCCTTTTCTCCAGATCTCCTCGGTTCTTATTTCGGGCTATGGTGCCAGGGCAGAAAACGTGCACTCTGGCCCTGCACGCGCTGTACGCGCTGTAGCTAGCTTGGGTGGGAGGCAAAGCGACTCGGCATACTCGGCGCCAGTACGAGCGGGTGGCGCATTGCTCCCGGCGGGTCATGTTCTAAACTAAACCAAAGTCGAAACCAGAATTCGAATTTTGGGATTAGGGGAAATGCAAGTCGTAGTGGAGGCCGCGAGCCCGCTTACGCCGCCTGTTGCCTCGCTTGCCCTCGCCTCTAAGGCTCTCTTGGTGGGCTCGCCTCCACCGTAGCCTCCACTACTCCACCTCCACCGTAGCGACAGTTCGAAAATCGACTCCACAACCCAGCCCCCACGCCAGGGTCCTAAGTCCGACTCGTATTTGCGTCGGCCTTCTGACTAGAGCGGGCAACGCGACCGCGCAAACCACGCAGGGCAACGCAAAACATAAAAAGCATCGGTGACTTGATGCAACACCTCCTCCCAACGACCATCAGTTTTTCCTCTGCTCTACACCACAGCGAGCACACATCTATATACGGCAGTTGACTACTCCTGCCTAGCCGTACACCACTACATCACAACATCACAACACTATAACACCAAGGACAACAAGCCCCGCATCGCTGCGCTCGTCCGAGATGCCCTCCTGCACCGTCCACTTCCCGACGACCTACACCGCCGCCCGCTGGCTGGCCCTCCGCTCCGAGATTGTCGATGCGCTGCATCTATCCAATTCGCACGACTTTGAGCTCGACGTCTCCTTCTCCCACGGCACGAGTGTCACTGTCAACCTGAAGGATGGCGACGAGGACGTTGCACGCCAGCTCGAGCGCCTCGCGCGCGATTTCGACGGAAGGCCCGCCGACCCCGAGAGCGATTACTCCAGCGCTAGCGAGGGAGGGTACTCGCCTCCGTAAGCGTGTGCGCTCGAAGGTTCTCGACGAGGTGCGATGCTTCGCGCTCGCACGCTCGCTCCGCAAGACAACATGACAAGACGAAACGAAAATGAACGTTTGTTCATCAGTGTGGCTGAAGCCGCCACAACAATAATACCTACCACCTTTGTAATCCACCACTCTCTGCCTGATTCAGGCACGTTGTAGTCTGTCCATAGACCATGCTATTGTTGTATATCTCTTACATCTGTGCCCTTTGCACGTTTGTTTCTCTGTTGGCGTGCTAGACGCACTGTTGTGCTGTGGTGGTGGTTGCCACCGCGACAGCGCAACGGTATGCAGATTTGCGCAATGCTTCCCGCATTCTCATCGCTTGCATCTCTGGACTAACGCATGTGCATATACGTCGCGGTGGTTCAGATCGGACGCGGACGCGAGCCACCGCTTCGCCCCTCGACAGGTTTGCGTCACCAGCCAGCCAAGCCCACAAGCCAGTGGCAAGTGGCCGATTCGAAAATGGCCCGAATCAGAATTCGAAACGCGGCGACTAACCCTGGACCCATCTCTTGCGATAAGGAAGGTACGAAGGCTACGGAGGCACGCCCCACCTGCTCGCTCCACTTGCTTCACTCGGCATACTCGGCCCACCTGGGCAAGCTGGGGTCAGTTTATTCACGTGCAACGGCAGCATGATCCGACCGGCCACTTTGTTGAGGATGGGGGGTAGAAGTGTGGGGTAAATCCTGTGGCCCCGCATCCATCATGACGGTCAAGAGCGACAGTAATGCGGGGAAGCCGCCTCTTGCCGACACTCCGAGTTGTGGGCCAATGGCAGCGCCGCGAGATACCGATCAGTCGTCCCGATCGCCCTCCTTGCATCCGGAACAAGGTGGATATCGCACCCACACCTGGTGGGCGAGCAAGCTGGAATGCGGGGCAGTCGGTGTCTTGCCCGACTGACCCGATATGCATGCTCGGATGAGGCCGACGAGGTGTGGAGAAGAGATCAAAAGGGAGGTGGAGAGGAGGGAGGTGCCGGACAAGCCGGACTATGCCGATTTTCGAGCCGGAGCTGGAGCCGGAAGGCTTGGCTTTCGATTGCAGATCGGCAACGAGGGAGCTGAGAGCGGGAGGATATTGCAGATCGTTGCCTTGCGTCACTAACCCCCTGCACCGATGTCTGCGATGAGCGACTTCCGCACGACTTCCTACCCACCGGAACATATGTACTGGGAGCTTGGGGACACAACTGATCACCACCTCGTCTTGATTGTCTTGGCATCGTGGCCGCATACTCAATGACTCGATGAGTGATTAGGGTTCTCGCGCCAACCTAAAGTAGACCTTGTCCATTGGCTATTGAGTCCTATTAGTTCAGGCCGCTTCTGGATTTCGCAGGTGGTCGCAGCCCTTTTCTACCCGAAGTGGGTGAGCAGACGGTCAGTATGCTAACTTTGAACGGGTATTGCGCTTTCTACGCTCTGCGCGCGCCCATGAGCGTCTGCGCCTTTTGCTGACCAGGAGAGCCGCGCTGTGTGTGCATAGTGCGGTGCGCAATCGCGCGATTCGGTGAGGCATCGCGACCTGAGGCACGCGGCGCAGGGGCGGTAGTCTCATGGCGCAGGAAGGCGGACCCGGTACGACGCCGATTAAGGACACCCAGCGTGCATGGGTCTTGGGTCATTGGTAGTTCAACGCCAAGGGGGAAGGGGGAAGGGAGGGGCGGCGGTCATGCACACGTCTCACCTTCGGTGTCACTTTCGTCAATCGGCACGCAGCGTCGGTCGTGAGAAGCACAAAGCACACTGTGACACGACACAGCAGTCCAGCGGCGCAGAGTGCACAGCACACACCGCCTGGCCGTCTCGCGCTTTGTTCACCGTTGCCCCCCCCCCCCTTTTTATCTATGCCCTCTTCCCTCGTTCCCTCCGTCACATCAGCTTTCCACGCACTCACCCCGCGGCTAGAACCTTTTGGTTCGACCTTTCGGTCGATTGGTCCCTTTGCGCATCCCATCGTACACCCTTGTTCTACCGTTCAGCCCAATGCGCAAGCGCTCCCGCGACCCCGCCTGTCGCCTCGCCTGAAAGCCGCATACAGCCTGCTCGCCTGCCGCGCCGCGCCGCATTGATGCATCATCCCACACGGCCACACGTCGCACAATTCCTCACCCTCTCTCTCTCTCTCTGCATGCGCACCGCTCCATGCGCACCATTGTAACCCCACAACGCCCTTACACTTTAGCCCTAGCAACACATTAACACAGCGCCGTGCCGCATGCCCGCAGAACCTGCAGAACCTGCATCCCTCCGCTGACCACGCATGCACACGGCTAGCCAACTCGCGACCACTCGCGTTTTGCGCTCTCGTGCGCTCCGCCCCTCTCATGCCTCCCTCAAACCCTCAAAAGCGTCCACTCTCCCCCCTCCCCTCTTTGTGCCCATCACCGCCCATCTCCACGCCCTGGAACACACCCCGGACAACCCATGCAAACTAGCACACAGCACACCACCTGAGGCGTCGCCCTCGCCTGTCCTGCCCTCCTCCCCTTCTTCGCCTCCCTTCGTCCTTTCGCGCAACACGTCCTCGCCCGGCTAACGTATATTAACTCTGCTGACCTCTTCGCTGCTCCCTCTTTTCTCTCACCACGCCCCCAGCACTTTCAACACACCACCAGCACAAGCACACCTATACCTACTCCCGTCGAATTACCCACTCCAAAGCAACTCGCAATGAGCACTTCGACTGCCTCCTCGCCCGCTCCCTCCACCACCTCCTCGGTTGGCCCCCTCTCCTTCCGCGCTAGCGTCGAGGACGTCGCACTCGTCTGGGACTCGCTCGCCCAACTGCACGCCCACGACGTCACCTTTGACATTGTCACGAGCACGCTCCACATTGACGGTCTCGCTGAGGAGGACCTCGACCCCGTCATCGACAGCATTCACGCGCTGATCGGACACGCCGAGCCTGTCTGCGAGCCTGCCAGCCCGTGAGCCGCTCCTCACAGCCACCCGGTCGGTACCGCCAACACCACCCTATGGCGCACACCGCACACACACTCGCAAAATCGCAGGGCTTCCTTGGCCTCCTTCAGCCTTCGGCCGCAACCTGCAACCAGTCACGGCTTGCCTCCACCCAAACCAAACTCAGTACATCACAACCACGCACGCAAGGATCAAGGACGCAGCATGACGCAGCGCAGCGCAGTAATATCATCATCATCAAGCATCTGAAGTGTATCAAGTAGACAACAACGCATGTATATCCCCTCCCTCCAACTGACCACCTGAAAGATGAGAGCTGGACTAAGCCCATTGACCCTCACCCTGATTGTAGTCCCCAAAGGGCTTGGCTGCGACAGCCAGGGACCGCCCACAAAGAGCCACGATTGCCGACTATGCCGTTTGCAGTTGCAATCTCCATGGCTGCAAGCAGCAACTCTGTCGGCTGTATGCACAGGTCGGCGTGTGACTCGCCATATGAACAACCGCCATGGCAGTGCTGGCCCTTGGAGAGTCTCACTAGCGCCATGACCAACGAGCACGACCACCCGTGCATCGCAGAGACCTCGCCGCCTACCGCTCCTGTGGACCTTGTCCGCCATGCCTGCCTTGGTGCGCGGCCACTTTCCGGCGCCTGACGCACGCCGGATCACCGACCTGCATGTGGTCCCGATGGGACATGCGCTCCCCTTCCTCTCTCCGCCTCATCTATCCCGTACGCCAGCGCACTGGGGAGGCTCGCCGACGAACGGGGCCGTATGGGGGAACAAGTGCAAGCACGTACATGTGCGTAGCGAACGGTGGCTCGGCGGTTGAGAGGCAGAGCGGGCGCTTCGAGGCCTTTGGGCGCTACCGCCTACTCCTGGGGCAGTATGACTGTTTCGCGGGCAGTGCGCCGCTGGAAGCGCTGCAGAGCTTGAGCATCGATACCGAAGCCTGGGAGGGGGCGGCATCGCCGACCTCGTGGATATGTTGACCTCTGTCTCCGCCCCTCTCTCTGTTCCCCTGCACGAGACTGGGAATCGGTGCTAACGAGACGGATCACAGACCCCGCAGAGACAGCAGCAGTGGGAGATGGCACTGGAGCTCTGCTCCGGCCGCTCCAGCCGCTACAGCCGCTCCGGCTGACGTTCTCGTCACATTCTTCTCGTGTTCTAGGCTTCGCCCGAGTTCATCTCGCGGAGCGCCTGCGCCGGGCACCAACGGATACGTCCGCTTTGAGAAAGATCAGTGCAGAAAGACAACCGTAGGCTGCCGAGGAAGGGTGCGCGCTTTGTGAGCTTTTGAGATGTAGCGTGGTGAAAGGCGAGATGTAGCGTGGCGGAAAGCGAGACTCGAGTTTGTGCCAGACTGGTAGCCAGGGAGTGAGCGGTTGCATAGAAGCATCCTGTGGTGAGCCTGCTGTGTGCTCAGTAGCGTCAGCACAATGTCATCGACCATTTACAGAACACAGAACCTCAACGCTTCCATTTCATATAAGCATACTGTCATTCGGGACACACACAGCACGCCGACGTACGCGCTCCATGCACGTTGCGGGCCCAGACCTTGTTCTCTCGCGATCTCGCGGTTAACCAATGTGTGCCCGTTTTCTGGCCTCGACAGCCCATGTGCGCACCTCTCGACATTTCATCCGCTGCGTGCCTGACGTTCAGGCGTCGTTTCAGCTTCACGTCCATTTAGCGCGTCCCCCTCGCCTGCCAGCGCACAGAAACAAACAAGGTTCAGCGTTCTAGGTTTGGCCATCTTTCATTTCCGCGTTCTGTGCACGCGTGTGCTGCGACGGCATGATACGATGGTTCAAGTGAGATTGACACTCAACCTCGTTTGGCCATGGCACTGATCAGAGTAAGTTGACGGGCCGCGGTTGCTTTCTTTCACTGCTTGCACGTAATGCTCAGTTGTTAGAAGACTGGATTGAGTGGGACCGGTGATCTGCGTACCGAAGAGTGTGGTGGAAGGCCTGGACTGAACGCAACCGGTTGACGTAAATGCCTCGTGGTTCCGCTGGAATGGGTCGAAGGAGTGATAGAAGCGTGCCTCTTGATGGAGTTCCCGCACACTGGGGAAGACATAGAAGAGCGCGGCCACTCGAATGTTTGCTGATACAACTTGCCTTCTAAAGTAACTGCGGAGGAGCACTGCCTGTCTAAACCGCAGCAGCATCCCTGCGTACACCCTTCAACGAGCGCCCCATCGCTCTTTCGTTGTCGGTCCATTCCTCGCTTCCTGTGCGGGCATACCTCTCGACGCCGACAAGGACGCTTTCGTATGCGCCAAGCACACAAGATTCGGTTCACTCCAAGGGCAGGTCCAAGACGAGGCTGTGTGCGCCGTCGACAATCGAGCACCTCTGTGCAGATGGCGATGCAATGCATCTCGGTGTACTAGAGCTGAGAGGCCGACATGACATCAGCGGCGCGTAGAAGCCGGGCAGAATGACGTGGCAGTGATAAAGAGCTGCAAGGGTGTGGACGCGTGTTTATGGTTCCAGGCAGCTCATGTCGGGCTCCAAACAAGGAGTCTGGGCGCGGGTGAAAGGGGAAGGGGGGGCCAGGCGCAGTGCAGCAAAAGGGCGTAGGGCGAAGGGCCCAGCGGCCACGAGAGAGAAGCTGTGACCCCTGCCCTGGTCATTCCCTTCCCCAGGCACGGCCATGGGCCATAATGCTGCCATGAGCGAGCGTCGCACAACTCCAAGTGACGGCACCGAGCACAACACCAGGGGGGTCACCACTCAAGCATCGGAGCAATCATCCACATCCAACCTACTCCTTCCACATCCACACTTTCCCCACCACTTCCCCTTACTCATCTCACAACTTCTTATCACTACCCCACCCCCATCCACCCCATCGCTCCCCTCGCCGTTGACACGCCACCCACCCACACGACCCCCTGCACGCTCCCACGCCCCATCGCTCGCAGCGGACCACGGACCACGGACCCCTCGCCCCCCTCCAACTGCACGCACGCCTACCCCGCAGCGCAGCGCAGTCTGGCAACAAGAACACAACAGTCTCGAGGCCAAGCTGCCGTATTGCCTATCTAACAGACCTTCTCTGAGAAAGACTTCCTAGCCCACCGTCGACACAATGGCAGAGCCAGGCCGCCCCGAGCGGTCCCAGTCGTCGACCTCGTTAGCCCGCCTGCACCACGGCGGCAGCGGCCCAGTGCCCGAGGACCCCGTCGACTCCAGTCTCGACTTTTGCAATGCGTTCTGGGGCCAGGGTGATCGTGGGTACGAGGTGATCATGGCGCGCCTGCGTGGCGCGGCGCGCACCGTTGACGAGCTGCGGCAGTTCTGGAAGGAGCGCGCGGCCATCGAGGAGGAGTACGCAAAGCGCCTCTCCAAGCTGTCCAAGATGACGATTGGCAAGGACGAGGTCGGCGAGCTCTCAAGAGCCCTCAAGGTCGTGCAGGAGGAGACGTCGGCGCAGGCCTCATACCACATGCAGCTGTGCCAGGAGCTGCACCAGAATGTCGAGACGCCCACCCTCGACCTCGCCAACAAGTATGCCGACCTCAAGCGCGGGCCGCAGGCGAGCATTGAGAAGTCGTGGCGGAACAAGGGCTTACAGGAGGGGCACGTCGCCAAGGTGAGTTATGGTTGTCGTGCAAAGCTGACAAACAGGCGCGCGACCGTTACGAGGGCGACTGCGTCAAGCTCAACTCGTTCACGGCCAACAAGCAGCTCGTGCAGGGCCGAGAACTCGACAAGCTCGAGAGCAAGATTGATCGCGTCAAGCAGACGATCAGCAGCAACGAGAATGATTTCCGCAATTTTGTCAGCGTGCTCGAGCAGACGAATGCCAAGTGGGAGAACGACTGGCGCAACTTTTGCGACACGGTCCAGGACCTCGAGGAGGAGCGCATGCATCACACCAAGGACATCGTGTGGGCGTATGCGAACGCCGTGTCGCAGGTGTGCGTCGAGGACGACAGCGTGAGTTTCCTTGAATCTGAACCTGAACTGACATCCAGTCGTGCGAGCGCATGCGAGAGAACCTTGAGGGCTTCGACCCCCTGACGGACATGGTCAACTTTGTGCGCGGATGGGGCACAGGCGACCAGATTCCCGACCCGCCGCGCTTCATCGACTACTCGCGCGGCGAGTACCACCCAGACCCCTCGTTCCACCAGGCCAAGTTCAAGCGCCTGTCGAATCGGCCGCCCGTCCCCGTCACTCGTGGACCGGATCCCGAGTCGGAGCCCGAGGACGTCGCCCCGTCTGTTGCTACGCCCGTCGTGACTGCCGCAGTCATGAACAACAATGGTCCCAGCGCCGAGGATGCGTCGGACGGCATTGAGCGCCTGACCCTGACGGACAACGGGCCGCAGCCCCGTCCTGATTCAGGCGTCACCCCGGGCATGCCCTTCGACCCCAAGGCCGCTGGTGTGTCTACTGCCGGTCTGCCGAGCCAGTACGAGGTGCCGCCCGCTGCGCCGCCCAAGACCACCACTGCGCCTGCTGCGCCTGCCCCGCCGAGCCCGAGCTCGCGTGACGTCGCGGACGACGACGACCCGATGGCGAAGGCGCTGGCCGACCTGCGGAACAACCCGCCCGGTCCGAACAGTATCCGACGCGGGGCGTCTACGCGCCGGACCGACTCGCTCTACGGAGGATCCCAGGTTAGTAGTGTTGTTGGGGGCGGGATTGCGCGCGCTGCGTCGCCAGCGACCTCTGCTGTGGGATCGACACTGAGCCAACGCTCGCACGTGCGCGGAGGTAGTGTCGTCGACAGCTCCCTGATCCCGCCGGCACAGGGCCACACGGCGGCGGCGCTCGCCAAGTCGATGGCCGAGTTTGAGCGCCGCGGGCGCAACTCGGTCAACTACTCCAACTATGCCGACGACGTCGTCGGCGCGCACCCCGCCAGCCGCCCCACCTCGCCAGCAGGCAGCAACCGTGCCCCGTCCCCAGCCATGATGCAAGCCCCGTCCCAGCCGGCAAGCCACATCGCTGACGACGTAATGCAGCAGTACCACCAGGCCTTCCCCGGCGAGCGCGCCCGCTCCCGCCCCGCGAGCATCTACTCGAACCGTTCCCGCCAGGGATCGATCAACGAGAAGCCCGAGCCGGCCGCGGAGGCGCGCGAGGGCTTTGTCGGTATTGGCACGGGCAACGCGGCCAGGAGTCCAAGCCCGCAGCCCCAGAGCACGTTCAGGAGCACCTCGCCCGCCCCGCCCAGAAGCAACAGCGGCGGCCTCGGGCCGCAGAACATTGGCATCTCGCTCGACGAGCGCGGAGGCGTCGCGCACGACAGCATGGCCGAGGCGTACCGCCAGCAACATCTCGAGCAGCAGCGCCAGCAGGAGCAGCAACGCCGTGACCAGCCCCAGCAGGCGTACGGTGGATACCAGAGCCCGCCGGGCCAGCAGCAGCAGCCTCAGCAGTCGTACCAGCAGCCCCAGCAGCCTCAACAGCAGCAGTACGGCCACCAGCAGCAGCACTCGATCAGCTCGTCCGGCTACCACGGAAGTGGCTACCAGCAGCAGCCCCAGCAGGCCTATGGTCAGCAGCCGGCGCAGCAGTGGGGTCAGCCCCAGCAGCCTCCCGCCTCGCAGTACACGCCCGGCCACCAATCGAGCGGATCGTACGGCTACTCGCAGCCCTCGCAGCTGCCATACCCTCGCACTCTCCCGCTCAAGCCCAGCCCGCCCCGACGCAGGCGGTGCAGCGCTCCCCCTCCCCCGCGCCCAACCAAGCCCCACAAGGCGCCTTCACGGGCGAGTGGAGCACGACGGGCAAGCCCGTCCTCTTCTACGTCCGCGCGCTGTACGATTACACGGCGCAGAGCTCTGCCGAGTTTGATTTCCAGAGCGGAGACATTATCGCCGTCACGGATACGCCCGAGGATGGGTGGTGGTCGGGCGAGCTGCTCGACGAGGCGCGCAGGATTCCGGGCCGGAACGACTTCCCGTCCAACTTTGTTTGCTTGTTCTAAGCGGACGAAGGACGCCGAGGACTGGAGATGAGATGCCAGAGGTGGTGTAGAGGGCGATGAGGAGGATGAGGAGGGGGGTTGGAAGAGGTACATGAGAGGAGGACGAGAGGCAGAGGTGACATCCACGCCCGCCGATATCAGTCGACACGAGAGACCATAATGAAAGTAGCCATAGCGATGGAGAAAAAATCTGCATTTTACAGTTCCTATGAAATGCCATTATTATTCTAATGTCGAGAGAAGCGAGGCCAGGATCGAGGTTCGACGGCTCACTGCGTTCGTGCGTTCGCCGACTCACTTCGCTCTCCGAATCACCTCCTCGACTTCCCTTTGGGCCAGCCCGCTGGGCGCCCTCTGCCTGATCTCCTCGAGCTTACTCTTGTCTCCGCGTTCCTTAGCTGCCTCGGCGGCCTTGCCCCAAAGCCCGCACTCGACGTAGAGATCTGGCCGGTGTCGCGCCTCGCAGCGGGGCACGTACAGCGCGGCCTGGCCCGGCTGCTCGACAGCAAGCAAATGCCGGACGAATGGCTCGTACCCGATCGGGCTCTTTTTGGACTTTGCGAATGTCTCGAGGGCGGTCCAGTTCTTGGCCGCGGCGAGCGCCTTGAGCTTGAGCCACCACCACCGCTTATCCGGCACTTTGAACGCGGATCGGAGCGCTTCGGCGCGCTTGCCCAGGCCGTGTGTTATGAGCGCTGAGATAGTGTCCGAGAGACTGAGGCCGCGGAGAGCGACGCGGTGGTCCGCCTCCGCCTCGTAGCCTGCTTGCATCTGCAACAAGCGGGCCGCGTCCTCGGCCTGCTTCGACTCGAAGGCCGCGTCCTTGTCCTCTGCGAAGGACTTTGAGGCCAGCCGGAGGAGCTCGGCCCTGTCGTCTGCCAATGGGGTCGCGTACGCTTCTTCGACATACAGCGTGCCCGCGTCCACGCGCCGGTCGTCCTGGTAGTAGAAGTCGCGCAGGAGCTGGCGGTTGTTCTCCCGCGCATACACTTGCAGCAGGCGCACAGCCGGCGTGAGAGCGGGGGTCAGGCTGTCGTCGAGCAGATGGAAGAAGTCCCCGGGACTCAGGGCTGATTGCAACCGCAGCAGGACGTGGTACACTAGGTCCGTGTCCCCGCTGTCGACGGCTTTCTCCAGCGCAATCTTGTCCTGCTTCATCTCGAGGAGTAAGGGCACTTGCTCGGCCGCGCGCGATTCGTGGTCTAGCAGCATCGTCGCGAGACGCACCCGCCCGGCCTCCCATGCCTTCTTCGCTATGTCGGCGTAGGACGCGCGCTCGCCCTCCTTCTCGAATTTCTCGACTATGGCTGAACACAAGCCCGCGTCGCTCTCCTGCGACAGAGCCGACTTGCTCCGCGCTATCCGCGCTACGGCCCAGTGCTTCAGGACCGGATCGGGGCGGAGGCCGAGGTACTGCGAAATCCGGAGCGCGAGGAGGTGCATATTGCGCGTGAGCAGGCGCGAGATCAGCGCCGGCGGCCCGATGAAGATGTACCTGGGCGTCAGCTTGGACAAGCGTAACGAAAGCTCACTCGTCGTAGGTGATCGGGATGCCGATCTCGTAGAAGCGCACAGCGTTCAGCACCTTCAGCGTCTGCGCCATCGTGACAAAGTCGTTCGGGTTGTACAGGTCCAGGAACGCGCGCCCGAATTGCGGCGCCTGTATATCAGCTCTGAAGGGGGG